AGGATAGGGCAGGACAGGACAGTTGACTTCTGATTAATGTTTTGGCTCGGACCATGCAGATAAATGTATTTGAATTGGGACTGGTACATAAGTTTGTTCTTCCAATGTTCAGGCGTCGTCTAGAGACGGGGTGAGCCTGCACGCGCACACTCAAGTTCTCTCTGGTCAGGTCACATGGCCCTAAGGTCACATTGTCAACATACTGACAGACCGTCATGAAATGTTGCTTTAAGTAGATAGTATGTGATGTATAGGGTGTGATGGTCTTGGAGGGCTGCTTCACTAAACCCTGTGAGAGAGGCTAAGGATGTGATGGTCTTGGAGGGCTGCTACACTAAACCCTATGAGAGAGGCTAAGGATGTGATGGTCTTGGAGGGCTGCTACACTAAAACTGATACTTAGCAACTGCAGCCCATCATGATGAGTTCAGATTATCTGTTGGCCCTACCCCCATCAAAGTTGCCCATCCCTGATGTATGCTATACCCTCACTCTATCTGCAAGCTGTTGGCTAGAACGCAGATGCCAATAACAGAGTGGGCACACTCACTATATAAAACGCAACATTTGTCAAAACCATTAAGAGTTGAAAATGTCTTGGAAACCCATTTGACTTGTAGTTTTTATTTCGGCACACTGGAATTCAAATCGCAAAAGTTATTTTTTATTTGCACTGTCATCACACATAGCCTTTTATCCGCAATAAGTCCATTTGATGGAAACAGCTTTCTGGTGGGAAAATGCGCATATTGTTTTTATGCATATTTTTTGAATATTCGCATTGAAAATCTGTGGCCAATTGGAAGGAAAGCTAGCTAATGACTAAACATTCCTCCTAACTGCTTTGATGAAAAGGGTCCCATCAGAGTGCGCACTAACTGCTTTGATGAAAAGGGTCCCATCAGTGTCTTCTGAATAACCTCCTAGAGGGAGGGAGGTGGTGCTTATGATTGAAAACAAGAACATACTCACACGTCTCAAGAGTTTTAAAAAAAACGCACTCACTCGAGGATCTACCGTAGTAAAATAAATGAACAGAAATGTAGAACAGAATGTTCAGTGTTTGTTCTATGGAGAGCGCTGTGTGGGTGGTGCCCGGGTGGTGTTCAGCGTGACATGACAGAAAGCCTGAAAAGGAACACAGCGGAGAGGTCCCATCTTTAACTACTAGTCCAATAAAAATAAAAAATAAAATCACTGCAAAACGTTTTGCTACGGTGTGCACTAATAAACACGACCCAGTTTCCAGTACATGTTTTTACACGTAGCCTACCGTGTGGCAAAAGACAAAGTCAAAACTCAAATGTACAATAAACCTTTAATAAATACCATTAGTTTCCCCATGTTTACATGCTATTTGTATTATTATTATGATGTTCATCCACTGGTCCTGTCACAAAGAGGAGCTCAACTACAAACCACATCGGACAACAAAACAGGAGGAGTGGCCCGCAGAACCATGGTCGGTAAGAGAAAACGTATACTGAACAAAAACATAAAATCGCAACATGTAAAAAAAGTGTTGGTCCCGTGTTTCATGAGCTGAAATAAAAGATCACAGAAATGTTCCATACGCACACATTTTTTGCACAAATTTGTTTACATCCCCGTTTGTGAGCATTTCTCCTTTGCCAAGATAATCCATCCACCTGACAGGTGTGGCATATCAAGAAGCTGATTAAACAGCGTGATCATTACACAGGTGCACCTTGTGCTTGGTACAATAAAAGGCCACTCTAAAATGTGCATTTTTATCACACAACACAACCGTCAGATGTCTCAAGTTTTGAAGGAGAATGCAATTGGCATGCTGACTGCAGGAATGTCCACCAGAGCTGTTGCCGGAGAACTGAATGTTCATTTCTCTACCGCTCTGACGAAGGCCTTGAGGCCTATACGTAAAACGTAATAAAGAGCAGTGATACTAGCAAGAGCAGTGTGCGGGTTTCTTATTTTTTTCTCATCATTTCTCTACCATAAGCCGCCTCCAAACCAGCCTCACAAAACGCAGGCCACGTGTGCTGATGTCAACACTGAACAGAGTGCCCCCATGGTGGCGGTGGGGTTATGGTATGAGCAGGCATAAGCTACGGACAACCAACACAGTTGCATTTTATCGATGGCAATTTGAATGCACAGAGATACCGTGACGAGATCCTGAGGCCCACTGTGGTGCCATTCATCCGCAGCCATCACCTCATGTTTCAGCGTGATAAGGTATCTGTGACCAACAGATGCATATCTGTATTCCCAGTCTAAATTTAGGGCCTAATTTATTTATTTCAATTGACCGATTTCCTTATATGATATGTAACTCAGTAAAATCTTTGAAACGGTTGCATTTATATTTTTGTTCAGTATAGTTCCTCCACACTACTGTAGCAATCAGCCCGGTAGGATACCACACTGAGTTTACAAAACATTAGGAACACCTGCTCTTTCCATGACAGACTGACCAGGTGAAAGCTATGATCCCTTATTGATGTCACCTGTTAAATCTACTTCAATCAGTGTAAATGAAGGGGAGGAGACAGGTTAAAGGACTTTTAAGCCTTGAGACATTTGAGACATGCATTGTGTATGTGTGCCATTCAGAGGGTGAATGGGCAAAACAAAAGATTTAAGTGTCTTAGAACGGAGTATGGTAGTAGGTGTCAGGTGCACCGGTTTGTATCAAGAACTGCAACGCTGCTGGGTTTTTCACACTCAACAGTTTCCCGTGTGTATCAAGAATGGTCCACGACCCAAAGGACATCTAGCCAACTTGACACAACTGTGGGAAGCATTGGAGTCAACATGGGCCAGCATCCCTGTGGAACGCCGTCGACACCTTGTAGAGTCCATGCCCCGACGAATTGAGGCTGTTCTGAGGGCAAAAGGGGGTGCAACTCAATATTAGGAAGGTGTTCCTAATGTTTATGTGTGCGCGCACACACACACACACACACACACGTATGTTAAGTACACAAATGTTTGTACATTTACTGAAATACGTGTTTCAACTGTAAATGTGTTGTGGCTGGTGCTGAATCAATCGTAATAATTCATGTAGGATTTTAGTCATTGGATTTACTGTCCTTAAGTGTTGTTGGTCCAATAGGTGTTGGTCCGATTCAATATATTCTGAGCATTGGCATATATAAATATAGATTTTGAGAGACTTTTAGGATGAATCCCAAATGGCATCCTACTTTTGACCAGGGCCCATAGGGTGCCAGTTGGAACACACAAGTAGAACAGAAATAAAAGTGAATGGCCTCACTGCTAACCCAGTTGACATTATGAATAGTATGTTTGGTTGGCATAACGACAACATGTATTGCTTAGAACATTCAATTATGCTAGTGATGTCATCTATTGATAAAATTCAAACAAAATTAACAGCTTATTGTTATATCGAACTGACCATTGAGAAATGTTTTTTTAATTGCTAAGCTGAACATTCAACCAATCCCCAAAACATCGTCATGAAATCCAAAAAAAAAAAAAAATGGAACATCTAAATGTTAAAAGCTATTCAAAATAGCAATTAAACTTTGACAAAAAAATTCTGACAAAAAACCCCACCAAAGTTAAAGTACTCAAACAAATTAACAAAAAAAAAAAAACATGGCACACAAAAAATGAAATAATTGGACTAAATTGAAATTCTGATAAAATGTCCAACATTTTGACACCAAATCGGTTCTATTTGGTTATTTCAATGCACTTGAGGCTCATTTACATAAAAAAATCTATTGTTTCAAAAAGTACAACAGCAAAGATTTCTAGTAGTATCTGCAACACCTTTGCAATGAAAGTCGGACGGGAGCTAAAACCACATCTGCAGCCTCTTCTAATACCACACAACATTTAACCTTTACTGTCCTACCGCAGAACAACAAATGATATTAAATTTTTACTGAACCTAATAATATTATTACAGGCCAGTTTTTATTAACAATATCAGCGCTCACATTGATACCAACATTACAGATCAGGACACTTTTACTCACAAAGCATATCTTATAGTAGGAATACTAGGATCAGGTTGTCCCCCGACCATATAATCTGATTCACTATGATCTAACAGGCAAAACTGATCCTAAATCAGCACTCCTACTCTGAGACACTTTGTGAATAAAGAACCAGAAGCAGTCTATGGGCAAGTTGTTAACTGAACTACAGTCATGCCAGTCTGTGTTTTAACTATGGTTGTGTCTAGCTAGATTCACATAGAAGAGGGTTGTGAGGAGAGTAGAATTAGAAAACAAGACTAAAATGACTTAAGGCTCCAACAGCAGCGATAGCAACAATTACAGACCCACCTCAGACGGTCAGGCAACAGTCTTCATACAGGTTGTTGTAATATATTAATATGACGACAATGTCACTTCAAGGCAACATTTATCTGGAATAACAACCTCAAGCACAATTAGCCTTAAGTGTGTGATGAACAGAGGAAAAATATCCAACCCAAACTGTCCTGTACTGTCTGCTAGTCTAATGTATCGGATGACAGGAAGGTAAACATTGAAAAACTAAAAAAAGTGGTGCGTCTCTTTAAACACTACTCTCAGTTAAGTGTGATATTCAATGGAATGGAGGTTGGTTGGTCAAATGTTTTGTTCAAGTCCCTCTATAAAATCGTTCTAGGTTGAAGTCTACTGCGCTGTCCCCATCTGGATGGGTAGTGGTTCTTAGATGGTTCTTCAGAGGCTCCACTCTCCTCATGTTCTACGGTGTTTGCCTCCCAAATGGAGCCTCTGGCCAAAAGTAGTGCACTATGAAGGGAACAGGGTACGATTTGGAAAGCATCCAGTAGCTTCTCACCCAGCTTTGGACACACACACAGAGGAAGACCTGCTTACTCTTCTTCCATATTAAGACAATAAAATCAGTCACAACAGAAGTTTGTTAGCTTGTAAACTGGCCAGCAGAACTTTGTTGGTGACTTACTCTCTCAGGGACAAAAAACAGTTGTTGTCAGAGTGGGCTGCTTGGCTAAATGGTACCCTATTCCCTAGTGGGCCCTGGTCAAAAGAAGTGCACTATATAGGGACTAGGGTGCCATTTGGGACAAATCCATCATCACACAGAGCTTAGTAACAGTTCAGATAGCCTTGAACCTTCACCCCAACCAGATCCCGTCCATGTGCTGCATGGCTCTCTGGCAGGACCTCTACATCCCCACCTCCTTTATCCTCTTCCTGCCTCACTTCCTGCTCAGGGCAGAGATCAGCTCAACCAAGTCTCTCCCAACAGAACACCAATCCACAGCGCTACCCGTCCTCTCTCTCTCTCCATCCCTTTCAGGGCCTTTGGTAACTCTTCACACCACACCGTCACAACTCCGGTGCTTCAGATAAATGACAGCCCACGAGGTGTTCAGACCACACATCTTCCCTGCCCGTAGAAGAGGCCACTCATCTGGATACGTGTGTGAAAGTGTTAGAATAACGGTTTGTTTCATAACGGTTCACTTGTTCGGGCTCAGGGGGGAGCTGGTGTGGTGTGTGTGCCCCCAGGCTGGTGTTATACACAGCTGCCATCCAGTAGCGGATCCTTGCCCTCGGCCCCGCTACTGGGAGGGCTGTGTGAGTGGCTCTGGGCCCCGTTGCTGTGTTTCTTGTAGCCTCCCAGCCGGACCCCCGGGCCACTGTGCTCTGGGATGAACAGGGCTACTAACAGAGCGAGTAGTACGGAGCATGCTCCGAACAGGAAGGGAGGGCCGGGGATGATGGAACTCTGGAGGAAGAGAGAAACTGATGTTTAATGGGGAGGGTATTTGTGAAAGGGGGGATGTGTGTGTTTTAGCAAAGTGCCCTACAACAGTTCCTTCAGTCAGATGTACAGTAGGTAGGAGATTATGAATGAAGACCTCCATCTTCTTATAGGCAAGTGAACGCCATGATATAGCTTTGGCCTATCCAATACTGTTGGATCTAAATAGTGTCTGGATCTATCCTCAGTCCTGTCCCATCCACCACTCCGTGGTCTCACCTCGTCAGCAGGGTTGGCCATGTTAGGTTTGGTTTCTTTCCCATGGCTGTCTACAGCGTCCAGATCAGTCAGCTCCACATGGAACAGGTAGAATATAAAGCCATAGAAGGCTGGGCCCAGACCGTTACACAGACCACGGATACCTGTTATCACCCCCTGGACAACACCTAGAGACGGATACAAAGCCATTCAATTAATATGCACTTTCAGCTAGGGCCGGGCGGTAAACCGTACTATATACCAGTATTGATGCATGGTTCGGTTTGGGTTTTTACTTTACATACAGGTATTTCAATGTTTGGTTTGTTAAATGTAATATAAATGTAATAACTGAGAGACGAAACTCGAAAAATGACGTCAATCGTCTGTTCTTACCACCAGTAAGGGACTGCTAACGGTTGAGAACTGCTAATTAGCTAGCAAGAGCTTTGGATGCACATTTACTTTCTTGCCATGAATCTGGCCTGTGAGAAAGTGCTGGCGCCAAAAGTACTCTCGAAAATCGGCACAATGCACCTTGTGGCGAAAGTAAGAACTGCCATTTAATCCATTGAAAATACATTGTCACCAGCTAGGTTTCCATCCAACTGGCGACAGATTGTCATGCGAGTATTCTAGAATCCGCATTAAAAACAATATGTGCATTTTCCCACCAGATTAACTTGTTACGGATAAAAGGTTGTACGCGATGACGTAGGGCACATCAAAATGACTTTTGCGGTTAAATTCCAACGCACCGAATAAAAAAAACTACAAGTTAAATGGGTTTCCATCGCATTTTCATCTCTACTAATGGTTTTGTACAAAAGAGAACAAGGAGTGCTGGCCGCGACCGGGAGACCCACGGGGCGGCGCTGTCTAGGGTAGGGGAGGGTTTGGCCGGCAGGGATGTCCTTGTCCCGTCGCGCACTAGCGACTCCTGTGGCAGGCCGGGCGCTGCGCACGCTGACTCGGTCGCCTGGTGTACGGTGTTTCCTCCGGCACATTGGTGCGGCTGGCTTCTTGTGTCAACAAGCAGTGCGGCTCGGTTGGGTTGTGTTTCGGAGGACGCACGACTCTCGACCTTAGCCTCTCCCGTGTCCGTACGGGAGTTGCAGCGATGGGACAAGACTGTAACTACCAATTGGATACCACGAAATTGGGGAGAAAAAGGGGGTAAAATAAAACCAGCATCAAGCTCATCACCGGTCACTTTCACCACCCTGTGAACTCCCTCTGTAACCTAATAAAATACATGGCTTCCCGAGTTGTAGCGGGAGGATGAGGGTTTGGCGGTATCCAGATGTTCATACCGTCATACCGTTTCTGTACCATACCCGTGTATATGGTATTACCGGAAGTGCACACAAGGGGCGCCGTAAAAATAAACGTTAATTATTATTTTGACGCACAAAACAATTTAGGCAACAGGGATCTTGATCCAGGAGGGGATTGAATGTCTCTGCTGTAACCAAGAAGCTTGATCTTGACATCTAGCCACTTAGCTACTAGCAAGTTAGCAAACCACATGCAAAGCTGGAGAATTTCATTATCTTAGATTTCAAATAGTATAGCACCCCAATACATATACAGACATTTTTTTTTTTTTTTTACAGTATGGAAAAATCATACCATTGTATTTTGAAATACCTTTGTAAATGGTATTAAAAGGTACATGGCTACACAACATATCGCATCACTCCAAGTTTACTTCCATAGGATGGTTATTATATCAATGTGCGCATAAAGGAGTTTCCACCACCATTTCTCGCATAATACATTTTACCGACACAAAAAGATCCCATCTTGTCTAGCATATTTTATTCTGTTGACATTTGGAAAGTTTACAGACAAATTTGCTGTTTCCATCAGGCCTGTCATTACATTTTTTTATCCGAACTTTCCTCGCATAAAAAAAGTTGGATGGAGGCCTGTTTAGAGGAAAATAATTATTCTGATAATGGAAAATTTGGTTGAAGTTTGAACAGTATAAAACAAAATCAGAAGAGAGAAAACCTTATTGAAATCACTTATAATTTATGTGTTGCCACCCTAGGGTCATGAACTACTCAGAAAGCAGTTAGAATTTGTATTATTAAAAAACATAAAACACCGTCAAATACTGTCAAAAATGAGAAAAATGTTGTGATATGATATTCTGGGCATATCACCCAGCCCAACTTTCAGCTACTGCGTTTCCCCATATAACGTTGACATATTCACTACAATGGTCTTGCATAATAACTATGATGAATATGTGGGTTGCAATCTCGAGAGCAAATTTACAAGACTGAGCATTGTACATGATCTAGAATAACATTTCAGATCTGAGAAAGAAGGGGTCAATTTATGATTAGGGCAGTCTTGTATTGGGGCTAATACAGTTTTTGGCTGTGGTTGTATTAGCTCACCCTGCTGGTCGGGGTCTGCGTTGCGGGACACGATGGCACTGACGGCTGGGAATGTGATGCTAGACATAGCCGCTACCGCTCCTGCTGCCCACATCATCCTGATGGGAGAGAGAGAACACACACACACACAACGTTACACACACCTCGTCACACACTAGAGCCCTGCACGAGCGTTGAATTTTAAGCCCTACCCATGCCCGCAATATTCAGGCCCTACTCTACCCAGGCCCGATCGCTTCTGCCAAATTTAAAAGCTCAGCCCTGCCCGAAACCACTTCCTCGGTTAGTAAATCCATTAGCTGCCCTCTCGGTCTGTAACTCGCTCTCTGTGCGCAGGCAGCTCACCCTGCATGCACTCTGCTCATGCGAGTTCTGAGTCTGTGAGTATCCATAGCAACGGCTCCGCTTGGGCTGCTCTGCTCAATCACGAGACATGAGACAGCAGTTATCTATATTTAAAATCACTATAAACGCCAACAAAACTCAAGGAACATTATTTTCTGTGAAATAATCTCTCCTGTTTTACATTTGACTTCTGACACCATGTTATGATCTTGGTCAGCTATGTCTGTACTGTGCGGGCAGAACACGTGCAAATGGCTCAGCTTCAAAATGTTAGTAATCAATTTAGTGATACCAGAGCCCTGCCCGTACCCTAGTTATTAATGAAAGTACAGGTCCTACCCAGCCCTAACCTCGATGTATAATGTCGGGGTCTGTCGGGCTCAGGTCGGGTAGCAGAGCACACACCCAGGGTGGGGAATGAACTTTAGTCCACCAGCCACTGCGGCAAATAGATTTTAAAAAAATCTACCAACCACAGATTTTTTTTTAACCAGCCAAAATATTTTGTGCCATAATTACACCCAAAAAATATAACGAATAAGCATGTATTACCAGTAAGAAGTAAATGGGGTATATCGTTTATTTAAGTTCATTTTTGGGACCTGCGTCTTTTAACTAATGCATGTTAAAATAAATAATTTAGATACAACAGTAAAAAAACAGATTAACAGTTCTACATCACTAATCAACAAAGCGCCTGCCCTGCCACAACATGAGTGATATGGCTAATGTATTACTATAGTCCAAAAGGAGTCCTGGACTATAGGACTCCTTGTCAGAGACATCATTCAATTAAAGTACGAGTGTTTTAATGATAAGAAATTACTAAAAGTTCATGAATAAAAGTCCTTGTGCACAATCATTAGGCGAGACAAAAATATTCAGCTGCCCCTTTTAATATGTGAGAACAACATTTTTCGTGAATAAATGTTTCATTTCGTCGTTATAATAAAGGTTGGTAGCGACGTGGAAATCGTTGTGGATATCTGTTGCAGCTCAAGTCGACTACAAAACCCACAATGCCATGCTCTCTCTATGGGCTGGCTTGCTAGCTAGCTAGCAAACATAGCTACACACTAGGGATGTGACAAAAAAAACAAAAAAACAGCCATTTATCAGTTTTCCATAAAAACGCTAAGAAAAAAATTCATAAAATTGCACATCAATTTACAATGCAGAATAATGGTCCTATTACGCATGTATGACCACTAGGGCCAGGCGATTAAGTTTTATACAACGGGTGGGTCTAATCCTGGATGCTGATTGGTTAAAACCGCATTCCAGCCGTTGTCTATTCCACAGGTTACCACCGGCTAAATCTATGACGTTGAAATGCCTATTTACTCTGTTCCATCTCACTGCGCAATCCACTCTCTCATCAGCCCAGCCAGGCAATTTATAAACATGATCTCCACGATAAAAAGCATCTAGACATTATCTCCCATTTCTTTTAGACTAGCATTTTGTTTTCAACAGTGGAGATTTGTATAAACCTTGCTGTCGGTCTCGCCTACATTTGCAACATTGTTTCAATATTCAAATTCGATCTCCAGCTGTCCCATAGTAATGAACGTGTCGGGAGCGGGGATGAAACAGACAGGCAGACAAAAAAAAAAAGAGACCACGTTTGTATGCGGCTTTATTAACTCAATACTTTTTTTTTCTATTCTAAAAGTCGTATTCCTATTAACTTCCAGTGTAGTGGGAGCGGCTTTATCGCAATGCTATGTCATACTGACACATTTCTTCCTGTTTGAACGGCAATATCTCAGATACACATGAAAACATGAAATTACCCTGGAAATTGGTAGAACATCGATCAGAGATGCACAAAAACAATATAACATTCAAAACAGGTGAAGACAACACTAGACAGCGTATCAGTACTGCATCAGGACTACTTTCTCTCCCGGGGCCTAATCACTAACAACACGGAGCATTAGGACTGCATCAGGACTACTTTCTCTCCCGGGGCCTAACCACTAACAACACAGAGTATCAGGACTGCATCAGGACTACTTTCTCTCCCGGGGCCTAACCACTAACAACACAGAGTATCAGGACTGCATCAGGACTACTTTCTCTCCCGGGGCCTAACCACTAACAACACAGAGAATCAGAGCATCAGGACTGCATCAGGACTACTTTCTCTCCCGGGGCCTAACCACTAACAACACAGAGCATCAGGACTGCATCAGGACTACTTTCTCTCCCGGGGCCTAACCACTAACAACACAGAGCATCAGGACTGCATCAGGACTACTTTCTCTCCCGGGGCCTAACCACTAACAACACAGAGCATTAGGACTGCATCAGGACTACTTTCTCTCCCGGGGCCTAACCACTAACAACACAGAGCATCAGGACTGTATCAGGACTACTTTCTCTCCCGGGGCCTAACCACTAACAACACAGAGTATCAGGACTGCATCAGGACTACTTTCTCTCCCGGGGCCTAACCACTAACACCACAGAGCATCAGGACTGCATCAGGACTACTTTCTCTCCCGGGGCCTAACCACTAACAACACAGAGCATTAGGACTGCATCAGGACTACTTTCTCTCCCGGGGCCTAACCACTAACAACACAGAGTATCAGGACTGCATCAGGACTACTTTCTCTCCCGGGGCCTAACCACTAACACCACAGAGCATTAGGACTGCATCATGACTACTTTCTCTCCCGGGGCCTAACCACAAACAACACAGAGCATCAGGACTGTATCAGGACTACTTTCTCTCCCGGGGCCTAACCACTAACAACACAGAGCATCAGGACTGTATCAGGACTACTTTCTCTCCCGGGGCCTAACCACTAACAACACAGAAAATCAGAGCATCAGGACTGCATCAGGACTACTTTCTCTCCCGGGGCCTAACCACTAACACAGAGCATCAGGACTGCATCAGGACTACTTTCTCTCCCGGGGCCTAACCACTAACAACACAGAGCATCAGAGCATCAGGACTGCATCAGGACTACTTTCTCTCCCGGGGCCTAACCACAAACAACACAGAGCATCAGGACTGTATCAGGACTACTTTCTCTCCCGGGGCCTAACCACTAACAACACAGAGCATCAGGACTGTATCAGGACTACTTTCTCTCCCGGGGCCTAACAACTAACAACACAGAGAATCAGAGCATCAGGACTGCATCAGGACTACTTTCTCTCCCGGGGCCTAACCACTAACAACACAGAGCATCAGGACTGCATCAGGACTACTTTCTCTCCCGGGGCCTAACCACTAACAACACAGAGCATCAGAGCATCAGGACTGCATCAGGACTACTTTCTCTCCCGGGGCCTAACCACTAACAACACAGAGCATTAGGACTGCATCAGGACTACTTTCTCTCCCGGGGCCTAACCACTAACAACACAGAGTATCAGGACTGCATCAGGACTACTTTCTCTCCCGGGGCCTAACCACTAACAACACAGAGAATCAGAGCATCAGGACTGCATCAGGACTACTTTCTCTCCCGGGGCCTAACCACTAACAACACAGAGCATCAGGACTGCATCAGGACTACTTTCTCTCCCGGGGCCTAACCACTAACAACACAGAGCATCAGAGCATCAGGACTGCATCAGGACTACTTTCTCTCCCGGGGCCTAACCACTAACAACACAGAGCATCAGGACTGCATCAGGACTACTTTCTCTCCCGGGGCCTAACCACTAACAACACAGAGCATCAGGACTGCATCAGGACTACTTTCTCTCCCGGGGCCTAACCACTAACAACACAGAGCATCAGGACTGCATCAGGACTACTTTCTCTCCCGGGGCCTAACCACTAACAACACAGAGCATTAGGACTGCATCAGGACTACTTTCTCTCCCGGGGCCTAACCACTAACAACACAGAGCATTAGGACTGTATCAGGACTACTTTCTCTCCCGGGGCCTAACCACTAACAACACAGAGCATCAGGACTGTATCAGGACTACTTTCTCTCCCGGGGCCTAACCACTAACAACACAGAGCATCAGGACTGTATCAGGACTACTTTCTCTCCCGGGGCCTAACCACCAACAACACAGAGCATCAGGACTGCATCAGGACTACTTTCTCTCCCGGGGCCTAACCACAAACACAGAGCATCAGGACTGCATCAGGACTACTTTCTCTCCCGGGGCCTAACCACTAACAACACAGAGCATCAGGACTGTATCAGGACTACTTTCTCTCCCGGGCCTAACCACTAACAACACAGAGCATCAGGACTGCATCAGGACTACTTTCTCTCCCGGGGCCTAACCACTAACAACACAGAGCATTAGGACTGCATCAGGACTACTTTCTCTCCCGGGGCCTAACCACTAACAACACAGAGCATCAGGACTGCATCAGGACTACTTTCTCTCCCGGGGCCTAACCACAAACAACACAGAGCATCAGGACTGTATCAGGACTACTTTCTCTCCCGGGGCCTAACCACTAACAACACAGAGTATCAGGACTGTATCAGGACTACTTTCTCTCCCGGGGCCTAACCACTAACAACACAGAGCATCAGGACTGTATCAGGACTACTTTCTCTCCCGGGGCCTAACCACCAACAACACAGAGCATCAGGACTGCATCAGGACTACTTTCTCTCCCGGGGCCTAACCACAAACAACACAGAGCATCAGGACTGCATCAGGACTACTTTCTCTCCCGGGGCCTAACCACTAACAACACAGAGCATCAGGACTGTATCAGGACTACTTTCTCTACCCTGTCCCTTCAGTCCCCCTGCTCCACAAAAAGTTGTGCTTAAAGGGTCAGTATGGTAGGGTAAGGGTGGAGGTCAGGGTTAGTGTGGTCAGTATGTTAGGGTAAGGGTGGAGGTCAGGGTTAGTGTGGTCAGTATGTTAGGGTCAGGGTGGAGGTCAGGGTTAGTGTGGTCAGTATGTTAGGGTAGGGTGGAGGTCAGGGTTAGTGTGGTCAGTATGTTAGGGTCAGGGTGGAGGTCAGGGTTAGTGTGGTCAGTATGGTAGGGTCAGGGTGGAGGTCAGGGTTAGTGTGGTCAGTATGGTAGGGTCAGGGTGGAGGTCAGGGTTAGTGTGGTCAGTATGTTAGGGTCAGGGTGGAGGTCAGGGTTAGTGTGGTCAGTATGTTAGGGTCAGGGTGGAGGTCAGGGTTAGTGTGGTCAGTATGGTAGGGTAAGGGTGGAGGTCAGGGTTAGTGTGGTCAGTATGGTAGGGTCAGGTGGAGGTCAGGGTTAGTGTGGTCAGTATGTTAGGGTAAGGGTGGAGGTCAGGTTAGTGTGGTCAGTATGTTAGGGTCAGGGTGGAGGTCAGGGTTAGTGTGGTCAGTATGGTAGGGTCAGGGTGGAGGTCAGGGTTAGTGTGGTCAGTATGGTAGGGTAAGGGTGGAGGTCAGGGTTAGTGTGGTCAGTATGTTAGGGTAAGGGTGGAGGTCAGGGTTAGTGTGGTCAGTATGTTAGGGTAAGGGTGGAGGTCAGGGTTAGTGTGGTCAGTATGGTAGGGTCAGGGTGGAGGTCAGGGTTAGTGTGGTCATTATGTTAGGGTAAGGGTGGAGGTCAGGGTTAGTGTGGTCAGTATGGTAGGGTCAGGGTGGAGGTCAGGGTTAGTGTGGTCAGTATGTTAGGGTCAGGGTGGAGGTCAGGGTTAGTGTGGTCAGTATGGTAGGGTCAGGGTGGAGGTCAGGGTTAGTGTGGTCAGTATGTTAGGGTAAGGGTGGAGGTCAGGGTTAGTGTGGTCAGTATGTTAGGGTAAGGGTGGAGGTCAGGGTTAGTGTGGTCAGTATGTTAGGGTAAGGGTGGAGGTCAGGGTTAGTGTGGTCAGTATGTTAGGGAAAGGGTGGAGGTCAGGGTTAGTGTGGTCAGTATGGTAGGGTCAGGGTGGAGGTCAGGGTTAGTGTGGTCAGTATGTTAGGGTCAGGGTGGAGGTCAGGGTTAGTGTGGTCAGTATGGTAGGGTAAGGGTGGAGGTCAGGGTTAGTGTGGTCAGTATGGTAGGGTAAGGGTGGAGGTCAGGGTTAGTGTGGTCAGTATGTTAGGGTAAGGGTGGAGGTCAGGGTTAGTGTGGTCAGTATGTTAGGGTCAGGGTGGAGGTCAGGGTTAGTGTGGTCAGTATGTTAGGGTAAGGGTGGAGGTCAGGTTTAGTGTGGTCAGTATGTTAGGGTAAGGGTGGAGGCCAGGGTTAGTGTGGTCAGTATGTTAGGGTCAGGGTGGAGGTCAGGGTTAGTGTGGTCAGTATGGTAGGGTCAGGGTGGAGGTCAGGGTTAGTGTGGTCAGTATGGTAGGGTAAGGGTGGAGGTCAGGGTTAGTGTGGTCAGTATGTTAGGGTAAGGGTGGAGGCCAGGGTTAGTGTGGTCAGTATGTTAGGGTAAGGGTGGAGGCCAGGGTTAGTGATAGTATATTAAAGGTAGTTAGTATTGACCATGGATGTGATCTGAAGCCGTACCAGGGTTAGGGTTAGTATATTAGATGGTAGTAGGTAGTTGGTACTGACCATGGTTGAGATCCGAAGCCGTACCAGGGTTAGTATATTAGATGGTACTGACCATGGTTGAGATCCGAAGCCGTACCAGGGTTAGGGTTAGTATATTAGATGGTAGTAGGTAGTTGGTACTGACCATGGTTGAGATCCGAAGCCGTACCAGGGTTAGGGTTAGTATATTAGATGGTAGTAGGTAGTTGGTACTGACCATGGTTGAGATCCGAAGCCGTACCAGGGTTAGTATATTAGATGGTACTGACCATGGTTGAGATCTGAAGCCGTACCAGGGTTAGGGTTAGTATATTAGATGGTAGTAGGTAGTTGGTACTGACCATGGTTGAGATCCGAAGCCGTACCAGGGTTAGTATATTAGATGGTAGTAGGTACTGACCATGGTTGAGATCCGAAGCCGTACCAGGGTTAGGGTTAGTATATTAGATGGTAGTAGGTAGTTGGTACTGACCATGGTTGAGATCCGAAGCCGTACCAGGGTTAGGGTTAGTATATTAGATGGTAGTAGGTAGTTAGTATTGACCATGGTTGAGATCCGAAGCCGTACCAGGGTTAGGGTTAGTATATTAGATGGTAGTAGGTATTTGGTACTGACCATGGTTGAGATCCGAAGCCGTACCAGGGTTAGTATATTAGATGGTAGTAGGTAGTTGGTACTGACCATGGTTGAGATCCGAAGCCGTACCAGGGTTAGGGTTAGTATATTAGATGGTAGTAGGTAGTTGGTACTGACCATGGTTGAGATCCGAAGCCGTACCAGGGTTAGTATATTAGATGGTACTGACCATGGTTGAGATCCGAAGCCGTACCAGGGTTAGGGTTAGTATATTAGATGGTAGTAGGTAGTTGGTACTGACCATGGTTGAGATCCGAAGCCGTACCAGGCCAGCTGTAGTATCTGGAAGCCCAGGCCCAGTAGGATGGTGTTCTTATTCCCTATGGAGCGCATCAGGATCCCCAGAACCACCGTCTGACAAAGGGAACATAGCAGGTAGTCAATCAATCGACCAAACAATCAGTCATTCATTACATATATGTCAACTCTGGCTCTGGGACCTATTGCGAGGCAGAATATCTATACTAAAGTATAAAAACAACACAACAAGTGTCAAAAGTCACCAACCTGAGCAACAATTGAGAGGATTCCCACCACAGCTATGAAGGCTGCTACTGTCTCTGAACTGAACCTTTGCACCTGGGGGGAGAAGACAGGTTAGAGGAGGCACCTGGGGGGAGAAGACAGGTTAGAGGAGGCACCTGGGGGGAGAAGACAGGTTAGAGGAGGCACCTGGGGGGAGGAGGCACCTGGGGGGAGGAGACAGGTTAGAGGAGGCACCTGGGGGGAGGAGGCACCTGGGGGGAGGAGACAGGGTAGAGGAGGCACCTGGGGGGAGGAGCACCTGGGGGGAGAGACAGGTTAGAGGAGGCACCTGGGGGGGAGGAGACACCTGGGGGGAGGAGACAGGTTAGAGGAGGCACCTGGGGGGAGGAGACAGGTTAGAGGAGCACCTGGGGGGAGGAGACAGGTAGAGGAGGCACCTGGGGGGAGGAGACAGGTTAGAGGAGGCACCTGGGGAGGAGGAGAGGAGCACCTGGGAGGGTAGGAGCACCTGGGGGGGAGGAGACAGGTTAGAGGAGGCACCTGGGGGAGGAGAGGAGAGACAGGTTAGAGGAGGCACCTGGGGGGACGGGGGAGAGACAGGTTAGAGGAGGCACCTGGGGGGAGGAGGCACCTGGGGGGAGGAGACAGGTTAGAGGAGGCACCTGGGGGGGGAGGAGCACCTGGGGGGAGGAGACAGGTTAGAGGAGGCACCTGGAGGGGGAGGGGGGCACCTGGGGGGAGGAGACAGGGAGGAGCACCTGGGGGGAGGAGGCAGTGGACACCTGGGGGGAGAGACAGGTTAGAGGAGGCACCTGGGGGGAGGAGCACTGGGGAGGAGGCACCTGGGGGGAGGAGACAGGTTAGAGGAGGCACCTGGGGGGAGGAGACAGGTTAGAGGAGGCACCTGGGGGGAGGAGACACCTGGGGGGAGGAGACACCTGGGGGGAGAGGAGACAGGTTAGAGGAGGCACCTGGGGGAGGAAAACAGGTTAGAGGCAGGCACCTGGGGGGGAGGCAGTTACACCTGGGGGGAGGAGGCACCTGGGGGGAGGAGACAGGTTAGAGGAGGCACCTGGGGGGAGGAGACAGGTTAGAGGAGGCACCTGGGGGGAGGAGACACCTGGGGGGAGAGGAGAGCACCTGGGGGAGGAGTCACCTGGGGGGAGGAGACAGGTTAGAGGAGGCACCTGGGGGGGGAGACCTGGGGGAGCAGGTTGGTAGAGGGAGGACCTGGGGGGAGGAGACAGGTTAGGAGGGAGGCACCTGGGGGGAGGCAGGGGCACCTGGGGGAGAGGGGAGAACAGGTTAGAGGAGGCACCTGGGGGGGTAGGGGAGACAGGTTAGAGGAGGGCACCTGGGGGGGACGGGGAGGTCACCTGGGGGGAGGAGACAGGTTAGAGGAGGCACCTGGGGAGGAAGAGAGGCACCTGGGGGGAGAAGACAGGTTAGAGGAGGCACCTGGGGGGAGGAGTCACCTGGGGGGAGAAGACAGGTTAGAGGAGGCACCTGGGGGGAGGAGTCACCTGGGGGGAGGAGACAGGTTAGAGGAGGCACCTGGGGGGGATGGAGGAGTCACCTGGGGGGAGGAGACAGGTTAGAGGCGGCACCTGGGGGAGGAAGAGAGTCACCTGGGGGGAGGAAGACAGGTTAGGAGGAGGCACCTGGGGGGAGAAGTGAGGTCACCTGGGGGGAGGAGACAGGTTAGAGGAGGGCACCTGGGGGGAGGAGGCACCTGGGGGGAGGATAGACCTGGGGGGAGGAGACAGTTACACCTGGGGGGAGGAGACAGGTTAGAGGAGGAGGAGACACCTGGGGGGAGGAGGACACCTGGGGGGAGAGAGACCAATAGAGAGGGGGGAGAGACACCGGGGGGAGGAGACACTGGGGGAGGAGACAGGTTAGAGGAGGCACCTGGGGGGAGGAGAAGGTTAGAGAGGCCTGGGGGAGGAGACACCTGGGGGGGGCACCTGGGGAGGAGGCACCTGGGGGAGGAGACAGTTTAGAGGGAGGCACCTGGGGGAGGAGACAGTTAGAGGAGGCACCTGGGGGAGGAGACACCTGGGGGGGGATTCACCTGGGGGAGGAGACAGGTTAGAGGAGGAACTGGGGGGAGGAGGGCACATGGGGGGAGGAGGCACCTGGGGGGAGGGACCTGGTCATTGTGATTGAATCTGTGTTGAAATTCACTGCTCAACTGAGGGACCTTATTGTATATGTGGGGCACAGTGATGAGGTAGTCATTCAAAAATCATGATAAACACTATTATTGCACACAGACTGAGTCTATGCAACCTGTGAGACTTGTTAATCACATTTTTTACTTCTGAACTTATTTAGGCTTGCCATAACAAAGGGGATGGATACGTATTGACTCAAGATGTTTCAGCTTGACATTTTTAATTAATTTGTAAAAATTTCTAAAAACATAACTCCACTTTGACATCATGGGGTATTATGTGTAAGCCAGTGACACTAAATCTCAATTTAATAGATTTAAAAAATCAGGCTGTAACACAAAATGTGGAATATGTCAAGGGGTGTGAATACTTTCTGAACGTCATGTACATATACAGTACACGTTAGAGTAGATCAAATACATGTTAAGGTAGACAGACAAAGGGCTCACAGAGGTTATACACAGACCCTGAATCCCACATCAAACCCTACCTCCTAGGCAGTGTTGATTTTGGATTCAGGGAAAGGGCTAAACTCCCCTCACTGGGAGATGCTTCCTGTTTTCACAGTAAGAAATATTTCTGTGGGCAGTGATAATAGTTTGCAAACAATGACTAGAATTGAATTCCAACTGTCACAAGACATTCAGCAGACAAACACAACAGATACTTATATGAGAAGTCTCTCTGGAGGAATTCTCTCCACATTCTTCACACTCCTCCTCACAACCTTGAAGACACCACAGAGGCGCTGTGGCTGGTGTTCCGTTAACAGCTACTGTTGTCCTTGAATAACACAAGGGCCTTTTCAGTGTTTACTGGTAGTGGATCTATTTGTCAGTCAGTCAGTGGTTGAGTACCAAAATGTCACCATACTCCCTACATAGGGTTCTGTTCAAAAGTAGTGCACTATGGTCAAATGTAGCACACTCTGTAGGGAATGGGGTGCCATTTGGGACACAAACAGAGAGCTAGACTGGCCCAGGGGTCTACACTAACGTTTTCCACTGGTGGCACTGGTGCTACAAACTTTTTCAGTTGATGGCACCAGCACATTCTTTGGGCGCACACATTTTTATATGATATTGACCTGACCTGTATCCCATAATGTAACTGCATTCCATACAGAACCAGGCTAATAATGACTAGCCATCTTTTAAATATGCATGCCCTTGCAGGGCTTGACATTCAGGTAAATTTGCAAAGGGGCACTCTGGGCCAGTGCCAACTGAAAGCTACTGGCCAGAATGAAAATAATACTGGCCCAGGAAAGTGGATGATGCGCGCATCATTTAAATGTCATCTTTAATTTGCGGGCTGAGCAATTATCCTACAGCCTATAATAATCTACCTTCTGTACAACAGGTGGCTGGTGGCACCTTAATTGGGGAGGACGGGCTCATAGTAATGGCTGGAACGGAATAAATTGAATGGTATCAAACAAGTGGTTTCAATGTGTTCGATAACACTCCATTCCAGACATTATTATGAGCAGTCCTCCTCTTAGCAGCCTCCTGTGCTCCATACACAAAAAAACACCTTGTGGAACAGCGGGGACTGTGAATAGACACACACGCATACATATAGACACTCACTCTAAACACACACGTACACACGGATGTTGTATTGTAAATATGTGATAGTGGAGTAGTGGACTGAGGGAACACACTAAATGTATTTGGGTAAAGTGTTATGAAATATAATGTCATGTAATATTTTAAATTGTATATAACTGCCTTATATTGCAGGACCCCTGGAAGAGTAGCTGCTGCCTCATTAATAAATACAAAAATAATATTTTAACACGACGATATCATATTTACATTGATCGTTTGGAGGGGAAAAAATAAAATCCTTGCGCAATCTCAGAGGGTTTTATTGTTAGTGATTTTGAACAGTCGCTCTCCAGTTGTAGGGCCCTATAAAATCAGTTGTATCTTTCGGTAAATTTTTCACCGTTTTATTTTTCCAGGTTTCCGAGTTGTCCTATATTATTCAGGTTTCCAGCCCAAAAGAAATAATCACAACAAATGGATGCTCTAAGTCCACAACAATGCTTAAACCACATCAGGAGACTACTTTCAGGTCTGGGAACAATACAACACAGAGGGTGTCGTTGCCCTTTAACTCAATTGTGTACCTAGCAAGAGACTGTTGTGTTTGGCTAACACTGGTTTTTGTACTGTACAATGTAGGCTACATGTGATGGCAGAGTTTGCTAAACAAATTCCATCCGATTGATACAAATCCTCATTATATAATTCTGCCAGGTAGGCCTACTTTGCAGTCAACATTTAAAATGGGAAGGTTTTTTGGGAAAGCCTTTAGAAATGTTCATTCAAACAGCGCACGACTGAATTGAGAATCGCATTGATTCAACCAAGACTTTGGACCAAACTTTTTTGAATACCTTGCTTGCATACCCATTGCTGTTTGAATAAATCTTGATAATAAAAAAAAGAAGCAAATTAAGAACAAAAACTTACTCGAACCAGCTACATTTATTTCACTGGCACCCAGCGACCAATAAAAAAAAAAAACTGGTGTCACACTGCCATGTCAAAGGGCCGCAAATGCGAGTGTTTTGGGTGCAGTTTTGAGCACTGCTGGCTGACTAGTTCTCTAACTGTAGTTAACTAGGGACAGACTAGACCATGTTGACGACACTGTAACAGTTGCCCTACTTGGCCACTTTCTAAGGAGTTTGTGGGGAGTTCGTTGGAAGGCCTTCAGTGAATAGACAGATATGAAGCAGACCACATTGTACTATTTTTGTACTCCACTATAAATTTGCTGATGCATCACTGAATCTACCCACCAAAATAGGGGATGAGGCTAGGGGTTAGGGGTTGGTTTGATGCGGCTGTTACCATGATTACGGATAATCCTGAATGAAATCGTGAATAATGATGAGTGAGAAAGTTAGACGCACAAATATCATACCCCCGCAAAAATGCTAACCTCCCCTGTAATTGTAACGGTGAGAGGGTTAGCATGTCTTGGGGGTATGATCATTGACCCTTTCGCACTCATCATTATTCACGATCCATTCAGGATTAACCGTAATCATGGTACCATCCACATTCATGTAGAAGTGTTTAGAAAAATATGATATTCTTATTTACAATAAAAGTGACTCCAAAATGACACAATACATTATTTACCATTCATTTCTATATTGGGCACAAAATAATCTGAAACAAAACCAAAAATAACAGCAACTGCATCCAACAAATGTGTAGAGTCACAAGCCTGATGTAGTCATTGCGTGCTATGAATATGGGACCAAATACTACACTTTTAACTACTTTAATACACATAAGTGAATTTGTCCCAATACATTTGGTCCCCTAAAATGAAGGGACTATGTACAAAAAGTGCTGTAATTTCTAAACGGTTCACCTGATATGGATGAAAATACCCTCAAATTAAAGCTGACAGTCTGCATTTTAACCTCATAGTCATTGTATCACTTCAAATCCAAATTGCTGGACTACAGAGCCAAAACAACAACAAAATTGTCACTGTCCCAATACTTCTGGAGGTCACTGTTTGCCACACCATACCTTAAAAGAGCTGTTATCCTCAAATGATGTGCCTTGCTCACAAAAATTAAGCAGGACCCGGCTAACCGGTCTGTTTTACCAAACTCTCTTTTTGGCAAGATTAACATCCTTCCTCAATTAAATTGTTTATTCCAAAGTCTTCACTGTCACCTATCAGTCCTTAAATATATATATTATACTTTTTTTATGTGAATGCCATTATCTCTAAATATTTCTGGAACAATAAGAAACCTAGAATCAAATTGAACAAACTAATTAAGCGTAAGGACTTGCGAGGGCTCTACTATATCATTGGCCTGCTCACATCAAGCACGTGTTTGTGCCTAGACAGATGTGACTCACTTTGGGTTGGGATGGAATCAACAGAATGTCATTCCAAGTGCCTTATGTTCGTTACCATTTATTAATAATTGTGAAAAAAAATTCTGGTCTCATCTGACCATTTAATAACATGTAATACACGCTTAGCTTGGAGAGATGCAAGGAGATACTTGCAGAATCCACACCATATATCACTCTGGTCACCGATTACTCTTAATCCTGACTTTCCCCCAAATAAGGGACAAATATGTAAGGACAGCTGTAAATATATATATATATATATATATATATATATATATATATATATATATATATATATATATATATATATATATAATTCATTTGTATTGTTGTTTCATTCACCCACCCACCCACCCATTTTGTAGAGGGCCAGAATAAAGTGGTTAAACAATATTTTCAAATTACTGTGGTTGGAAAAACTGTTTTTAATTCTACTGTTCGGAGGGGTTTAATCTGACACATTGAGATACAGTGGGGAGAACAAGTATTTGATACACTGCCGATTCTGCAGGTTTTCCTACTTACAAAGCATGTAGAGGTCTGTAATTTTTATCATAGGTACACTTCAACTGTGAGATACGGAATCTAAAACAAAAATCCAGAAAATCACATTGTATGATTTTTAAGTAATTATTTTGCATTTTATTGCATGACAAGTATTTGATCACCCACCAACCAGTAAGAATTCCAGCTCTCACAGACCTGTTAGTTTTTCCTGTTCTCCACTCATTACCTGTATTAACTGCACCTGTTTGAACTCGTTACCTGTATAAAAGACACCTGTCCACACACTCAGACTCCAACCTCTCCACAATGGCCAAGACCAGAGAGCTGTGTAAGGACATCAGGGATACAATTGTAGACCTGCACAAGGCTTGGATGGGCTACAGGACAATAGGCAAGCAGCTTGGTGAGAAGGCAACAACTGTTGGCGCAATTATTAGAAAATGGAAGAAGTTCAAGATGACAGTCAATCACCCTCGGTCTGGGGCTCCATGCAAGATCTCACCTCGTGGGGCATCAATGATCATGAGGAAGGTGAGGGATCAGCCCAGAACTACACGGCAGGACCTGGTCAATGACCTGAAGAGAGCTGGGACCACAGTCTCAAAGAAAACCATTAGTAACACTACGCCGTCATGGATTAAAATCCTGCAGTGCACGCAAGGTCCCCCTGCTCAAGCCAGCACATGTCCAGGCCCGTCTGAAGTTTGCCAATAACCATCTGGATGATCCAGAGGAGGAATGGGAGAAGGCCATGTGGTCTGATGAGAACAAAATATAGCTTTTTGGTCTAAACTCCACTCGCCGTGTTTGGAGGAAGAAGAAGGATGAGTACAACCCCAAGAACACCATCGCAACCGTGAAGCATGGAGATGGAAACATCATTCTTTGGGGATGCTTTTCTGCAAAGGGGACAGGATGACTGCACCGTATTGAGGGGAGGATGGATGGGGCCATGTATCGCGAGATCTTGGCCAACAACCTCCTTCCCTCAGTAAGAGCATTGAAGATGGGTCATGGCTGGGTCTTCCAGCATGACAACGACCCGAAACACACAGCCAGGGCAACTAAGGAGTGGCTCCGTAAGAAGCATCTCAAGGTCCTGGAGTGGCCTAGCCAGTCTCCAGACCTGAACCCAATAGAAAATCTTTGGAGGGAGCTGAAAGTCCGTATTGCCCAGCGACAGCCCCGAAACCTGAAGGATCTGGAGAAGGTCTGTATGGAGGAGTGGGCCAAAATCCCTGCTGCAGTGTGTGCAAACCTGGTCAAGACCTACAGGAAATGTATGATCTCTGTAATTGCAAACAAGGTTTCTGTACCACAATATTAAGTTCTGCTTTTCTGATGTATCAATACTTAGGTCATGCAATAAAATGCAAATTAATTACTTAAAAAATTATACAAGTGGATTTTCTGGATTTTTGTTTTAGATTCCATCTCTCACAGTTGAAGTGTACCTATGATACAAATTACAGACCTCTAAATGCTTTGTAAGTAGGAAAACCTGCAAAATTGGCAGTGTATCAAATACTTGTCCTCCCCACTGTATATTTGGAAGAGAGACATTGGGAGTGCATTTGGTGATGAGGACTGGACTGCTATCTGTTAAAGGGTCTACCCCAAATGCACCTCTATAAGCATACAATAACTACGTTTCATTATTTCATAGAACCTACTTTACACCTGTTTGCCTTAATTTGTTTCAAATGTCAACAAGATACTGGCACCTTTATGCACGTATTTTGGAATGAGGTTCATTTACAAATTCAGAAGATCTTAGACAATTTGCTCTTTCACCGAACGTATAACTACTTTATTTTGACTAACATTTTATTTGATCCCGACTCTTTTGAACATCTGTTTAATACTCGTCTATTTTGAAGGTCCACACCTGAAATACTGTCTGCGAGGATGTGGCTTTCAGCTTTCTACTATTATACAGCCCCCCCCAAAAAACTCACTTTTGACCTGTACGAGGACTGAAAAGTTCTGGAAAATCTGGTCACCATTATGGTCATACGTAGAAAGCCTGCCATAAATGCCACATAGAAGATACTGCTGTCTTTTTATTTTACAAATGCTAATTTTTTCGAATATGTTTTTTTACTGTATTTTTTACTAAACTCCATGTACTACATATGTGTGGTACACTTTGTTTTGTTGTCTGTGTAAACCCTGATCAAAGAAAATAAAAAAATAAAAACAAATAAAAAATTGCTCAGAAAACCTGTGGGGCTAAATTAAATCACACGCGGGCCAAATTCGGCCTGCGGGCCACCAGTTGGAGAACCCTGTAGGGGGTGAGGCTAGGTGTTGTCAGTACCTGTCTGAGATAGAGAAAGAAACTGGAGTATTGTCCGGCCTCAGGTAGGTAAGACAGGAACACCGTGATGCAGATGAGAAGCACCGTGGAATCCTGGCCCACCTTCCGCAGGGACTGGAGAGGACACACACACACACACACACACACACACACACACACACACACACACACACACACACACACACACAACACATTAGATTCAGATGAATTTTGTTGTCACATAAACACAGATTGATTGTCCTGTTCCTAAGAATTATTACAGTATTCATAGTTGCACGTTGCGTCTATTGTTTTGAATGTTCGTTTTAGGACTGATGCCCAACAGAGCAGTCTACTCAATGCATCCTCATAAGGCACTGATGAAGATTTGGTCTTAATTCTAAAGAACGCAAATAATTAGTAGGAAAACCTTTTGTCATTATTTTGATTTGACTTTAGATGCAGTATAACGTTGGCTATCTAGCTAATATTGAGGAGAGATTTTAGATAGCTAACGTTAGCATTGTTAGCTATTTTTGACAAACTTTGCTAGCTAATGACAACATTGAAGTGGTTTAAAGTACTTAAGTAAAAATTCTTGAAAGTACTACTGAAGTAGTTTTTTTGGGGTATCTGTACTTTACTATTTATATTTGACAACTTTTACTGTACTACATTCCTAAAGAATATTATGTACTTTTTACTTCATACATTTTCCCCGACACCCAAAAGTACTTTGAATTCTTAACAGGACAGGAAAATGGACCAATTCACACACACTAATCAAGAGAACATCCCTGGTCATCCCTACTGCCTCTGATCTGGCAGAACTCACGAAACACAAATGCTTTGTTTGTAAATTATGTTTGAATGTTGGAGTGTGTCCCTGGCCATCTGTAAATTAAAAAATTAAAAAATAAAATTGTGCCGTCTGGTTTGCTTAACATAAGGAATTTGAAATGATTTATACTTTTGATACTTAAGTATATTTCAGCAATTACATTTAGTATTTTACTGGGTGACTCACTTTTACGTGAGTCATTTTCTATTAAGGCATCTTTACTTTTACTCAAGTATGACAATTGGGTTCTTTTTCCACCACTGCAACATTGCCATCTGTCTAAAGTAAATTAGACAACATGATGATAGCAAAGTTGTTTCCTACTAAATGTGTGCCTGCTTTATCAATATCATCATAATCCAAAGTAACCTACAGTGTAATTTAGACAACACAGTCAATAGATCCGGTTCAAAGTCATTAGCCCCAGTTCTACTTTTGAGCATCAATATGAATGTGGCGTCTGTAGAACGTTGATAACAATGGCAACGACGCAATCCGAGTGACGGAAATGCAACCCATGAATAGTACTCACAGCGAAGGGGGTCAGCCTGCTCCCAGGAGGTAGTATAGTACATTATTATATAATATATTAGTATATACAGTTAGGGAAAAAAGTATTTGATCCCCTGCTGATTTTGTTCGTTTGCCCACTGACAAAGAAATGATCAGTGAGAGACAGAATAACAACAACCAAATCCAGAAAAGCGCATGTCAAAAATGTTATAAATTGATTTGCATTTTAAATGAGGGAAATAAGTATTTGACCCCCTCTCAATCAGAAAGATTTCTGGCTCCCAGGTGTATTTTATACAGGTAACGAGCTGAGATTAGGAGCACACTCTTAAAGGGAGTGCTCCTAATCGCAGCTTGTTACCTGTATAAAAGACACCTGTCCACAGAAGCAATCAATCAGATTCCAAACTCTCCACCATGGCCAAGACCAAAGAGCTCTCCAAGGATGTCAGGGACAAGATTGTAGACCTACACAAGGCTGGAATGGGCTACAAGACCATCGCCAAGCAGCTTGGTGAGAAGGTGACAACAGTTGGTGCGATTATTCGCAAATGGAAGAAACACAAAATAACTGTCAATCTGCCTCGGCCTTGGGCTCCATGCAAGATCTCACCTCGTGGAGTTGCAATGATCATGAGAACGGTGAGGAATCAGCCCAGAACTACACGGGAGGATCTTGTCAGTGATCTCAAGGCAGCTGGGACCATAGTCACCAAGAAAACAATTGGTAACACACTACGCCGTGAAGGACTGAAATCCTGCAGCGCCCGCAAGGTTCCCCTGCTCAAGAAAGCACATGTACATGCCCGTCTGAAGTTTGCCAATGAACATCTGAATGATTCAGAGGAGAACTGGGTGAAAGTGTTGTGGTCAGATGAGACCAAAATGGAGCTCTTTGACATCAACTCAACTCGCCGTGTTTGGAGGCTGCCTATGACCCCAAGAACACCATCCCCACCGTCAAACATGGAGGTGGAAACATTATGCTTTGGGGGTATTTTTCTGATAAGGGTACAGGACAACTTCACCACATGAAAAGGGACGATGGATGGGACCATGTACCGTCAAATCTTGGGTGAGAACCTCCTTCCCTCAGCCAGGGTATTGAAAATGGGTCATGGATGGGTATTCCAGCATGACAATGACCCAAAACACACGGCCAGGGCAACAAAGGAATGGCTCAAGAAGAGGCCTAGCCAGTCTCCAGACCTTAATCCCATAGAAAATCTGTGGAGGGAGCTGAAGGTTCGAGTTGCCAAACATCAGCCTCGAAACCTTAATGACTTGGAGAAGATCTGCAAAGAGGAGTGTGACAAAATCCCTCCTGAGATGTGTGCAAACCTGGTGGTCAATTACAAGAAACATCTGACCTCTGTGATTGCCAACAAGGTTTTTGCCACCAAGTACTAAGTCATGTTTTGCAGAGGGGTCAAATACTTATTTCCCTCATTAAAATGCAAATCAATTGTTAACATTTTTGACATGCGTTTTTCTGGATTTTGTTGTTGTTATTCTGTCTCTCACTGTTCAAATAAACCTACCATTCAAATTATAGACTGATCATTTCTTTGTCAGTGGGCAAACGTACAAAATCAGCAGGGGATCAAATACCTTTTTCCCCTCACTGTAGTATTACAGTACTCACAGCGATGGGGTCAGCCTGCTCCCAGGAGGTAGTAGTAATAATAATAATAATAATAATAATAATAATAATAATAAGTCATTTAGCAGACGCTTTTATCCAAAGCGACTTACAGTCATGCGTGCATACATTTTTGTGTATGGGTGGTCCCGGGGATCGAACCCACTACCTTGGCGTTACAAGCGCCGTGCTCTACCAGCTGAGCTACAGAGGACCACGTATAGTACTATACTAGTACTATACTATGAGTAGTATAGTACTATAATATATTAGTATATAGTACTACAGTACTCACAGCGAAGGGGTCAGCCTGCTCCCAGGAGGTAGTATAGTATAGTACTATAATATATTAGTATATTGTACTACAGTACTCACAGCGAAGGGGTCAGCCTGCTCCCAGGAGGTAGTATAGTACTATAATATATTAGTATATAGTACTAGAGTACTCACAGCGAAGGGGTCAGCCTGCTCCCAGGAGGTAGTATAGTACTATAATATATTAGTATATAGTACTACAGTACTCACAGCGAAGGGGTCAGCCTGCTCCCAGGAGATGGGTGCTCCCCAGGAGGCCGGTCTCATCTTCTCGGGCAGTGACTCGGGGACGACCACCAGGATGAAAATTATGTCCAGCAGGGCGATGGCCGTAGCCAGGATCACTACCAGGGTGTCACCGTAAGTCACCGACAGGTACGCTCCAATGGCCGGGCTCGTCACCAAGCTGGCTGCAAAGGTAGCGGACACCTGAAGGGGGGGGGGGGGGGGGGGGACAAAGGAGAGGAAGAATATATATATATATATATATAACAGCTAAAACAACACTGATAGGATGTCCATATAGGTTGTTATTCAGTGTCCCTCCTCACCAAACCATAGGCTGTGCTCCTATCGTGTTCTGCCGTGATGTCTGCCACATACGCAAAGATCACAGAGAAGGTGACGGCAAACACACCGGACATGGAAATGACCGCAAAGTACCACCTGAAGAGAGGAGGAGAGAGGAGAAAGAACGGGAAGGAGAACGGAGGGAGCAGAAGAGATGAGTGAGGTGGTATGTTAGCAAGTCTGTATAGCTCTCTATTGTGACTGTGGATACCACTACAGTGAAGGTCCTGTTGAACCACGGGGAAACTGACAGAGATATGGGGCCAGCTGCAGAGATATGGGGCCAGCTGCAGAGATATGGGGCCAGCTGCAGAGATATGGGGCCAGTTGCATATTCTACTCCTGAACTTAAAGCTGCAATATGTAACTTTTTGGGCGACACACCCAAATTCACACAGAAATGTGTGTTATAGATCTGTCATTCGCATCGAAAGCAATTCTAAGAAGTGGTAGATCTGTTCTATGTGCGCTATTTCTATGCTTCCCGTTGTTAAGTTTAGTTTTTGCGTCTTTTACTTTCAGTTTTGTACACCAGCTTCAAAACAACTGAAAATACAATATCTTTGGTTATGGAAAATATATTTCACAGCGGTTTAGATGGTACAATGATTCTCACCAGGGGTACTCAACTATTACCCTACGAGGTCCGGAGGCTGCTGGTTTTCTGTTCTACCTGATAATGAATTGCACACACCTGGTGTCCCTGGTCTAAATCAATCCCTGATTAGAAGGGGAACAATGAAAACATACAGTGGAACTGGCTTGGAGGTCCAGAGCAGAGTTTGAAGGCCCCACACTATACTCGCTTGTTTTTGTCACAAACTGAAATTAGGAGAACTATTACAATTGTAGCAACCAGGAAATGGCTATGCGATTTCTGCACAGTGCATCTTTAAAAACACCTTCATGTCTCCGCACACTTGGAAGTTGACCATGCTTTTTATTAATCTGGCTATGCACAATCACAGCCCATAGAGATAGATGTATTAGTGATGTAGTAAGTAGAGTGTGTGTGTGTTCTCACCATGGGCTGATCTTCATCAGGGGGATGGGGGCGCAGGTGAAGAAGACTGTTAGCAGCAGGAAGGACTTCCTCCCCCATACGTCTGATAGCGCACCAATCAGAGGAGCACTCAGGAACGACAAAATACCCTGAGGGGAGGGAGCGAGCGAGCGACAGAGAGAAAGAGACAGACAGAGAGGAATGAGACCTTGGTGATCTGTGCACTGAGCTAATGAGTAACTAACAGTTAACTAACATGGACTGCATGTGGCTCTGGTCTAATAGTCCATGCTTTCCCATGATGCAACCTCCTCTACTAGACATGCACACTCCCCACCTTCAACATCTACAACCTTGAACAGCTACAACCTGAGATGAACAGCACCTACACACCCCACTACACAGACAACCTGAGATGAACAGCACCTACACACCCCACTACACAGACAACCTGAGATGAACAGCACCTACACACCCCACTACACAGACAACCTGAGATGAACAGCACCTACACACCCCACTACACAGACAACCTGAGATGAACAGCACCTACACACCCCACTACACAGACAACCTGAGATGAACAGCACCTACACACCCCACTACACAGACAACCTGAGATGAACAGCACCTACACACCCCACTACACAGACAACCTGAGATGAACAGCACCTACACACCCCACTACACAGACAACCTGAGATGAACAGCACCTACACACCCCACTACACAGACAACCTGAGATGAACAGCACCTACACACCCCACTACACAGACAACCTGAGATGAACAGCACCTACACACCCCACTACACAGACAACCTGAGATGAACAGCACCTACACACCCCACTACACAGACAACCTGAGACGAACAGCACCTACACACCCCACTACACAGACAACCTGAGATGAACAGCACCTACACACCCCACTACACAGACAACCTGAGATGAACAGCACCTACACACCCCACTACACAGACAACCTGAGATGAACAGCACCTACACACCCCACTACACAGACAACCTGAGATTCAAATGGAACATGGTGAGTTCAGGCCACATCATGCACTAGTGCAGCTAACAGTGGTTAAATAAAACACGCCTCCCCCCCGGCAGTGACAGACTGATTTAAAAAAAAAAAAAATCTAAAACGACTGAGTGTCCAAGCTATAGGCTAAACCCTGGCGCAACAGGCTAGGCCGCTGTTATCTGGCGTTATCTTACCTTGACACCGTGAATAAGGCCATTCATCAGGAACGTGTGTTGAGGGAATGTTTGATGTAAGACCTGGGGAAACAAACACAGATAACACCTCAACTGTTGTGTCCATACAGTGAGCAGACCTACTCCGTACAGTGACTGGTTTACACTTCAGTGTTAGTCAAACTAAAGCAGAGGGAAGTACCCATGCATTCACTTACACAATATCCACTTCAATATAAAGAGAACACAAAAATAAACTGCTGTGCCTGTTTAAGTACAGCGTAACAGACTTGTGACCTACGGTGACTGGTCTTGACTACAGTAACTTCAGTTACCCCCCCCCCCCCCCAAACAACAACAACAACAACAACAACTAAATATAAACAAAATAACAAAAAAAGAATGAATGCACTAACTATAAATCGCTCTGGATAAGAGAGTCTGCTAAATGACAACAATTTAAAACGATCACTTAGTCAACAGTTAGTCACACTATAGCACAGGAAAATACCCTTCACACAATATCCACTTCGTTGTTTGACAGTGACCTTTCTGCGTCTGAGATACTGAGAGAAACAAATATGGTTAGTTAGGTCATAGAAACTAAACGGAGGTAGAAAGGTTGAAGGGACACCAGCACACTGTGTAAAGTTAGGTATCTTTTAAAGTACAACGTTTTGTTTCATTGTTAACTGAAGGAGGTCTAGGAAGGTCACCGAAACACACTGAGGCAAGCAGGCAGATTGGATAATTTCCCTCAAATTCACAAACAGAGGTCAGGCATGAAATACAAAATACAGTCCAAATACAGGCCTAAATCTACAGTTTAAAGTCTACAGTATTTGAGATGGGGGGGGGCACAGCTTGAGAACAAGTGAGGGAGGGGGTCAATGACACCAGTAGGAACGTGACCCTGTTGCATGTTCAGAGTCAGACAGGCCTGAGAGAACAAACAATTACTAGGGTTGCATCCCAAAATGGCACCACCCTATTCCCTACGGGCCCTGGTCAAAAGTAGTGCACTATATATGGTCAAAGGTAGTGTACTATATAGGGAATAGTGTGCCATTTCTGACACAGCCAGAGTCTGAGTATTGGTCAGGAGGACATGGTCTCAACTAAACATGGATTAATCCCGGGTTTCAACTGTACCAGGCAGATAGCAGATAGCGTGTATGGCGTTGTGTGGGCGAGTGGTTTGCTGATGTCAACGTTGTGAACAGAGTGCCCCTTGGTGGCGGTAGGGTTATGGTATGGGCAGGCATAAGCTACGGACAATGAACACAATTTATTTTTATCAATTTCAATGCACAGAGATACCGTGACGAGATCCTGAGGCCCATAGTCATGCCATTCATCCACCGCCATCACCTCATGTTTCAGCATGATAATGTACGGCCTCATGTCGCAAGGATCGGTACACTATTCCTGCAAGCTGAAAATGTCCCAGTTCTTCCATGGCCCGCATACTCACCAGACATGTCACCCGTTGAGCATGTTTGGGATGCTCTGGAGCGTGTTCCAGTTCCCGTCAATATCCAGCAACTTCGCACAGCCATTGATGGGGAGTGGGACAACATTCCACAGACCACAATAAACAGCCTGAACAACTCTATGCAAAGGAGATGTGTCGCGTTACTTGAGGCAAACGGTGGTTTTTAAGGTATCAGTGACCAACTGATGCATACCTGTATTCCCAGTCATGTGAAATCCATAGATTAGGGCCAAATGAATTTATTTCAATTGACTGATTTCCTTATATGAACTGCAACTCAATAAAATATTTTTAAATTGTTACATGTTGCGTTGATATTTTTGTTCATTGTATATAGTTTGTCTGATATGATTAGTTCTTCCATTGAGGGGAGTCATGTTTACATCTGCCTGTGTCTACAATATCTAGGGCCAGTCCCAAATGGTACCCTATTCCCTATATATAGTGCACTACTTTTGACCAGAGATCTATTGGCCCTTCTCAAATGTAGTGCACTACATAGGGAATAGGGTGCCATTTGGGACTGAACCCTATAGTCTAACAACAACCTTGCGCTGAACTTCTCTCTCCCCCTCGCTCTCTGATAAGCCCTTTCAAAAGTGAAAGGGACCTCGTTCAAATAATACACTGTTTGATGTCCCTTTACATATTCAGTCCATTAGTTCCTACCGACACAGAGCCTCTCATCCACACAACAGGTTGCGTCATCAGGCTTGCTCAACATTTCATTATCAATTCAATTATTCATAGCCGTTAGTGCAGCTGTTTGTGGGGAAATGTCACTCCCTGGTTGTCTGGTAGGGGTTGGAACAAATTAGGAATGGGTGGGAGGTATGAATGCAATATAAAACAGTCATTATGAATGCTTTATACAGTCCGGTCCTTTTGGGGGAAGGGGGCTCTTATCATTTTGGTCATTTAGCAGACACTCTTATCCAGAGCGACTTATAATGAGCTTGTTGTGTTTAGTGGTGGTGTGGAACGGGGTTGGCTCAGTGTTTAGTGGTGGTGGGGAACGGGGTTGGCTCAGTGTTTAGTGGTGGTGGGGAACGGGGTTGGCTCAGTGTTTAGTGGTGGTGGGGAACGGGGTTGGCTCAGTGTTTAGTGGTGGTGGAGAACAGGGTTGGTTCAGTGTTTAGTGGTGGTGGTGGGGAACGGGGGTGGCTCAGTGTTTAGTGGTGGTGGGGAACGGGGTTGGCTCAGTGTTTAGTGGTGGTGGGGAACAGGGTTGGCTCAGTGTTTAGTGGTGGTGGTGGGGAACGGGGGTGGTGGGGAACTGGGGTGGCTCAGTCTTTAGTGGTGGTGGGGTACGGGGGTGGTGGGGAACGGGGGTGGCTCAGTGTTTAGTGGTGGTGGGGAACAGGGGTGGTGGGGAACAGGGTTGGCTCAGTGTTTAGTGGTGGTGGGGAACAGGGTAGGCTCAGTGTTTAGTGGTGGTGGTGGGGAACGACTCAGGGCACTAAGCGTACTGCATGCATTGTGTGTAGCCTATTCCCTACTGTATGTTCTGTAGCCCGAAGGAAGCTTGGTGTTCCACACTAGAGCGGAACAGGTGGATGGACTCAGGTGTGGTGGCGGTTTAGGCTAGCGTGGGCATGTGTTGTCTCCCTACTGTAATGCATGTCCTGTATCCCTAAGGAAGCTCATGAGCATGCATTGTATATCCCAACTGTATGTATCCCTAAGTAACCACTAACCGTGTGTTTTATAGTGGAGGGGAGCAGTTGGGGATCAGGTGGTGGTTTACTTCTGTGATAATGCCAGAGAAGCCGGTGTTTGGAGGATATATTGGCATGGGCGTTGTTAGGCCCGAGACGCCATAGCTTTAGCCGTTGGTAACTTGTGGAACAGACACCGGCTAGAACACGGTTTGAAACCAATCAGCTTCCAGGATTAGACCCACCCCGTTGTATAACTACCCACAGTACCTACTGTGGGCGTGGTGTGTATCACTACGTGTTGTGTTCCTGTTCCCTGTAGGTGGGCTTAGGTGTGGTGGTGGGTTGGGCTACCATAGGCATGGGTTGTATCCCTACTGTATGTAATGTAGTCCTAGGTAAGCTCCATATTTGAGGGGAGCAGGTGGGCTCAGCTGTGGGGTGGTTTACCCATCTAGAGTACCTACTGTGGGCATGGGGGTGGTGAGCAGGTGGGCTCAGCTGTGAGCAGTCCTATGTGTTGTACCTATCACTGAGTAAGCCCCATGGGCCCTGGTCAAAAGGTAGTGCACTCTCGGGACGTGACCGTGGGCTCAGGGGGTTAACCTACCGTGAGCATGGGCGTGGTGAGCAGACCCCAGGCAAAGAACTCCAGGAAGATCACCACCACAGCATGGTAGACGCTGGGCTCACCCATCCCCTGGTGGGGCTACGGAACGGAGAGATGGAGAGAGGAGGAGCAGAAAAGAGAGAGATAAGAGAAAAAGGAGGGAGAGGGAGGATGAGAAAAGACGACAACAGTTAGCTGACAGACATACAATTCCAAAATGGTGTATGCACATCCAACACACTTTCATTTAAATAGCTAACGGACAACAAACATTTCAAAAGAAGTGTGAACGTCCACCAAACTGCAACAGGTGCAGAGTATAGCGAGGGACCCTTCCCAGGACTTCTGTTTGGGATTGACAAACTAAAGACGGGGAATTGCGGAACAGCTCTACCCATGCGAACACCAATCCAATCCTTTTAAATGCGTGGGAGGAATCGCAGGACACTTCCAGAGACGTAACAGGCTATTGACGATAGAGTGGGAAAGCATGTGGCTGTAAAGATTGGTCCACTCTACAGACAGTGGTTGGTTCAGTCAAGACCCCAAATCATGCAATGCAATGTCAAGTACAGCTCGTCTCATTGGGACTGCGTCCAACCAAGCTAGTCTGCAGCACAGGATTGTCAAGTGTATGACAAATAATTATTGTTGAGAAGATATGGTTCTCGTGAGATCTCGTTGTCCAATGGACCACGTAACTCAATCAAGATCAGTGACCTTTTGCTTATTATTGAAGCTTGAATTGAAGGCACCAAACTGACAAAACCAAGCAAACTCACAGCATATTCGGCTAGCTACCTAGCTAGATGCCTTTTTGTTTGATGTACTGTGAACTGACAAAGTCACATTAACCGACAATACATGAAGTTTGATAGTCCTTTCAGATTACATTTAAAAACATGCATTTTATAGCCATCATCTCTACAGACATTGTATCAACCTCATGCTTCAGCTAGCTAACTAGGAAAGCAACACACCCAACAAAATATATATAAAGTGCCAGTCAAAGGTTTGGACACACCTACTCATTCAAGGGTTTTTCTTTATTTTTTTACTATTTTCTACATTGTAGAATAATAGTGAAGACATCAAAACTATCAAATAATACATATGGAATCATGTAGTAACCCCAAAAAAAGTGCTAAATTCAAAATATATTTTATAATTGAGATTCTTCAAAGTAGCCACTCTTTTCCTTGATGACAGCTTTGCACACTCTTGGCATTCTCTCAACCAGCTTCATGAGGGTAGTCACCTGGAATGCATTTCAATTAACAGGTGTACCTTCTTAAATTATTTTTTGTGAAATTGATTTCCTTCTTAATGCATTTGAGCCAATCAGTTGTGTTGTAACAAGGTAGGGGGGGTATACAGAAGATAGCCCTATTTGGTAAAAGACCAAGTCCATATTATGGCAAGAACAGCTCAAATAAGCAAAGAAAAACAACATTACTGTAAGACATGAAGGTCAGTAAATACGGAACATTTCAAGAAATTTGAAAGTTTCATCAGGTGCAGTCGCCTGAGGACTGCCACAGGAATGGAAGACCCAGAGTTACCTCTGCTGCAGAGGATAAGTTCATTAGAGTTACCAGTCTCAGAAATTGCAGCCCAAATAAATGCTTCACAGAGTTCAAGTAACAGACACATCTCAACATCAACTGTTCAGAGGAGACAGTGAATCAGGCCTTCATGGTCGAATTGCTGCAAAGAAACCACTACTAAAGGACACCAAGAAGAAGAAGAGACTTGATTGGGCCAAGAAACACGAGCAATGGACATTAGACCGGTAGAAATGTATCCTTTTGTCTGGAGTCCAAATTGGAGATTTTTGGTTCCAACCGCCGTGGCATTGTGAGACGCGGTGTGGGTGAACAGATGATCCCTGCATGTGTATTTCCCATTGTAAAGCATGGTGGAGGAGGTGTTATGGTGTGGGGATGCTTGCTGGTGACACTGTCAGTGATTTATTTAGAATTCAAGGCACACTTAACCAGCATGGCTACCACAGCATTCTGCAGCGATACGCCATCCCATCTGGTTTGGGCTTAGTGGGACTATCATTTGTTTTTCAACAGGACAATGACCCAACACCCCTCCAGGCTGCATAAGGGCTATTTGACCAAGAAGGAGAGTGATGGAGTGCTGCATCAGATGACCTGGTCTCCACAATCCCCCGACCTCAACCCAATTGAGATGGTTTGGGATGAGTCGGACGGCAGAGTGAAGGAAAAGCAGCCAACAAGTGCTCAGCATATGTGAGGAACTCCTTCAAGACTGTTGGAAAAGCATTCCAGGTGAAGCTGGTTGAGAATGCCAAGATTGTGCAAAGCTGTCATCAAGGCAAAGGGTGGCTATTTGAAGAATCTAAAATATATATATACATACACATACACATACATAGCTGTGGAAAAAATTAAGAGACCACTGCAAATGTTTCTTAAATCAGCATCTCTACATGTATGACAGCCATTCCAATGTCTGTTGAATTCCAACACAGGCACACCTCATTCTACTGAATTAGGTACTGATTAGGTGATCACCGAAACATAATCTTATTTAACATGGAAAAGTATCAAAACCACTGCTGTGGTCATCACTATCCTCTTGCAATAGGACCAGCTGGATGGCAAAAATAGTGCTAATAATACCTCAAAGGTAATATTAATCAAAAAATAACTATTGACCATGCCAAAAGAGTTGAAAAGGAAAGTTTTGAGTGAGGAAAAGAAGGGTTCAATTCTGGCAGAGGGATACAGTGAGCATCAGGTTGCTTCCATCCTTAAAATGTCAAAGACAGCAGTTCATAAGAACAAGGTCAAGCAGCAGACATTGGGGACAACAAAGCTACAGACCGGCAGAGGGCGAAAAAACGACTCTACTGACCGGAATGACCGCCAACTCATTCAAATGTCACTCAACAACCGTAGGATGACATCAAGTGACCTACAAAAAGAATGGCAAACGGCAGCTGGGGTGAAGTGCACGGCGAGGACGGTTCGAAAACAGGCTCCTAGGGGCAGGGCTGAAGTCATGCAAAGCTAGAAAAAAGCCCTTCATCAATGAGAAGCAAAGAAGAGCCAGGCTGAGGTTTGCGAAAGACCATAAGGATTGGACCGTAGAGGACTGGAGTAAGGTCATCTTCTCTGATGAGTCCAATTTTCAGCTTTGCCCAACACCTGGTCGTCTAAAGGTTAGACGGAGACCTGGAGAGGCCTACAAGCCACAGTGTCTCGCACCCACTGTGGAAATTTGGTGGAGGATTGATGGTGATTTGGGGGTGCTTCAGCAAGGCTGGAATCGGGCAGATTTGTCTTTGTGAAGGACGCATGAATCAAGCTACGTACAAGGTTGTCCTGGAAGAAAACTTGCTTCCTTTTGCTCTGACATTGTTCCCCAACTCTGAGGATTGGTTTTTCCAGCAGGACAATGCGCCATGCCACACAGCCAGGTCAATCAAGGTGTGGATGGAGGACCACCAGATCAAGACCCTGTCATGGCCAGCCCAATCTCCAGACCTGAACCCCATTGAAAACTTCTGGAATGTGATCAAGAGGAAGATGGATGGTCACAAGTCATCAAACAAAGCCGAGCTGCTTGAAATTTTGCGCCAGGAGTGGCATAAAGTCACCCAACATCAATGTGAAAGACTGGTGGAGAGCATGCCAAGACGCATGAAAGCTGTGATTGAAAACCAGGGTTATTCCACCAAATATTGATTTTCCTTAGTTAAAACATTAGTATTGTGTTGTTTAAAAATGCACATGAACTTTCTTTGCATTATTCGAGGTCTGACAACACTGCATCTTTTTGTTATTTGACCAGTTGTCATTTTCTGCAAATAAAGGCTCTAAATGACAATATTTTAATTTGGAATATGGGAGAAATATTGTCAGCAGTTTATAGAATAAAACAAAAATGTTATTTTTACTATAAATAGTGAAACGAATGGTCCTCTGTAGCTCAGCTGGTAGAGCACGGCGCTTGTAACGCCAAGGTAGTGGGTTCGATCCCCGGGACCACCCATACACAAAAATGTATGCACGCATGACTGTAAGTCGCTTTGGATAAAAGCGTCTGCTAAATGGCATATTATTATTATTATTAAATTTTTTCTGCAGCTGTATACACACACATACACACGAGATGACTGACAGGGCTCGCTGTTTTGAAGCCACCGTGCCTCCATCTTGCCACTCCCCCGCCACTGTAAAAAGATATTTTGGAAGCTATAGAAATTGCATTTAATGACTTTTTTTTGCAACATTTATTCTATTACAGACACCTTAATGCATACTTCAAAATTATATTATGTGAGCTAAACATACAAATAAAAAAATTTGATGAGCGCACAGAAAAACGGGAGAAAAAAAAAACGAACTAAATGCTGAACCGACGTCGGTTAATTAGTTGTTTTAATTTTTTTTTAATTGAAATACTATAGAATTCCATTCATTCCTATGGAGGTCTCCTACTGGGGAGTGCCAATATGGCCGACCTATAGCTTCAAAGCCTCTCATTGGCCAATACATAGCATCACCAATCCAATGTTTATCTACACCGAGTGTACAAACCATTAGGAACACCTGCTCTTTCCATGACAGACTGACCAGGGGAAAGCTATGATCCCTTATTGATATCATTGGTTAAATCCACTTCAATCAGTGTAGATGAAGGGGGGGGGGGGGGGGGGACAGGTTCAATTAGGATTTTTAAGCCTTGAGACATGGAATGTGTACAGTTGAAGTCGGAAGTTTACGTACACCTTAGCCAAATACATTTCATCTCAGTTTTTCACAATTCCTGACATTTAATCTTAGTAAAAATTCCCTGTCTTAGGTCAGTTAGGATCACCACTTTATTTTAAGAATGTGAAATGTCAAAACAGCGAGTCCTGTCAGTCATCTTGTGTGTGTGTGTGTGTGTATACAGCTGCGGAAAAAGTATCAGTTTCTCTCGTTTTACTATTTATAGTAAAAATAACATTTTTGTTTTATTCTATAAACTACTGACAACATTTCTCCCACATTCCCAGTGGGTCAGAAGTTTACATACACTCAATTAGTATTTGGTAGCATTGCCTTTAAATTGTTTAACTTGGGTCAAACGTTTCAGGTAGCCTTCCACAAGCTTCCCACAATAAGTTGGGTGAATTTTGGCCCATTCCTCCTGACAGAGCTGGTGTAACTGGTCAGGTTTGTAGGCCTCCTTGCTCACACACGCTTTTTCAGTTCTGCCCACACATTTTCTATAGGATTGAGGTCAGGGCTTTGTGATGGCCACTCCAATACCTTGACTTTGTTGTCCTTAAGCCATTTTCCAACAACTTTGGAAGTATGCTTGGGGTCATTGTCCATTTGGAAGACCCATTTGCGACCAAGCTTTAACTTCCTGACTGATGTCTTGAGATGTTGCTTCAATATATCCACATAATTTTCCTTCCTCATGATGCCATCTGTTTTGTGAAGTGCACCAGTCCCTCCTGCAGCAAAGCACCCCCACAGCATGATGCAAGCCGAAGAACATCATCTCAACCGTGAAGCACGGGGGTGGCAGCAAGGCCCCCCTTTTTCCTCCAAACATAACAATGTTCATTACGGCCAAACAATTCTATTTTTCGTTTCATCAGACCAGAGGACATTTCTCCAAAAAGTACAATCTTTGTCCCCATGTGCAGTTGCAAACCGTAGTCTGGCTTTTATATGGCGGTTTTGGAGCAGTGGCTTCTTCCTTGCTGAGCGGCCTTTCAGGTTATGTCGATAAAGGACTCGTTTTACTGTGGATATAGATACGTTTGTAGATGTCCTTAACAGACTTGCCAAAACTATAGGTTTGTCAACAAGACATTTGTGGAGTGGTTGAAAAACTAGTTTTAATGACTCCGACCTAAGTGTATGTAAACTTCTGACTTCAACTGTATGCGTGTCATTCAGAGGGTGAATGGGCAAGACATTTAAGTGCCTTTAAAACAGAGAGTAGTAGGGGTCAGGCACACCGGTTTGAGTGTGTCAAGAACTGCAACGCTACTGGGTTTTTCACGCTCAACAGTTTCCTGTGTGATACTAGCAAGAGCAGTGTGCGGGTTTCTTATTTTTTCCTCATTTCTCTACCATAAGCCGCCTCCAACCGACCTCACAAAACGCAGACTACGTGTGCTGAACAGAGTGCCCCCATGGTGGTGATGGGGTTAGGGTATGAGCAGGCATAAACTACGGATAACGAACACAATTGCATTTTAGCGAATGCAATTTGAATGCGGAGATACCGTGATGAGATCCTGAGGCCCACTGTGGTGCCATTCATCCGCCGCCATCACCTCATGTTTCAGCGTGATAAGGTATCTGTGACCAACAGATGCATATCTGTATTCCCAGTCATGTGAAATCCATAGTTTAGGGCCTAATTTATTTATTTCAATTGACCGATTTCCTTATATGATCTGTAACTCAGTAAAATCTTTGAAACTGTTGCATTTATATTTTTGTTCAGTATAGTTCTCCACACTACGGTAACAATCAGACGGTAGGATACCATCTCCTTTAAGTTAACATACACACTGAGTTTACAAAACATTAGGAACACCTGCTCTTTCCACGACAGACTGACCAGGTGAAAGCTATGATCCCTTATGGAGGTCACCTGTTAAATCTACTTCAATCAGTGTAAATGAAGGGGGGAGACAGGTTAAATGATTTTTTAAGCCTTGAGACATGCATTGTGTATGTGTGCCATTCAGAGGGTGAATGGGCAAGACAAAATATTTAAGTGTCTTAGAATGGATTATGGTGGTAGGTGCACCGGTTTGTATCAAGAACTGCAACACTGCTGGGTTTTTCACACTCAACAGTTTCCTATGTGTATCAAGAATGGTCCACCACCCAAAGGACATCTAGCCAACTTGCCACAACCGTGGGAAGTATTCGAGTCAACGTGGGCAGCATCCCTATGGAACGCTTCTGACACCTTGTAGTCCATGCCCCGACGAATTGAGGCTGTTCTAAGGTCAAAAGAGGGTGCAACTCAATATTAGTAAGGTGTCCCTAATGTTTTGTACACTGTACACCATTGCCAACAACACCTCGAGTTAAAGGTGTTCGATTTGCTTTGTTTGACTACTACAGTAGCTTGGCTAGTTAGCGCATACACTTGAGGCAAAATTAGAATGATAAACGATCTAAATCTTACGTCAAACATACATAGTAACTAAAGACAAAACAAACTCGGATGAAGCGTGGCTCAATGCTGACTTGCTAGCTCGCCGTGTCTTGTTTCCTCTAACAGTACAACCTGTCCCACCTAGCTAACGTTAGCTAGCCAACAGCTGCTCGTTTGACATGAGACACTAGTGAGCTGACGACATGTTAAACGGCCCAGCCCGCAAACAACTGGTAGCTAAATTTGACAAAGTAAGCAAAACAAAATATCATGCTAGTTACCAATATTATGCAAAACATAACAATGTACCTAGCTAACGAAGAAAAATAGCTACATATTTTAGCTACTCACACTGCCTCCATCTTTTATAATAATTTTCTTAGCCAGAAGAATGCTGCGGTTCAGCCGCTTCTTCTTCTTCTTTTCTCCCGTCATTGTTAACTTATGTCCATTCTTGATGTCAGAGGGGTAACTTCAGGAATAAGCTCTCGAAAATATCAATATTTGACTTCGCCTTCTCCGGCTACACAGCAAGTGATTGCCCAATGCACATATCCCCACCTCATTTTGATCCATCTTCCTGTGTATATAGCACACCGCCCCTCCGGCACGACACTTAGCCCTGATTGGCAGACGCTAAAGGAGGCGGAAGAGGAACCTCTACATTTGATAGGTTCAGTAAAATGTTTGTACCATCGATCACAAAATGTATTTTGTCCGCAACATCTGTAGGGTTTGCGACAACAGAGGGACATCCTTTCGGGCAGTACAGTAACACATGCTCCGAGACTATTATCATTAATTGGAGGAGGCATGTGTTCATATGTCATTTTTTTTACCATACAAAAAAAAACAGGTAGCCAACAGTTAGTTACCTTCTCACCTCGTCTTCGTGTATTGGTGTTTTTGGGCAGAGACTTGTCCATCATATGTAAGGTAAAACCCAACATGCAACAATTTCATTGGTTTTACAGTTCGAGGAAATCAGTCAGTTGAAATACATTCATTAGGCACTAATGATACCTAAAAAAAAAAAAAAATTGGGCCTCAAAATCTCGTCATGGTATTTTCGTGCATTCAAATTGCCATCAATAAAATGCAATTGTGTTTGTTGTCTGTAGCTTATGCCTGCCCATACCGTAACCCCACCGCCACCATTGGGCACTCTGTTCACAACGTTGACATCAGCAAACCGCTCACCCACAGACACCATACACGTTGTCTGTGGTTGTGAGGCCGGTTGGAAGTACTGCCAAATTCTCTAAAATGATGTTGAATGAACATTAAATTCCCTGGCCGATCGCATGCTCCCTCAAAACTTGAGACAAAACTGCACATTTCAGTGGCCTTTTATTGTCCTCAGCACAAGGTGCACCTGTGTAATGATCATGCTGTTTAATCAGCTTATTGATATGCCACACCTGTCAGGTGGATGGATTATCTTGGCAAAGGAGAAATTATTACTAACAGGGATGTAAACAAATTTGTGCACAACATTTGAGAGAAATAAGATTTTTGTGCTTATGGAAACATGGCACCAACACTTTATATGTTGCATTTATATGTTTTTGTTGTGCTGAGGAGTATTTATGTCTTTAATAAAGCCCTTTTGTGTGGAAAAACTCATACTGATTGTCTGGGCCTGGCTCCCCCATGGCTGCACCCCTGCCCAGTCATGTAAAATCCATAGATTAGTGCCTACTTCATTTATTTCAGTTGACTGATTTCCTTGTAACTCAGTAAAATCTTTGAAATTGTTGCATGTTGCGTTTATATGAATGGAATTACCCCATTCATAATACACAGACATTCTAAACTGCATGAATTTGTGATACTTGATAAAGTACTGTCCAAAAATACTTATGTGAGCAGGCAGTCAGTCAATCTATGAGGAGGGAGAGAGAAGGTGCACTATAGTAAAGGTAGAGTCAGTGATATGAAGTAGATGGACAAAGTAAACAGCATCGTCGGTCAATTTACGCAACAACTAAGAGAGTTGAAGTGAGGCTAAACCTCTCTGCTGTTTTGGTCCCGTACGCATCACATTGTAACTCATGCACCTGTGCAGATTCTGTCTAAGAGCGAAGTCTTGCGTCTCGCTCATCGCAATATCTGCAGTGCTGCTCGTCATTTAGCTGAGTCGACCTTTAAATTGTCGTGTTTTTTGGGGGGATGCTTGTGAAAATTTGAAAATGGCAATCAATATTTTGTTCAAGGGAAGACCAAGGTGAAAATATCCATCTCACTTTCACAGAAAACAGAGAAAAACACAAATATGCTGATGAACTTAAAACAATCTTGACTGTATTGTTTTCATTTTAGGTTAATTAGCAATAAAATATAACATTTATTTCACAAAGTACCAAACTAGGTGGCATATAAGTAGTCCATTGCAAACAAGGTTCATGTATTATGGATTTAAATGATTTGGTCCTCGTTATACTATTGTCCACAGGTGAGACATCCAAAATACTTGGCTTTACAATAATATGAGATTGTACATGGCTAAAATCAAAGGTGTATAGACTGCACTGTGTCTTGTGTAATTCCATTATGACATCATTAGAGAACCACAGATGCCTTCTTCGGAGGCTCTCAACATCCACAGCAGCATCGTGGACTACAGGAGGAGGAGGGCCGAGCACGCCCCCATTCACATAGACGGGGCTGTAGCTCCCCGGTGTCCACGTCACTAACGACCTATCGTGGTCCAAACACACCAAGACAGTTGTGAACAGGGCATGACAACGCCTATTCCCCCTCAGGAGGCTGAAAAGATTTGGCATGGGTCCTTAGATCCTCAAAAGGTTCTACAGCTGCACCATCGAGAGCATCCTGACTGGTTGCATCACCGCTTGGTATGGCAACAGAGGGTAGTGCGTACGGCCCAGTACATCCCTTGGACCATGCTTCCTGCCATCCAGGACCTCTATACCAGGCAGTGTCAAAAGAAAGCCCAAAAACTTCCCATGTGGCTCAGTTGGTAGAGCATGGCACTTGCCAGGGTTGTTGGTTCGATTCCCACGGTGGACCAGTACGAACAAATATAAAAATGTATGCACTCACTACTATAAGTCGCCCTGGATAAGAGCATCTGCTAAATGACTAAAATGTAAAATGTAAGTCATAGACTGTTCTCTCTGCTACTGCATGGCAAGCGGTACCGTAGCGCCAAGTCTGGGACCAATAGGCTCCTTGAGAGCTTCTACCCCCAAGCCATAAGAGTGCTGAACAGTTAATCAAATGGCCACACGGACTATTTGCGTTTGTCAGGTGTCAAAATGTGCAGCGGTAGGACGGAGTCAGGTGCAGGACACAGAACTGAGTACACAACGTACTTTACTTAGCAAAACAAACACTAATTTCCACACAGGGAAAACACACCAGCTCACAAAAGTGTATGACACGACACAACGAACAAACACGCACAAAACCATGTGGGAACCAGAGGGTTAAATAGGGAAATAATCATCATACAATGGGAACCAGGTGTGTACAAATAAGACAAAACCAATTGAAAACAGAAACGCAGATCGGTGGCAGCTAGAAAGCCGGTGACGAGAGGCACCAACTTCTGCGGAAGTCATGACAGCGTTGACCCTCTTATTTATTATAATTACTCTGTTTATTATCTATGCATAGTCACTTTACCCCTACCTACATGTACATATTACCTCAATTACCTCGATTAACCCGTACCCCTGCACATTGACTCGGTAAGTACCCCTTGTATATAGCCCCGTTATTATTATTTATTGTTATGTTACTATTTTTCCTTCAGTTTATTTAACACATTTTTCTTAGGGCTCGTAAGTAAGCATTTCAAGGTAAGGTCTACGTCTGTTGTATTCGGCGCATGTGACAAACAAAATTAGATTTGATTTGAGCTATGATCATTTACACACACATTAATGGACGTAGGAAATATACAGAATGTGCTTGGTTCCTGTTGCCGGTATACAGCTCCAGTGCTATCAGTCGAAGGACTAGCATTGGTGTATTAGTGACGCCACCTGTCGGAGGTCAATAGATGTCCTCTAGCCTGGTCCCAGATCTGTTTAGTGCTCTTTCCAACTCCATTGCTGTCATTGTCCAGTCATGTTTGGGCATGACAATTCAACTGGGAGCAAAAAAACTGACTGCCACTCAGGCTAGTCCTCTTCTTCATCTATGAAGGGGATGTCCAGCTCTGAGAAGTTCCTGCTCCTGGTCTTGTTGTGGGCTAGGGGTTCTGTCCATCTGGCCTGGTCATGGCCTGTGGCTGTAGTAGTTCTCTGGGCCAGATCAGGGGGCTTAGGAGGGCACTCCTGCCTCTGGCTCCTCCACAACAGGTTCACTCTGCCTGTTGGAGAAACTAGTCTGGATTAGTAAGAGGCATTGGCTAAACCACATACTGATCTGGGACCAGCAGGCTAGTTAAAACAGGGCCTGGTAGAGACACTCTGGATTAATCGAATAGCAGCTGGTCCCAGATCTGTAGGTACTGAGCTACACGAAGCGCATACAGATTTGGGACCAGACTAGTACAACAGGCTGACACAGTCGGCCTGCTCCTGATAATAATACAAAAAGGTTCCTCATTCAGAAATGAACAAAGACGAAGACACAGTAGAATGAGCACACACACATAAATATATAGTTACTGTTACCTGGTTACACAAAACCCAGAAATAACATACTTACTGTTACCTGGTTACACAAAACCCAGAAATACCATAGTTACTGTTACCTGGTTACACAAAACCCAGAAATACCATAGTTACTGTTACCTGGTTACACAAAACGCAGAAATACCATAGTTACTGGTAAGGCTGTCAGTAAATCATTTACCTGGTTACACAAAACCTGCACTAAATGTATGCAGACTGCATGCATGACCCACTTTAACAGGGAATACACCACTTGTTTCTTCAAATCTCTCCCCTAATATAACCATGAGTTGGCTAGCAGGAGTTGGGTAAAACAAACTAAAATACAGTATGTCAACCAATGTCCCAGTGATAAAAAACAAGGCTTTATTTTACAGCCCGGTTTAAGAATATCATAGTAGTGCAATCACAATGCACTTATTAGGTTATTGTTTTCATAAAGTAATTTCTAAGTTTCTACCTGGGCTGTAAAATAAAGCATAGGCTGTAACAGTGGGCTGTAAAATAAATAATTGGCTGTAACAGCGGGCTGTAAAATAAATAATTGGCTGTAACAGCGGGCTGTAAAATAAATAATTGGCTGTAACAGCGGGCTGTAAAATAAATAATTGGCTGTAACAGCGGGCTGTAAAATAAATAATTGGCTGTAACAGCGGGCTTGTAAAATAAATAATTGGCTGTAACAGCGGGCTGTAAAATAAATAATTGGCTGTAACAGCGGGCTGTAAAATAAATAATTGGCTGTAACAGCGGGCTGTAAAATAAATAATTGGCTATAACAGTGGGCTGTAAAATAAATAATTTGCTGTAATAGTGGGCTGTAAAATAAAGCATTACCGAAAACAAACAGTTGAAAAAAGTTGAAGTGCAAGAAGGCAGAGGATGGTGTACTGACCTTCTGAGTCCAGGCTCCCCACTCTATCCTCTAGTAGGACGGTGTAGGCCTCCCGTACCTCTCTACTGACCTTCTGAGTCCAGGCTCCCCACTCTATCCTCTAGTAGGACGGTGTAGGCCTCCCGTACCTCTCTACTGACCTTCTGAGTCCAGGCTCCCCACTCTATCCTCCATCAGGCTCTCTGAGCTGATTGATGACTCAGAGTCCATGTTGTCGTTGTCCGAGTTATCCTGCTCCAGCTCTGGCAACCTGCATGCCAGATCCTCCCTGAAACACACACACACACACACACACACACACACACACACACACACACACACACACACACACACACACACACACACACACACACACACACACACAATGGATCAGCGATTACTTGAATCACATGAGTTAGTGCTGGACTAGAACAAAATTCTGCAACCCCCTAAAAGTCCTCCAGGAACTAGTTGAAGAAAACACTGAGCTGAGCTGTATGGTAGTTAGTACCAGTTGTAACATACTAACTATAATATCATTCATATTTTTCACAGAGTCCAGCACGTTACAAACACACTAACACATGAAACGTACAGAACTAGACAGCTTCTACAGTACCAACTGAGACCGTGTGTTTCTCTTTAAAAACATCCGATTAGTTTCAGTCAGATGTGTTGTTCTAGGTTCAAGACTACATGTTGCCCCCGACAACAGCGAACTAGAGGAGTCTCCGTCTCTTCACTCACTTCTCCTGCTTGATGGATTTGATCCTTTCGATGAGGGTCCTCTCTGACTCCATGTCTATATCCGACGGAGCAAGGTTGTCCATGTGAGGGGCGTCCAGCTTCGATGAAGGTTTCTCTGAGATCTGTAGATATACAGTAGATGAGTCAATACACTAGGGACAAGACAGGAAGACAAACCACTTTTGGGAACGTGGGAAGTTGGGAACGGCATTCCCAAAGTGAAATTCCCAGTGGGAATGGCAGAACTTCCCACAGTGATCCATATCCGTGTTCACAGATATTCTCAGTATATCAAGTTTATATTCACTGTTATTGTGAAGTGGAAATGTCTAGGAGCAACAATGGCTCGGCTGCGAAGTGGTAGGCCACACAAGCTCACAGAACGGGACCGCCGAGTGCTCACTTCCGAGTTCCAAACTGCCGCTGGAAGCAACGTCAGCACAAGAACTGTTCGTTGGGAGCTTCATGAAATGGGCTTCCATGGCCGAGCAGCCGCACACAAGCCTAAGATCACCATGCGCAATGCCAAGCGTCGGCTGGAGTGGTTTTGGCGGATCTGGCGGATGCCAGGAGAACGCTACCTGCCCCAATGGATAGTGCCAACTGTAGAGTTTGGTGGAGGAGGAATAATGGTCTGGGGCTGTTTTTCATGGTTCGGGGTAAGGCCCCTTAGTTCCAGTGAAGGGAAATCTTAACGCATACAATGACATTCTAGACGATTCTGTGCTTCCAACTTTGTGACAACAGTATGGAGTATGGTGTCCTTACAGTGTTCCGTCTCTTGAGTTTGAGCTGGTTGACGGCCACGGCCTCAGCGTACTCCAGCTCGGTGATATCCTTCATCTTCTCAGTGTACCGTCTGAACTGTTCTGAGATCAGGATCTCCACACACCTGGGGGAGAGAGGTAAGGTCAGGGGGTCAGGGTTAAGGTCAGGGCTTCTTACAACAAAATAATCACAGAATGCTTACTAAGGACTGACTGCATCCTACCTTGAGATATACTGTATGTGCACACATGTAACCCTAAACTGGGAAATAGCATATACTGTATTCCATTGTGCAGTCTCTTTTTAACCTTTGCTGAACATATTTTTGTGATATCTAATTCCTGATCAAAGACATTGGATGTGCGTGTGTAATCTTTTCCTATATAGAGACTCACGTAGTTGTCTTGGAGACATCCTTCATGCCTAGGAAGGGGTCAGTGGTGTTTGGGGATCGCAGGATGCAGGGGGCAAACACTATGGCCAGGGAGTTAGCTGACATCCGGTTGTGATTTTCCAACTTTGTCACTCTGGAGGAAGTAAATACTATTCTATCATCATCCTAATACACAACATGGGTTATAAATGACCATAACCAGGGCCCAGAGTTTTCCCTGGTCAGGTCACGTGGTTAGGAACAACTCAAAGACCTAAGGGAAAATTCAGGGACCTAAGGGAAAACTCAGAGACCTAAGTTCAAGCATAGCGGGAAAGCCTTTGTTCGATAGATGGCGATTTACAGTCAACATGATGCACGTACAGTACCAGTCAAAAGTTTGGACACACCTACTCATTCAAGGGTTTTTCTTTCTTTTTACATTGTAGAATAATAGTGAAGACATCAAAACTATGAAATAACACATATATAATCATGTAGTAACCAAAAAAAGTGTTAAACAAATCCAAATATATTTTATATTTGAGATTCTTCAAATAGCCACTCTTTGCCTTGATGACAGCTTTGCACACTCTTGGCATTCTCTCAACCAGCTTCACCTGGAATGCTTTTCCAACAGTCTTGAAGGAGAATCTCCAAGAAGGAGCACTTGTTGGCTCCATTTCCTTCACTCTGCCGTCCGACTCATCCCAAACCATCTCAATTGGGTTGAGTTCGGGGGATTGTGGAGGCCAGGTCATCTGATGCAGCACTCCATCACTCTCCTTCTTGGTAAAATAGCCCTTGCACAGCCTGGAGGTGTGTTGGGTCATTGTCCTGTTGAAAAACAAATGATAGTCCCACTAAGCCCAAACCAGATGGGATGGCGTATCGCTGCAGAATGCTGTAGTAGCCATGATGGTTAAGTGTGCCTTGAATTCTAAATAAATCACAGACAGTGTCACCAGCAAAGCACCCCCACACCATAACACCTCCTCCTCCATGCTTTACGGTGGGAAATACACATGCGGAGATCATCCGTTCACCCACACCGCGTCTCACAAAGACATGGCGGTTGGAACCAAAAATCTCAAATTTGGACTCCAGACAAAAGGACAAATTTCCACCGGTCTAATGTCCATTGCTCGTGTTTCTTGGCCCAAGCAAGTCTCTTCTTCTTATTGGTGTCCTTTAGTAGTGGTTTCTTAGCAGCAATTCAACCATGAAGGCCTGATTCACACAGTCGCCTCTGAACAGTTGATGTTGAGATGTGTCTGTTACTTGAACTCTGTGAAGCATTTATTTGGGCTGCAATTTCTGAGGGTGGTAACTCTAATGAACTTATCCTCTGCAGCAGAGGTACCTCTGGGTCTTCCATTTCTGTGGCAGTCCTCATGAGAGCCAGTTTCATCATAGCGCTTGATGGTTTTTGCGACTGCACTTGAAGAAACTTTCAAAGTTCTTGAAATTTTCCGTAATGACTGACCTTCATGTCTTACAGTAATGGACTGTAATTTCTCTTTGCTTATTTGAGCTGTTCTTGCCATAATATGGACTTAGCCCTATTTGGTAAAGACTATCTTCTGTATACCCCCCCTACCTTGTCACAACACAACTGATTGGCTCAAAATCATTAAGAAGGAAATAAATTCCACAAATTAACTTTTAAGAAGGCACACCTGTTAATTGAAATGCATTCCAGGTGACTACCTCATGAAGCTGGTTGAGAGAATGCCAAGCGTGTGCAAAGATGTCATCAAGGCAAAAGGGTGGCTATTTGAAGAATCTCAAATTTAAACACTTTTTTGGTTACAACAGGATTCCATATGTGTTATTTCATAGTTTTAATGTCTTCACTATTATTCTACAATGTAAAAAATAGTAAAAATAAAGAAAAACCCTTGAATGAGTAGGTGTATCCAAACTTTTGACTGGTATTGTATGTGTAAAAGAGTGAAAAACAGAAAGGGTGGTATAACCTACCTGACCAGGTGAAAGACCAATCTCTCCAGTGTTTTGAAGTTAGCGGAGGGAAGCTCGTCCAGTTTCTGGTAGACCGCACGAAGGCGCTCAGATTGCTCTGGCAACTCTGCACATGAAATGTCACAATGTCAAATACAGTTATTTTAAGTACTCGAGGTGCGCTTGACTTAGCTTGACTGGCTGGCATGCAGGGTGGGTGGGGGTCTGCAGAGTTTGCACTTTTGGGACTGTACCATTGGGTCAATTGTAGTCTAGTAGGCAAGCTAAATCAAGCACGCAAGTATATTAAATGGATTTCTCTGTCAACTCTGTACATGCAAAAATGCACAGGTTTTTAAACCTTTTTTGCTACGCTGTGACCTTCTGAACAGAACCCATGAGACAGACTCACCGACGGCGTGCAGGAAGTCATTGTAGAGGCGGTAAGTCAGGAGGGGGTCAGGCAGCTCTCTGAGCCATCGTTTCACCAGGCCTGTCACCGTGTGGATGGAGTAGTTCTCCAGAGTCGCTGTCTCAGGGTCTGACCCAAAAAAAAGAGATTGCACTTTATTTTACAGTAGTTTCCCACTGGTACTTGCAATGCGCCAGATGATGGCGTGCCATAGCTCTCTGTTGCTCATGGCAGCTTGGTAGGTCCTCTGTTCTGACACCAGTGTCTCGGCAGATGGTTCCCCACATAATATGTTTAATGGGAAAACAATGTTTTCTGGTACGTTGATAAATGGACTCACCAGTCTCCAGTAGCTGGTGTAATTCCCGTGCGCGCGAGACAGAAGCAGATTTGCGGTAGATGCCCTCTGTGTACAGGCCATTCATCTCCACATGCTCCAGCATCATCCGAAGTACCATGGGGATCGGGTAGGTCTTACTGGTCAGTACACACACCTGCACCCCAAAGTGCAGACGGCCAGGTCCCCCATCGTCCTAAACGCACAGGATGAATCAATAGTCTCGACAAACTTGACTTCACTGAGTTAACTTTACTTGTCAGACTTAACTTGGTTAGACTTTACTTCATAAACTTGACTTGACAAACCAACTTGGTAAACTCGACTTGGCAAACTTGACTTGACCAAACATTACTTGACAAACTGCTCACCAGCCTGGCACATCGAGTTGAGCAGTCAGTGATGATTTTGGAGAGGCATTTCTTGTGACATATCAATTTGCAAGCTAAACAAAAGAACAGAGGACAAAAGAACACAATGATAAGATCATAGAGGGAATGTTCTTATGTTCTCGTCTAAATTCTGCATTGTAATGTTCTCTTCTGCATTCTAATTCTATGTTTAATGGTGAACAACAGATAGCTACTCACCGCTGCACATGTAGGCCTTCTCCATGCCCCAGATGTAGAAACCACACAGGTCACAGGACTGCCTGATGTTGACCTGGTACGTACTGAACATGTGACCTAAAGGGCTGTTGGGCTGGAAACACACAATACACATCATTCAAGCCAGACTATTGACCTGGGTTGCATTGACCTGGGTTGCATTGACCTGGGTTGCATTGACCTGGGTTGCATTGACCTGGGTTGCATTGACCTGGGTTGTGACAGTGATATTCAATTTAGTGATGGTCACAATGAGACAATTCAACTTAGGGATGTCATAATGAGACAATTCAACTTAGTGATGTCATAATGAGACAATTCAACTTGTCATAACTTACACATGTTTTCTTTTTCCCTCTGGTCTTTGGCTTGTTCATGGTCTGCAACAAATAGTAAAGTAGATCAGATGTGGAATACATCTCTGAACCTCTCAGAATTACACCTACAACTGATGTTTTACACTTCTCAAAACTATATGTACTGATGCTCTGGAGCGTTAAAAAAGAGTCAAAGATATCAAGTCAAAGATATAATAATATAATAATAATATGCCATTTAGCAGACGCTTTTATCCAAAGCGACTTACAGTCATGCGTGCATACATTTTTGTGTATGGGTGGTCCCGGGGATCGAACCCACTACCTTGGCGTTACAAGCGCCGTGCTCTACCAGTTGAGCTACAGAGGACCACATCAGGTCAAAGATATCAAGTCAAAGATATCAGGTCAAAGATATCAGGTCAAAGATATCAGGTCAAAGATATCAAGTCAAAGATATCAGGTCAAAGATATCAAGTCAAAGATATCAAGTCAAATATACTTTAGGTCAAAGATATCAAGTCAAAGATACTTTAGGTCAAAGATATCAAGTCAAAGATACTTTAGGTCAAAGATATCAAGTCAAAGATGCTTTAGGTCAAACCCAAAGATGTGTGTGTAACATATGTGTGTGTGCCTGCATGTGTGTATACAGTATCCGTGTGTGTGTGGATGTGTGCAAGTGCATGTGTCCGACTCAGAACTACCTTGACCGGCCCAACCCCCTCTCGTTTGATCTCTCCCCGTATGAAGCCGTCCAGGACGGACTGGAACAGGTTGACCACCAGGCTGACCTCAGTCAGCTGCTTGGCTCCAGCATGACTGGACACACAGTTGTGGTAGCCCGTCATCAGGTCCTTGTAGCTGATTTGGGGCTTCTGTTGACCAGGGGAGGGGAGAGAACCGGGTTAATGAAGGGTGTGGGGGGGTAATTGGTGCTCCAAAGTGCTTTATAAAGCACTTACCGTGTGTGTACTCCTGGCCCTAGTCAAGATCTATATGCTATTGAGTTGGTTTCACATCTCTTTCCAGACAGTCTTCTAAACTTGATTAATACACCATGCATACTTAAACCTAAACCGTCATACAACCATCTCTTCTGGTGCCAAGGTCAGGAAGTAAACTCACAGAGATGGAGTACATGCCCTTGATGGTCTCTCTGAACTGCATGGTGGCTGTGAGAAAGATGCTCTCTGTCGCTGACAGCTCCTTTACCCTGGTCCTCAGCTCATTCACCTGGGAGGTATGGGAAGTTACATTATTTCATAGTATACTACTCAAAATAGCCCAGATTCAACTTTAAAATCCTCTGCAATAAGATGTGTAACTGGTAACCTTTCTAAAGATGCACTGCAAGGACATGTGAAGGAATAAGTTAGTGTTAGTGTCAGAGTGAGTGAGTGAGTGAGTGAGTGAGTGAGTGAGTGAGTGAGTGAGTGAGTGAGTGAGTGAGTGAGTGAGTGAGAGAGAGAGAGAGAGAGAGAGTGACTGAGAAAGTTAGTCAGTCAAAAACTGCTCTTGAAAGACCCTCTGAAGACTAAGGCTTTGGTAACCTGGACCCAGATTAGTTTGTGGTGCTTGAAAATGATGAACAAATAGACCTAACACCAGGCTAGAGATCCCAATAAACCGTAAACAATACACTCCTGAGGCTGAGGTGATTACAGGTGAGTGCCTGACAGGTATCCCACCTGGTTCCCCAGGAACTCATCCAGGTGTCGGAGCTCGTTGGTGTCGGTGATCTCCCGTTCCAGAGAAGCATTCCACTGCTCGGAGACCCGCGTGGCTCGGCTGATCCTGATGGTGGTGTTAGGACGCCGTCCAGAGTACGGGGAGGAGGTAGAGGTGGCTATAGGTAAGGTAAGGATACGTGTGTGTGTTTAGACAGAGAGAGAGAGAGAGGGGACGTGTGGTTGAGATTATACCATTGACCACTAGAGGGTAGTGGAGGAGACACGACGTGAAAGACATTACAATAGTTTATCATCATAGCACAGGCTAAAAGGTGGACAGCACAGTAAGCAGTTTGCTGTAGGGGGTGGGATTACAGTACCTCCTCTCCCAGATGGTGCATTCTCATTGGTCACCATCCCGTACGCATTTCGTTTCTTCCGAAATTTACTGAAGATGCCAAGCCTGTGGAACACAAAAGGGTTAACATGTAACCATGGCAAAGAACATACAGCAGCGTTTACCACACTCGGTCCAGGCAAAGATGATCTATTATATTGACAAGATGCTTGAGTTACCACTCTAACAACGGAAATATGTCCTCAATAATGGAAGGCAGGCGGGAGGAGGCAAGATCAGGTGGGACCATTCTAGCCAATGAGAGGGTAGATACGCATGTGAACAACAGTCATAACTAAGTCGTTTTTTCTCAAAGTTTCCGGAATGCCACGTGCATCCACTTATATCAGTACAACTGTAACAGCCTAAACATTCCCAAACTTCCATTTGATCAAATAAGCCTCACGTAATTCGACACTCTCATAGACCTCCATACAAAAATACTGACATACAGTATCACATCCAGTCAATGTATGGACAATAACTCAGACAAATCGATTATGGTTCACAGCCTCCTGTGTCCTAGTTGGCTGAATGGCCTTTACCTCTCAGGAGTGGTCGGCTGGGATTGGCTGGAGTCTCTGAGGGTTGCGCGCTCATCTGGGCGGCTGAACCTAGCCCCGTCCGTGGAAATATCAGAAGATTTCGGAAACTGAGAGATAAAACAATTACTGAACATCTGAGATTGTATGACATGAGACAACACAACCATGCTGGGGGGCCAATCAGGTGGGGTCGTTATTAACAGGTAACATGTGGGGAGTGTTGGTGCCTAGAAAAGAAACTATTAAAAGGGATAGTGCAACATTTTGTCAAGGATAAGTTGAAAATGGGCTTTATTACAAAAATGTCGCACTATCCCTTTAAGAACAGAGAAGTTTGCTTTCATATGAAGCCAGTTTGTTTTCAGACCATCCCCTTTCCCCAGGGTCTGTACGTGTAGCAGTACCACATAACTCCCAGGCCCGGCAACACCAGAGTTAGTTAGTTAACCTACAGCAGCCACCACATCCTTAGCACAATACAGCATCCACCCCCCCACACTCCCTGAAGAGATCTCTAATACAGTCTCTCCTCCCCCCTTCTCCCTACAGAGAGCTCTAATACAGTCTCTCCTCCCCCTTCCTGAAGAGAGCTCTAATACAGTCTCTCCTCCCCCTTCCTTCTACCCGAAGAGAGCGCTAATACAGTCTCTCCTCCCCCTTCCTGAAGAGAGCTCTAATACAGTCTCTCCTCCCCCTTCCTGAAGAGAGCTCTAATACAGTCTCTCCTCCCCCTTCCTTCTACCCGAAGAGATCTCTAATACAGTCTCCCCTCCCCCTTCCTTCTCCCTGAAGAGATCTCTAATACAGTCTCTCCTCCCGCTTCCCCCTACAGAGAGCTCTAATACAGTCTCTCCTCCCCCTTCCTGAAGAGAGCTCTAATACAGTCTCTCCTCCCCCTTCTCCCTACAGAGATCTCTAATACAGTCTCTCCTCCCCCTTCTCCCTACAGAGAGCTCTAATAAAGTCTCTCCTCCCCCTTCCTGAAGTGAGCTCTAATACAGTCTCTCCTCCCCCTTCATGAAGAGAGCTCTAAAACAGTCTCTCCTCCCCCTTCCTTCTCCCTGAAGAGAGCGCTAATACAGTCTCGCCTTCCCCTCCCTGTAGATAGCTCTAGTACAGTCTCCTCCCCCTTCCTTCTCCCTGAATAGAGCTCTAATACAGTCTCTCCTCCTCCTTCCTTCTACCCGAAGAGATCTCTAATACAGTCTCTCCTCCCCCTTCCTTCTCCCTGAAGAGATCTCTAATAGTCTCGCCTCCCCCTCCCTGAAGAGAGCTGAAGAGATCTCTAATACAGTCTCTCCCCTCCCCCTTCCTTCTTCCTGAAGAGAGCTCTAATAAAGTCTCTCCTCCCCCTTCCTGAAGAGATCTCTAATACAGTCTCTCCTCCCCCTTCTCCCTACAGAGAGCTCTAATAAAGTCTCTCCTCCCCCTTCCTGAAGAGAGCTCTAATACAGTGTATCCTCCCCCTCCCTGAAGAGAGCTCTCAAACAGTACACTCTCCCTCATGGATGTCAAAATAATGTACTGGGGTAAAGGAATATGGTGGAAACACCTTCCAGACAATGCATGCACCACCAATCCACAGCCTAACCTCCACATGACCTGTGACCTTTTTGCTGTAAATAACAATAACCAAAGTATCTACTGCTTTTGTTATTTATGCCCTTTATTCAACCAGATAGGATATTAGTGATTATTCTGTGATTGGTAGGAACCCATAGTATTATTTCCAAGACAACATATTTGATTCATTCCTATGATCAGAATCAAACCCTTTCACCTTCACAGATGTGAGGTCAACAAGAGGACATATACGCAACAGCAGCAACAACAACTACAGAGCTAGCCCCAACTATCTTTGGGCTACTAGTGCTGGAATGTAAAGTGTACACTGATTAACTGACATTGTCTAAACATTGTGACAAAAAAAAACAAGCCAGAAACAGAGATCCATCCAGCGATCCATTCAGCCACTGTGTGTTTAGATGGCAGCCTGGTTAGGGGATGGTTGTGACTGGCCACTGTTCTGTTTCTCTGGTTCTGCAGAAGAGCAGCCTGCAGTTGCCGAAGTAGGTCCTTGCAGAGTGCAGAACACTGCAGACCCATTCAGCTGCAGTAGTGAGAGGATATGTCTGTATAGACATGCACAAAGCCTGCACAGGAACAGAGTCAGTCAGTGACAGTGTGCCAGGGCCGTAATAGTATTCCATGGACTCAGGCCGGTTGGTACCTGGACCCGGGATTTACGAGGATGGACGTTGACTGCTGATTGGCTGGACTGGCCCATCCCACTGACCCCCTCTGAGGGGTTCATGAGGGGGAGGGGGTAACTCCAAAAACTCACCCTCCTGGAAACCCCCAATGTTAAACATCAGCACATTGTGGGCGGTGGCTAACCCCCGATTGTGCTTGGGTTGCTTGCGGTAGAGCACCTTGACCTATGGTGGTCAGGAAAGGTCAAGAAGCACAGATGAAGTAAGGTGAGGGACTGGGAGATCCATCACTGTCACAGGGCTGTGTTCAGTAGGAACGAAACAGGAAAAAAACAGTTGGAAAGAAACGCAGGAGAGGAGGTAGCCTGGTCAACTGCCAATAAGAATGCTGAATGTTTTTGTTTTCTGAAGAGCTGGATCAATCCATCCTACTGACCGGCTGAAGAGTGGGATCTATCAATCCATGGGTGTGTCATCATCAGTAGCAGGGTGTTAAGACATAAAAACACTTCACATATAGTTGCCCTTCAGCATCTTAGCTCCCTGTGTAGGTGTGACATGTAATGTAGCCGCACCTCAGTAGTAGAGATGTGAGTTGTAGAGATGTGATATGCCATTTTGTGTTGTGGTCTTAGGTCTCTCTTTATGTAGTGTTGTGGTGACTCTCTTTATGTAGTGTTGTAGTGTCTCTCTTTATGTAGTGTTGTGGTGTCTCTCTTTATGTAGTGTTGTGGTGTCTCTCTTTATGTAGTGTTGTAGTGTCTCTCTTTATGTAGTGTTGTAGTGTCTCTCTTTATGTAGTGTTGTAGTGTCTCTCTTTATGTAGTGTTGTGGTGTCTCTCTTTATGTAGTGTTGTAGTGTCTCTCTTTATGTAGTGTTGTAGTGTCTCTCTTTATGTAGTGTTGTAGTGTCTCTCTTTATGTAGTGTTGTAGTGTCTCTCTTTATGTAGTGTTGTAGTGTCTCTCTTTATGTAGTGTTGTAGTGTCTCTCTTTATGTAGTGTTGTAGTGTCTCTCTTTATGTAGTGTTGTAGTGTCTCTCTTTATGTAGTGTTGTAGTGTCTCTTTATGTAGTGTTGGCGTCTCTCTTTATGTAGTGTTGTAGTGTATCTCTTTATGTAGTGTTGTAGTGTCTCTCTTTATGTAGTGTTGTAGTGTATCTCTTTATGTAGTGTTGTGGCGTCTCTCTTTATGTAGTGTTGTAGTGTATCTCTTTATGTAGTGTTGTAGTGTATCTCTTTATGTAGTGTTGTAGTGTCTCTCTTTATGTAGTGTTGTAGTGTCTCTCTTTATGTAGTGTTGTAGTGTCTCTCTTTATGTAGTGTTGTAGTGTCTCTCTTTATGTAGTGTTGTGGTGTCTCTCTTTATGTAGTGTTGTGGTGTCTCTCGTCATGATGTGTGTTTTATCCTACATTTGTAGTTTTTATTCCAGCCCCCGTCCCCACAGGAAGCCTTCTGCCTCTTGGTAGGCCGTCATTGTAAATAAGAATTTGTTCTTAATTGACTTGCCTAATGAAATAATGGTTAAATAATACAATAGCATTTTTTTGTAGAGATGTGATATGTAGAGATGTGATATGATGTGTAGAGATATGATATGTAGAGATGTGATATGTAGAGATGTGATATGATATGTAGAGATGTGATACGTAGAGATGTGATATGATGTGTAGAGATGTGATATGTAGAGATGTGATATGATATGTAGAGATGTGATATGATATGTATAGATATTATATGTAGAGATGTGATACGTAGAGATGTGATACGATATGTAAGAGATGTGATACGTAGAGATGTGATATGATACGTAGAGATGTGATATGATACGTAGAGATGTGATACGTAGATATGTGATATGATACGTAGAGATGTGATACGTAGAGATGTGATACGTAGAGATGTGATATGATATGTAGAGATGTGATATGTAGAGATGTGATATGTAGAGATGTGATGTGATATGTAGAGATGTAGAGATGTGATATGTAGAAATGTGATATGTAGAGATGTGATATGTAGAGATGTGATGTGATATGTAGAGATGTAGAGATGAGATGTGATATGTGGAGATTGTATGTCGAGATTGATATGTAGAGTGTGTATGATATGTAGAGATGTGATATGATGTAGACGATGTGATATGTAGAGATGTGATATGATATGTAGAGATGTGTCTGATGATGTGTAGAGTGTATTGTGGAGATGTGATATGATATCGTGTAGTAGAGATGTGTGATATGTAGAGATGTGATTAGTAGATGTGATACGTAGAGATGTGATATGTAGAATTGATAGTAGGAGTGTGTACTGTGATGATGTGAGCTGATATGTAGAGAGTAGAGAGTTGAATGTAGAATGTGATTGATGTAGAGATGTGATTGATATGTAGAGATGTGATACGTAGAGATTGTGATTATGTATGTAGAGATGTGTAATGATTGTAGAGAGTGATGTAAGTGTGATATGTAGAGATGTGATAGATGAAGATTTGATACTGTAGAGATGTGATACGTAGAGATGTGATAGTTGTAGAGTGTGAATGATGTAGAGATGTGATAGGTAGAGATGTGATACGTAGAGATGTGATATGATATGTAGAGATGTGATATGTGATATGTAGAGATGTGATACGTAGAGATGTGATATGATATGTAGAGATGTGATACGTAGAGATGTGACATGTAGAGATGTGATACGTAGGGATGTGATACGTAGGGATGTGATATGTAGGGATGTGATACGTAGAGATGTGATATATGTAGAGATGTGATATGTGTAGAGATGTGATATGATATGTAGAGATGTGATACATAGAGATGTGAAACGTAGAGATGTGATACGTAGAGATGTGATACGATATGTAGAGATGTGATATGTAGAGATGTGATATGATACGTAGAGATGTGATACGTAGAGATGTGATATGTAGAGATGTGATATGTGATATGTAGAGATGTGATAGGTAGAGATGTGATACGTAGAGATGTGATATGATATGTAGAGATGTGATATGTAGGGATGTGATACGTAGAGATGTGATATGATATGTAGAGATGTGATATGTGTAGAGATATGATATGTAGAGATGTGATACGTAGAGATGTGAAACGTAGAGATGTGATATGTAGAGATGTGATACGGTATGTAGAGATGTGATATGTAGAGATGTGATATGATACGTAGAGATGTGATACGTAGACATGTGATATGTAGAGATGTGATATGATATGTAGAGATGTGATATGTAGAGATGTGATATGTAGGGATGTGATATGTAGAGATGTGATATGTAGAGATGTGATATGTGTAGAGATGTAATACGTAGAGATGTGATATGTAGAGATGTAATACGTAGAGATGTGATATGTAGAGATGTGATATGTAGAGATGTGATATGTAGAGATGTGATATGTGTAGAGATGTAATACGTAGAGATGTGATATGTAGAGATGTGATATGTAGAGATGTGATGTGATATGTAGAGATGTAGAGATGTGATATGTAAAGATGTGATATGTAGAGATGTGATGTGATATGTAGAGATGTAGAGATGTGATATGTAGAAATGTGATATGATGCAGAGATGTGATACGTAGAGATGTGATATGATATGTAGAGATGTGATATGATATTTAGAGATGTGATATGCAGAGATGTGATATGTAGAGATATGATATGTAGAGATGTGATATGATATGTAGAGATGTGATATGTAGAGATGTGATATGTAGAGATGTGATATGTAGAGATGTGATATGATATGTAGAGGTGTGATATGTAGAGATGTGATACGTAGAGATGTGATATGATATGTAGATATGTGATATGTGATATGTAGAGATGTGATACGTAGAGATGTGATATGATATGTAGAGATGTGATACGTAGAGATGTGATATGTAGAGATGTGATATGATATGTAGAGATGTGATATGTAGAGATGTGATATGTAGAGATGTGATATGTAGAAATGTGATATGTAGAAATGTGATATGATGTAGAGATGTGATATGTAGAGATGTGATATGATACGTAGAGATGTGATATGTAGAGATGTGATATGATACGTAGAGATGTGATATGTAGAGATGTGATATGTAATGACGTAATAGTGTAATGGGAGTAGAGGTATGACAGTATGAGAAAACAGTACCTCAGTAGCGGAGGGAGAGCTGTCTGACCCCGACCCAGAGTTCCTGAGTTTCCAGAGAGAAATATGTGAAATGTAAACTCTTTGTTATAATTCAAGAAATGTCTATAAGATATTGATGAAAGATAATCAGAGAATGGGGAAAGAAAGATGTATACTTAGTGGCCAGTTTATTAGGTACACCACCCGTTCACGAAAATGGTTCGCTCCTACAAACAGTGAGTCACGTGGCTGTGGCTTGCTATATAAAGCAGGCAGACAGGCATCGAGGCATTCAGTTACTGTTCAATTGAACGTTAGAATGGGCAAAACTAGTGACCTAAGCAACTTTGAGCGTGGTATGATCGTCGGTGCCAGGCGCGCCGGATCCAGTATCTCAGAAACGGCCGCCCTCCTGGGATTTTCACGCACGACAGTGTCTAGGGTTTACCGAGAATGGTGCGACAAACAAAAAATATCCAGTCAGCGGCAGTCCTGTGGGCGAAAACAGTTTGATGAGAGGTCTAAAGAGAATGGCAAGAATCATGCAAGCTAACAGGTAGGCCACAAACAGGCAAATAATGGCACAGTGGTGTGCAGAACGGCATCTCGGAATGCACAACTCGTCGGTCCTTGTCACAGATGGGCTATTGCAGCAGACAACCACACCGGGTTCCACTCCTATCAGATAAAAACTAGAAGTAGCGGCTCCAGTGGGCACGCGATCACCAACATTGGACAATTGAGGAGTGGAAAAACATTGCCTGGTCCGACGAATCCTGGTTACTGTAGCGCAGGGTTCTTCAATTCCGGTCCCGGAGGGACGAAACACCTCTGTTTTTCATCCTCTCCTTCTAATCAGGGGCTAATTCAGACCTGGGACACCAGGTGAGTGCAATTAACTACCAGGTAGAAATAAAAAACAGAAATGTTTCGGCCCTCCAGGACCGGAATTGAAGAACCCTGCTGTAGCGTCATGCTGATGGCAGAGTCAGGATTTGTAGTAAACAGCATGAGTCCATGGCCCCATCCTGCCTGGTGTCAACGGTACAGGCTGGTGGCGGTGGTGTAATGGTGTGGGGAATGTTTCCCTGGCACACGTTAGGTCATTTGATACCAATTGAGCAACGTTTCCATGCCCCAGAGAATTCAGGCTGTTCTGGAGGCAAAGGGGGGTCCGACCCGGTACTAGATGGGTGTACCTAACAAACTGGCCACTTAGTGTATATCTAGCTAGTGATCCAAGATCATATTGAGGGGACATTGAAAGGTCCTAACAGATATAGTTGAGAGAAATACTAAGACATGACATAACCAGTGACGTAGTGGTAAGAAAACAGATGGGTAAACGCTGATCGCAGTTCACAGTGAATAAAGTACCGCTCCCTGTACTGTCAATGCCTTTTTTCCGCAAAAGCTGCGTAAACATTTCTGCAAAAATAAAAAAGTTGCGTAAATGCCGTTTACCCTCCACTACACCACTGGACATAACATTATCATAACATTATCATAACATTATCATAACATACCACAGCAACCCCTCCATATCCCTGGGGCGCTGGACCTCAGGGCGGGAGTCTTCCTGGTGTCCTCCCTCCATTCTGCTCTCCTTCCATCTCTTAGTGTGCTCCTTGATGTCCTCCAAGCGGGAGCAGCCCTCCAGGGAGCCTGTGTGGTGGGAGGGGCCGGTTGACTCCCACCCTCCATCCCTATTAAAAAACATAATATGGATTGGATTTATATAATGCTTTTCCACCTAGCAGTGGAGCGGTAAGTGGTGAAGAATGGGGTGAGCGGGAGAGAGGTGAGATATGGGGTGAGCGGGAGAGAGGTGAGATATGGGGTGAGCGGGAGAGAGGTGAGATATGGGGTGAGCGGGAGAGAGGTGAGATATGGGGGTGAAACATACAGTACCTGCCAGCCTTGGGGTCTAGAGGGAGGGAGAGAGGTCTGTTGAGGGGAGGTGGAGAGCCTCTTCCCTCTCTCTTCTCCGTCTCTGTGTTCCTCTGGGTGGCCTTCTGTCCAATGACTTCTGGGCCTGTCTTGGGGCTTCTGTTGGGACTGTGTTCCTCACTGTGCAGCTCCGTCCTGTCCAGGCTTCTCTGGTGCTGGGTGTGGAGCTTGGGCGGGGGCTGGTGCCTGGACTGCATTTTGGGAGGGAGCTGGGGAGGGGTGGTGGGCTTCTCTCCCTCAGCCTTGGAGCTAGAAGTAGGGTCAGACATTTGTCCTGGTCAGAAAAACTCAGGGCCCTGAAGTTCAAAGTTCTACAACTTTATTGTCCATTAGTGGGTTAGAAAAAAACATGGTCTTAGTACCCGTTTGGACCTTGTTTGTTCATGACGAATGCCTGCATTTTCATGATGCTGTTCCTCTTTCTCAAGTAGTCTGTCCTCTCCTGAGAACCTCTCCATGCCGCCTGGATCACTGTGGCCGCAAGGCACCTGTTGTCCGCTCGGAACGCCCGCCAACATCGCTATAAGAGAAGATGAGATCAACTTTATCGTCCCTGAGGGGAAATTTGGCTAGGACACAGTAGCCGCACCATTGTAAAAGTACATGAATCTTACCCTATCACACAGGGGCATATCCCAGGGAGAATTTATCATACAGTGCCCTCTGGAAATGCCCAAATACTACACTATTTTACAAGACCTGGGATAGGCCCTGTACACATTGTTGTGGGTTAAAGCAATAGCTACCTGTATGATCATGGTTTCTGCCATAGCTTCCTGTGTGATCATGGTTTCTGCCATAGCTACCTGTATGATCATGGTTTCTGCCATAGCTACCTGTATGATCATGGTTTCTGCCATAGCTACCTGTATGATCATGGTTTCTGCCATAGCTACCTGTATGATCATGGTTTCTGCCATAGCTACATGTATGATCATGGTTTCTGCCATAGCTACCTGTATGATCATGGTTTCTGCCAAGCTACCTGTATGATCATGGTTTCTGCCATAGCTACCTGTATGATCATGGTTTCTGCCATAGCTACCTGTATGATCATGGTTTCTGCCATAGCTACCTGTATGATCATGGTTTCTGCCATAGCTACATGTATGATCATGGTTTCTGCCATAGCTACCTGTATGATCATGGTTTCCATAGCTACCTGGATGATCATGGTTTCCATAACTACATGTATGTTCATGGTTTCCATAACTACATATATGATCATGGTTTCCATAGCTACCTGTATGATCATGGTTTCCATAGCTACCTGTATGATCATGGTTTCCATAGCTACCTGTATGATCATGGTTTCCATAGCTACCTGCATGACCATGGTTTCCATAGCTACCTGCATGAACATGGTCTCTGCCATTGCTACCTGCATGACCATGGTCTCTGCCATAGCTACATGTATGATCATGGTTTCTGCCATAGCTACCTGTATGATCATGGTTTCTGCCATAGCTACCTGTATGATCATGGTTTCTGCCATAGCTACCTGTATGATCATGGTTTCTGCCATAGCTACCTGTATGATCATGGTTTCCATATCTACATGTATGATCATGGTTTCCATAACTACATGTATGATCATGGTTTCTATAGCTACCTGTATGATCATGGTTTCCATAGCTACATGTATGATCATGGTTTCCATAGCCATCTGTATGATCTTGGTTTCCATAGCTACCTGTATGATCATGGTCTCTGCCATAGCTACCTGTATGATCAAGGTTTCCATAGCTACCTGTATGATCATGGTTTCCATAGCTACCTGTATGATCATGGTTTCCATAGCTACCTGTATGATCATGGTTTCCATAGCTACCTGTATGATCATGGTCTCTGCCATATAGGTACAAACCTGTATTCTGATGGCGGCATCTTTCTTGCAGAGGAAGTGACTCCTGACCAGACAGGTCCTGAACCAGCGCTGGAGGATGACGATGTGACGCATCACTTCCTTGTTCAGGGTGTCCTGCAGATGCTGCCTCTCCCTCTCCTTTAGGAACACCTGGGGAAGGATGAAGACAAATAGACTGGACTTGTTTCCCTTTTACTGTTGGATTTTTTTACTTGTTTTATTTAGTGCTCCTTGGCTACTTGAATGTTATGACGTCGTTATGATGTCGTTATTATGTTGTTACGACGTCGTTATCTGGGAATTGTAAAGTACTTTCCGTTCTTGAAAAGTGCTATACAAATAAAATGCATTCATTTATTATTAGTGTTATGATGTTTTTATATGGGGCCAAGAAGTGTTACCTTAGTTTTCCCAATCTGATATGTGCTCTGTCCCAGGCCCATCTTCTGCAGCAGGTTAGCTATGTCCTTCGGTGCCGAGGTGGATTCTTTAGGCAACAACACCTTAAACTCCTCTAGGAACTCCTACATCAACCAACAGCAACACACAATCAATCACTGCATGTAATATGGCCATCTGTTATCAAAATGACTCAATAAACAGAAGTATTACCTTATACAGTCACAGGGTTTACTTTTATCCACACTTAATATCCAGTTTTCAAAACGTCAACGTTTTTGTTGTTGTTGTTGTTGTTGAGAATGGCAGTGGCATAAGAGATCTGATGGCCCAGTATCTGTGCACTGTTAGTGGCTTGTACCATTCATGTATTAGGGTCAGTGTTAGAGGTCTGCTCATTCGTTTGTACAATGCTGAAGGTGTAGCCTACCTTGATGGTGAACTTGGCATTGTAGCCAGACTTCCTGATGCGTACCATCTCCAACATGCCCGTGTACCTCATCTGCTGTAAGACTAGAGCATCGTCAAACACCATCTCCTTCTGTAAGGAACACAGACACCAGAGTTGCATCAGTAAATGCATTAAAGTGATGCAAATTCTGTCATCAATACTGACTGTCAGTCGCTCTGGATTTCAGCGTCTGCTAAATGACCAAAATGTAAACACTATCATCCTACGTAACGGCATACATGTGACCCTACCTTCTCAGCATTGGAACGAATACAGTGGATGAAGAAAGGCTCTGCTCTGCCCACAGTCTCCAGCAGCTGATTGAGAGACGCCTGCAGAACAACATCGCATCACGTCAGTCAGCTGAGTTAATGGAGGCTCCACTCGCTGTGTGCTTCTCCCATTAGTGATCTTTAATGGAGTTGTAGTGATACACGACGCTACTCTATTCTGGTCAGGCTGGTAGGTGTGTGTGTGTGTGCGAGTGTGTGCGAGTGAGTGAGTGTGTGTGTGTGTGCGCGAGTGTTTGTGAGTGAGTGTGTGTGTGTGTGAGTGTGTGTGTGCGCGAGTGTGTGTGCGAGTGTGTGTGTGCGCGAGTGTGTGTGTTTGTGTGTGTGTGTGTGTGCAAGGGTGTGTGTGTGTGTGCGAGGGTGTGTGCGTGGGAGTGTGTGCGCATGTGCGTGTGTGAGGGTGTGTGCGTGCAAGTGTGTGTGTATGTTTACGAGTGTGTGTGTGTGTGTTAGTGAGTGTGCCTGCGTGTGCGCGCGCGGCCTGCGTGTCTGTGTTGGGGAAGCAGACCTGGAACTGAGCGCTGATGCTGGACGGTTGCTTCCTCTGGTGTGGGTGTAGCGGAGAGCGGGTGGTGCGGTCGTGGAGCAGAGAGCGGGTGGTGCAGTCGTGGAGCGTCAGACCCACTATGTGCTTCAGGGACCGGGAGTTCATCAGATTCTGTGGGACAACACACACGTCAATCAATCAATCAACCAATCAATCAATCGTAAATAAAGCTTGATTTGATAAAATAAATAAAGCTTGATAAATAAAGCTTGATTTGAATCAATCAAATCCATCAATCAATCAAATTACACCTGCACTGCAATGATGTAGTGTTGTAATATGGTTATAGATAAGGCCATGAGGTTTTCCTGTCTACATGAACCAAACCAGGAACAACTCCCGGCCCCAGGTAAAAGTGTATGGACGGTAGTACAGTAATATAAACCATAGAAATCCCTTTTTGATAATGTCAACTACTAATACATTACCTTAGGAATGAGCTGCTTGTTCTTCCTGCCTTTGGTCTTTCTATGTGGAGAGAAGACCGAGATGGTGATGAACTGGGTTTTACAGCCAAAGATGGAGGACAAGGACCAGTATATAGAATGCCTTCAGAAAATATTCACACCCCTTGACTTTTTCCACATTGTGTTGTGTTACAGCCTGAATTTAAAATGGATTCAACTTAGATTTTTTGTCACTGGCCTAAACACAATACCCCATAATGTTAAAGTGCAATTATGTTTTTAGAAATGTTTACAAATTTAATAAAAAATGAAAAGCTGAAATGTCTTTAGTCAATAAGTATTCAACCCCTTTGTGATGGCAAGCCTAAATAAGTTCAGGAGTAAAAATGTGCTTAACAAGTCACATAATACGTATGAATGATTACCTTAACTCTGTACCCCACACACACACAATTATCTTTAATGTCCCGTCAGTCGACCAGTGAATCTCAAACACAGATTCAACCACAAAGACCAGGGAGGTTTTTCAATGCCTCATTTTTTTTATTTTTATAAAAAAAGCAGACATTGAATATCCCTTTGAGCATGGTGAAGTTATTAACTACACTGTGGATGGTGTATCTATACACCCAGTCACTACAACGATACAGGCGTCCTTTCTAACTCAGCTGCCGGAGAGGAAGGAAACTGCTCAGGGATTTCACCATGAGGCCAATGGTGACTTTAAAACGGTAACAGAGTTTAATGGCTGTGATAGGAGAAAATCAAAATATCAAAATATTCTAAAACATGCATCCTGTTTGCAACAAGGCACTAAAGTAATACTGCAAAACATTTGGCAAAACAATAAAACATTTGTCCTGATTTCAAAGTGTTATGTTTGGGGCAAATCCAATACAACACATTACTGAGTACCACTCTTCATATTTACAGGCATAGTGGTGGCTGCATCATGTTATGGGTATGCTTGTAATCGTTAAGGACTGGGGAGTTTTTCTGAATAAAAAGGAAACAGAATGGAGTTAAGCACAGGCAAAATCCTAGAGGAAAACCAGGTTCAGTCTGCTTTCCACCAAACACTGGGAGATGAATTAATCTTTCAGCAGGACAATAACCTAAAACACAAGGCCAAAACTACAATGGAGTTGCTTATCAAAATGACAGTGAATGTTCCTGAGTGGCCGAGTTACATTTTTGACTTAAATCTGAAAATAATTGTCTAGCAATAATCAACCACCAATTTGACAGAGCTTGAATAATTGTGCAAATGTTGCACAATTCAGGTGTAGAAAGATCCTAGAGACTTACCCAGAAAGACTCACAGCTGTAATCGCCACCAAAGGTGTTTATAACATGTATTGCCTCAGGGGGTTGAATACTTATCTAAATCAAGATATTAGTGTTTTTCTTTTTTTAATGAAGTATTTATTTTATTTTATTTTTTTTACAAATGTTAGGATTGTTCCTCCACTTTGACATTAGAGTATTTTGTGTATATCTTTAAATCCATTTGAATTCCACTTTGTAACACAACAAAATGTGGAAAAAGTGAAGGGGTGTGAATACTTTCTGAAGGCGCTGTATCTACGTCTGGACAATGATAGGCCTGGCTACAGCAGACTAGCCTTCAGCAGGTTCGCAGTGTTTGCAGTACAGTGGGTAACATTCCATCAACAACCTGCGTCCTGCATTCCCACCATTCCACTTACTTCCTGTTCTCATAGTTGGCGAAGACGTCCTCTAACTCCTCCAGAGGGGGGTCATCAGACCGATCGAACGAGAAGTCCAGCCAGGAGCTGTGGATAGAGAGGAAGGATGAGTTAGTTGAATCTGGTGTGCTACTGTTTGGCTGGAACAGAAGCCTGCATCCACACCAGTCCTCTGTGGATAGGATTGGCCATCCCTGGGGTAACTGGTAACTCTCTCCTACCACCCTGGGGTAACTGGTAACTCTCTCCTACCACCCTGGGGTAACTGGTAACTCTCTCCTACCACCCTGGGGTAACTGGTAACTCTCTCCTACCACCCTGGGGTAACTCTCTCCTACCACCCTGGGGTAACTCTCCTACCACCCTGGGGTATCTGGTAACTCTCTCCTACCACCCTGGGGTAACGTATCTCCTACCACCTGGGTAACTCCTTCACCACCCTGGGGTAACCTCTCCTACCACCCTGGGGTAACTGGTAACTCTCTCCTACCACCCTGGGGTATCTGGTAACTCTCTCCTACCACCCTGGGGTGAACTCCTCCTACCACCTGGGTAACTCTCTCCTACCACCCTGGGGTAACTCTCTCCTACCACCCTGGGTAACTGGTAATCTCTCCTACCACCCTGGGGTAACTGGTAACTCTCTCCTACCACCCTGAGGTAACTCTCTCCTACCACCCTGAGGTACTCTCTCCTACCACCCTGGGGTAACTCTCTCCTACCACCCTGGGTAACTGGTAACTCTCTCCTACCACCCTGGGGTATCTGGTAACTCTCTCCTACCACCCTGGGGTAACTGGTAACTCTCTCCTACCACCCTGGGGTAATCTGGTAACTCTCTCCTACCACCCTGGGGTAAACTCTCTCCTACACCCCTGGGGTAACTCTCTCCTACCACCTGAGTAACTTCCCTACCACCTGGGGTAACTGGTAACTCTCTCCTACCACCCTGGGGTAACTCTCTCCTACCACCCTGGGTTAACTCTCTCCTACCACCCTGGGGTAACTGGTAACTCTCTCCTACCACCCTGGGGTAACTCTCTCCTACCACCCTGGGGTAACTCTCTCCTACCACCCTGGGGTAACTCTCTCTCCTACCACCCTGGGGTAACTGGTACTCTCTCCTACCACCCTGGGGTTAACGGTAACTTCTCCTACCACCCTGGGGTAGGTAACTCTCTCCTACCACCCTGGGGTAACTGGTAACTCTCTCCTACCACCCTGGGGTAGAACTCTCTCCTACCACCTGGGGTTAACTCTCTCCTACCACCCTGGGGTAACGGTAACTCTCTCCTACCACCCTGGGGTAACTCTCTCCTATCACCCTGGGGTTAACTCTCGCCTCACCACCCTGGGTACTTCACTCTCTCCTACCACCCTGGGGTAACTCTCGCCTACCACCCTGGGGTAACTCTCGCCTACCACCCTGGGATAACTGGTAACTCTCTCCTACCTGGACAGTCTCTGTAGAGCCAACATGGGTCTCCTCTTCAGTTCCCCTGTAATGCGACAGGAGGTGGGTTTCGCCAGACCTGTAGAGTACACAGAACACAGGCATCTCATCATCATCATCATCATCATCATCTTCTCCATACCTTAGTGTGGCAAGTCACATCTCAACCTGACCAGGAAAAAGAAACTCTGCCAATTACAATTATAGGCTACTTATATGCTAATGAATATGGCCCAGAGCTTTCCCAGGCTTGGCCAGTTCATGTTATGAAGAAAATCTTTGAAAAGCTCTGATTGGACAGGTCAAGGTAAATGTCCTTAAAAAGCAGTGTACCTGCGGCTGCCCGGCGGCGCCCGGCCTCCTTGAAGACTGCTATTATGCGTATGGTGGACCGGAGGATTCCCCATCGGAAAACGGCCACAGGATCTGACCCCATCAGCTGACGCATGAACGCCCGCTGACTGCTGCGTAGTAACGACACGATCTCCGGACGCACGTGGTCCGTGTTCTTCTCCCGGAAATCCTGACAGAGAGGAGGAGATGAAGAGGGAGGAGATGAAGAGGGGAAGGAGAGAGAGGGGAGGGATGATAGAGGGAAGTAGAGGGAAGAGAAGGGGGAAGAGAGAGATAGAGGGAGACGAGTGGGGAAGCGGCAGAAGACGAGGAGCACGAGGGGAAGGGAGAGGACGAGAGAGGAGGCCGGACAGAGAGATCGAGCGAGAGCGGAGAAGAGAGGGAGAAGAGGCTGGAAGGGAAGAGAGGAGAGAGAGGGAAGGGAAGAGAGGAGAGAGAGGGAAGGGAAGAGAGAGAGAGAGGGAGGGAAGAGAGGAGAGAGAGAGAGAAGGGGAAGAAAGAGAGAGAGAGGAGGTGAGAGGAGAGAGAGAGAGAGGAGAGGAAGAGAGGAGAGGGAGGGAGAAGGGAGAAGAGAGTGAGAGAGAGGGAAGGGAAGAGAGGGAGAGAGAGGAGGAAAGAGAAGAGAGAGGTAGGGAAGGAGGAGAGAGAGTGGAAGGGAAGAGGAAGAGTGGAAGGAAGTAGAGGAAGAGAGTGAGAGAGAGGGAAGGGAAGAGAATGGACCTAGGGATGGGGAGAGATCGAGTGAAGAAGGAGGAACGAGATGGAGAATCGGGAGAGAGAATTGAGAGAGAGGAAGGATGGGGAGAGAGGAGAAAGATGGAAGAGAGTTAAGAGAGCAGTGTGATGTGAAGACAGAGCTGTACTACATGCCATAAGACATTGCCCCCTTGTTCTATATAAATATTCATGTTTATATACAGTATGTACAGTGAGAGAAAAAAGTATTTGACCCCCTCTCAATCAGAAAGATGTCTGGCTCCCAGGTGTCTTTTATACAGGTAACGAGCTGAGATTAGGAGCACACTCTTAAAGGGAGTGCTCCTAATCTCAGCTTGTTACCTGTATAAAAGACACCTGTCCACAGAAGCAATCAATCAATCAGATTCCAAACTCTCCACCATGGCCAAGACCAAAGAGCTCTCCAAGGATGTCAGGGACAAGATTGTAGACCTACACAAGGCTGGAATGGGCTACAAGACCATCGCCAAGCAGCTTGGTGAGAAGGTGACAACAGTTGGTGCGATTTTTCGCAAATGGAAGAAACACAAAATAACTGTCAATCTCCCTCGGCCTGGGGCTCCATGCAAGATCTCACCTCGTGGACTTGCAATGATCATGAGAACGGTGAGGAATCAGCCCAGAACTTCACGGGAGGATCTTGTCAATGATCTCAAGGCAGCTGGGACCATAGTCACCAAGAAAACAATTGGTAACACACTACGCCGTGAAGGACTGAAATCCTGTAGCGCCCGCAAGGTCGCCCTGCTCAAGAAAGCACATATACATGCCCGTCTGAAGTTTGCCAATGAACATCTGAATGATTCAGAGGAGAACTGGGTGAAAGTGTTGTGGTCAGATGAGACCAAAATGGAGCTCTTTGGCATCAACTCAACTCAAGCTATAGAGGAAGCCAACCAGTGTTTGGAGGAGGAGGAATGCTGCCTATGACCCCAAGAACACCATCCCCACCGTCAAACATGGAGGTGGAAACATTGTGCTTTGGGGGTGTTTTTCTGCTAAGGGGACAGGACAACTTCACCGCATCAAAGGGACGATGGACGGGCCATGTACCGTCAAATCTTGGGTGAGAACCTCCTTCCCTCAGCCAGGGCATTGAAAATGGGTCGTGGATGGGTATCCCAGCATGACAATGTGATTGCCAACAAGGGTTTTGCCACCAACTACTAAGTCATGTTTTGCAGAGGGGTCAAATACTTATTTCCCTCATTAAAATGCAAATCAATTTATAACATTTTTGACATGCGTTTTTCTGGATTTCTTTGTTGTTATTCTGTCTCTCACTGTTCAAATAAACCTACCATTAAAATTATAGACTGATCATGTCTTTGTCAGTGGGCAAACGTACAAAATCAGCAGGGGATCAAATACTTTTTTCCCCTCACTGTATGTTGTTAAACACATTTCTAAGTCTGCTAGGATTTCCTCAGAAAATGTTAGGCATTTCAACCATTTTGTGTGTATAATTTTTTTGTACAACTTCCTTCAACATCATTGGTTTACATCCCTACCTTGATCTGGTACTTGATGGTCCCAGTGAAGTGTTGTATGATGAAGGCTGGTTCCATCACCGTTGTGGGGACGAAGTACGGGTTATCATGATGCTGCTGCTTGAACTTCTCCAACAGGGTGTTGTCTGTGGAATGGGGGAGACTGAGGACATGGAGAGAGAGACAGAAAAAAAGGACAGTGGACAGACTGTTAAATTAATCTCCACTCAACACTGATCTGAAAAGACCTAGCTAGGTAAAAGCTATAGAGGAAGCCAACCAGTAGGTTTATTTTCACCTGTCCACTTCCTCTAGATCAGTGCTGATAAAGGTATAAGACAAGGAGAGGATGTAACTACAGACTATTGAGATACAGCCATGTGACCTGACCTAGTTGTAAGGTAAAACTCCAGGCTCTAGTTGTAAGGTAAAACTCTGGGCTCTAGTTGTAGGATAAAACTCCGGGCTCTAGTTGTAGGGTAAAACTCCGGGCTCTACTTGTAGGGTAAAACTCCGGGCCCTACTTGTAGGGTAAAACTCCGGGCCCTAGTTGTAGGTAAAAAATCTGGGCCCTAGTTGTAGGGTTAAACTCTAGGCCATAGTCGTAGAGTAAAACTCTAGGCCCTAGTAATAAGGTTAAACTCCGGGCCCTAGTTGTAGGGTAAAACTCCGGGCCCTAGTTGTAGGGTAAAAACTCCGGGCCCTAGTTGTAGGGTAAAAACTCCGGGCCCTAGTTGTAGGGTAAAAACTCTGGGCCCTAGTTGTAGGGTAAAAACTCTGGGCCCTCCTTCTAGACCTACTTGCTCTCCTCATCCAGTAGGTGGAACAGTCCAGTGGGTTTCTGGCTGATCAGATGGATACAGCCCAGGTTGTCTGTGTAGTCAATGGGGCTCCAGCTGATCCCCTCTGCCTGGTACTCCTCCTGGAATACATGGATGAATTAATAAATGGGTGGATGGATGAGTGAAGGGATGAATGGACGGATGAGTGAAGGAATGAGTGGATGGATGAGTGAAGGGATGAATAGATGGATGGATGGGTGGATGGAAGAATTGGTGAATAGATGGATGGATAAGTGGACAAATGGATAAATGCTTTATTGATCACCAAGGGGACATTTTATGAAATACTTTACATTAACGTACCCTTTAAGGGGTGTAGTAAAGGGTTTATTAGTAGTGTATAGAATTCACCTGCTCCAGCTTGAAGATGTGCTGGTTGAAGTAATACTGAACTTTCTCGTTGGCATAGTTAATACAGAACCGGTCAAAGCTGTTCGTCTGGAAGTCCTCAAAACCAAATATATCCAGGATACCTATAGACAAACACTTGAACAAACAAACAATATTATTATAAATTATTTGAAATGCAAATGATTTACCTGAATTCTGTCATCAACCAGTTCTGATTATATTTATCCTCCCCTGGGCCATATGTCAACAGCAGTGCTTCTGTACCACTTTCCCTTACTAATACTTTATGTTAAGCTGCATTGAAAGTTTGTCAAACAAATGGTGGGGCAGCGGTTTTGACTGGAAGTGATAGTTACAGAATGTGAAGCGAAAGGCTTAAGGTTGGGGTTAGGGTTAGTACAGATTTGGGTTGTCTCTGGGTTAGGGTTAGTACAGATTTGGGTTGTCTCTGGGTTAGGGTTAGTACAGATTTGGGTTGTCTCTGGGTTAGGGTTAGTACAGATTTGGGTTGTCTCTGGGTTAAGGTTAGTACAGATTTGGGTTGTCTCTGGGTTAGGGTTAGTACACTGACGGGTTGTCTCTGGGTTAGGGTTAGTACAGTGACGGGGTGTCTCTGGGTTAGGGTTAGTACACTGACGGGTTGTCTCTGGGTTAGGGTTAGTACAGTGACGGGGTGTCTCTGGGTTAGGGTTAGTACAGTGACGGGGTGTCTCTGGGTTAGGGTTAGTACACTGACGGGTTGTCTCTGGGTTAGGGTTAGTACAGTGACGGTGTGTCTCTGGGTTAGGGTTAGTACAGTGACGGGGTGTCTCTGGGTTAGGGTTAGTACAGTGACGGGGTGTCTCTGGGTTAGGGTTAGTACAGTGATGGGTTGTCTTACAGAGACAGCCTCCTCCATGTCTCGTCTGTTGAGCAGAGCGTGGTTGATGCGCAGGATGATCCAATCAAACAGAGAGCTGTACAGAGACATGGCCATCGAGTCCCGCACTGTCACAGCCTAGGAAGGACAACAACAACATAGTTACAGCCTAGGAAGGACAACAACAACATAGTTACAGCCTAGGAAGGACAACAACATAGTTACAGCCTAGGAAGGACAACAACAACATAGTTACAGCCTAGGAAGGACAACAACAACATAGTTACAGCCTAGGAAGGACAACAACATAGTTACAGCCTAGGAAGGACAACAACAACATAGTTACAGCCCAGGTAGGACAACAACAACATAGTTACAGCCTAGGAAGGACAACAACATAGTTACAGCCTAGGAAGGACAACAACATACCGGTAGTTACATCCTAGGAAGGACAACAACATAGTTACAGCCTAGGTAGGACAACAACATAGTTACAGCCTAGGAAGGACAACAACATAGTTACAGCCTAGGAAGGACAACAACATAGTTACAGACTAGGTAGGACAACAACATAGTTACAGCCTAGGTAGGACAACAACATAGTTACAGCCTAGGAAGGACAACAACATAGTTACAGCCTAGGTAGGACAACAACATAGTTACAGCCTAGGTAGGACAACAACATAGTTACAGCCTAGGAAGGACAACAACATAGTTACAGACTAGGTAGGACAACAACATAGTTACAGCCTAGGTAGGACAACAACATAGTTACAGCCTAGGAAGGACAACAACAACATAGTTACAGCCTAGGAAGGACAACAACATAGTTACAGCCTAGGAAGGACAACAACAACATAGTTACAGCCTAGGAAGGACAACAACATAGTTACAGCCTAGGAAGGACAACAACATAGTTACAGCCTAGGAAGGACAACAACAACATAGTTACAGCCTAGGAAGGACAACAACAACATAGTTACAGCCTTGGAAGGACAACAACAACATAGTTACAGCCTAGGAAGGACAACAACAACATAGTTACAGCCTAGGAAGGACAACAACATAGTTACAGCCTAGGAAGGACAACAACATAGTTACAGCCTAGGTAGGACAACAACATAGTTACAGCCTAGGAAGGACAACAACATAGTTACAGCCTAGGAAGGACAACAACAAGGTAGTTACATCCTAGGAAGGACAACAACATAGTTACAGCCTAGGTAGGACAACAACATAGTTACAGCCTAGGAAGGACAACAACATAGTTACAGCCTAGGTAGGACAACAACATAGTTACAGCCTAGGTAGGACAACAACATAGTTACAGCCTAGGAAGGACAACAACATAGTTACAGACTAGGTAGGACAACAACATAGTTACAGCCTAGGTAGGACAACAACATAGTTACAGCCTAGGAAGGACAACAACAACATAGTTACAGCCTAGGAAGGACAACAACATAGTTACAGCCTAGGAAGGACAACAACAACATAGTTACAGCCTAGGAAGGACAACAACATAGTTACAGCCTAGGAAGGACAACAACATAGTTACAGCCTAGGAAGGACAACAACAACATAGTTACAGCCTAGGAAGGACAACAACAACATAGTTACAGCCTTGGAAGGACAACAACAACATAGTTACAGCCTAGGAAGGACAACAACAACATAGTTACAGCCTAGGAAGGACAACAACATAGTTACAGCCTAGGAAGGACAACAACATAGTTACAGCCTAGGAAGGACAACAACAACATAGTTACAGCCCAGGAAGGACAACAACAACATAGTTACAGCCTAGGAAGGACAACAACAACATAGTTACAGCCTAGGAAGGACAACAACAATAGTCAGTAACATATGCCCACATATGACCTGAGTCTATGCACGCATGACTTTAAAGCACTTTGGATAGAAGTGTCTGCTAAATGGCATGTATAAAAAATCAGGTGGTAGCTATAACAACAGATTGGAGTTTCCCCTGTCATGTCATGTGATGTTAAAACCCCTACCTCCTTGAGAGTGTAGTGTAGAACTAGGGTGTTGTTGGCCGTCATTTGTTTCTTCTTAGTCAAGGCCTCCACCAGCAACTCCTGTTTGACCTATAGGAACAGAGCAGACTGTCAGTCAACACAATGTACAAGTGGTCCTTTAGCTTGAGCAGGTGACACATTTGAAGTCGGAAGTTTACATACACTTAGGTTGGAGTCATTAAAACGTGTTTTTCAAACACTCCACAAATTTCTTGTTAACAAACTGTAGTTTTGGCAAGTCGGTTAGGACATCTACTTTGTGTATGACACAAGTAATTTTTCCAACAATTGTTTACAGACAGATTATTTCACTTATAATTCACTGTATCACAATTCCAGTGGGTCAGAAGTTTACATACACTAAGTTGACTGTGCCTTTAAACAGCTTGGAAAATTCCAGAAAATGATGTCATGGCTTTAGAAGCTTCTGATAGGCTAATTGACATAATGAGTCAATTGGAGGTGTACCTGTGTATGTATTTCAAGGCCTACCTTCAAAATCAGTGCATCTTTGCTTGACATCATGGGAAAATCAAAAGAAATCAGCCAAGACCTCAGAAAAAAAATTGTAGACCACCACAAGTCTGGTTCATCCTTGGGAGCAATTTCCAAATGCCTGAAGGTACCACGTTCATCTGTACAAACAATAGTACGCAAGTATACACACCATGGGACCACGCAGCTGTCATACCACTTAGGAAAGAGACGCGTTCTGTCTCCTAGGGATGAACGTACTTTGGTGCGAAAAGTGCAAATCAATCCCAGAACAACAGCAAAGGACCTTGTGAAGATGCTGGAAGAAACAGGTACAAAAGTATCTATATCCACAGTCAGGTTATGTCCTATATCGACATAACCTGAAAGGCCGCTCAGCAAGGAAGAAGCCACTGCTCCAAAACCGCCTTAAAAAAAGCCAGACTACGGATTGCAATTGCACATGGGGACAAAGATCGTACTTTTTGGAGAAATGTCCTCTGGTTGATGAAACAAAAATAGAACTGTTTGGCCATAATGACCATCGTTATGTTTGGACGAAAAAGGGGGTTGCTTGCAAGCCGAAGAACACCATCCCAACCGTGAAGCACAGGGGTGGCAGCATCATGCTGTGGGGGTGCTTTGCTGCAGGAGGGCCTGGTGCACTTCACAAAATTTATGGCATCATGAGGAAGGAAAATTATGTGGATATATTGAAGCAACATCTCAAGACATCAGTCAGGAAGTTAAAGCTTGGTGGCAAATGGGTCTTCCAAATGGACAATGACCCCAAGCATACTTCCAAAGTTGTGGCAAAATGGCTTAAGGACAACAAAGTCAAGGTATTGGAGTGGCCATCACAAAGCCCTGACCTCAATCCTATAGAAAATGTGTGGGCAGAACTGAAAAAGCGTGTGCGAGCAAGGAGGCCTACAAACCTGACTCAGTTAGACCAGCTCTGCCAGGAGGAATGGGCCAAAATTCACCCAACTTATTGTGGGAAGCTTGTGGAAGGCTACCCGAAACGTTTGACCCAATTTAAAGGCAACGCTACCAAATACTAATTGAGTGCATGTACATTTCTGACCCACTGGATTGTGATGAAAGAAATAAAAGCTGAAATAAATAATTCTCTCTACTATTATTCTGACATTTCACATTCTTAAAATAAAGTGGTGATCCTAACTGACCTAAGACAGGGAATTTTTACTAGGACTAAATGTCAGGAATTGTGAAAAACTGAGTTTAAATGTATTTGGCTAAGGTGTATGTAAACTTCCGACTTCAACTGTATAATGAAGATTTTGATTGATTGGACAATACATATTTATTGATTGACTGGACAATAAATATATTGATTGACAGTGATTGCCCTAGCTTGAGCAGGTGAGACAAATATATTGATTGATTTATTGAGAATGGTTTATTTTCAAATTCAATAAGGCACCATTACATAGTATCAATAGCAGCTAATGCTGAATTATTTAATTATTTGACCATTTAAAATAGTCATAAATAGACAATACACAACAAAATCCATCAACAAAATAACATCTACCTTCAGCAGGTCAGACAGGATAGAGAGGACATCTGCTGGCCCTGCCTCCAGCCCCTGGCCGTCTTCTGATTGGCTGTACGTCACGTTGCCCAGGTACAGGATGGCAGAGAGCACAGAGAAGATCCTGTATAACACACAGTTAGGTCACTATACACCTGGACTATCCAATACACCTGGATTATCCAATACACCTGGACTACCCAATACACCTGGACTACCCAATACACCTGGACTACCCAATACACCTGGACTACCCAATACACCTGGACTACCCAATACACCTGGACTACCCAATACACCTGGACTACCCAATACACCTGGACTACCCAATACACCTGGACTATCCAATACACCTGGACTATCCAATACACCTGGACTACCCAATACACCTGGACTATTCAATACACCTGGACTACCCAATACACCTGGACTACCCAATACACCTGGACTACCCAATACACCTGGACTATTCAATACACCTGGACTACCCAATACACCTGGACTATTCAATACACCTGGACTACCCAATACACCTGGACTATTCAATACACCTGGACTACCCAATACACCTGGACTACCCAATACACCTGGACTACCCAATACACCTGGACTATTCAATACACCTGGACTACCCAATACACCTGGACTATTCAATACACCTGGACTATTCAATACACCTGGACTATCCAATACACCTGGACTACCCAATACACCTGGACTACCCAATACACCTGGACTATTCAATACACCTGGACTACCCAATACACCTGGACTATTCAATACACCTGGACTATCCAATACACCTGGACTATTCAATACACCTGGATTATCCAATACACCTGGACTATTCAATACACCTGGATTATCCAATACACCTGGACTACCCAATACACCTGGACTACCCAATACACCTGGACTACCCAATACACCTGGACTACCCAATACACCTGGACTACCCAATACACCTGGACTATTCAATACACCTGGACTACCCAATACACCTGGACTATTCAATACACCTGGACTATTCAATACACCTGGACTATCCAATACACCTGGACTACCCAATACACCTGGACTACCCAATACACCTGGACTATTCAATACACCTGGACTACCCAATACACCTGGACTATTCAATACACCTGGACTATCCAATACACCTGGACTATTCAATACACCTGGATTATCCAATACACCTGGACTATTCAATACACCTGGACTATCCAATACACCTGGACTATCCAATACACCTGGACTATTCAATACACCTGGACTATCCAATACACCTGGACTATTCAATACACCTGGATTATCCAATACACCTGGACTATTCAATACACCTGGACTATTCAATACACCTGGACTATCCAATACACCTGGACTATTCAATACACCTGGACTATCCAATACACCTGGACTATTCAATACACCTGGACTATCCAATACACCTGGACTATTCAATACACCTGGACTATCCAATACACCTGGACTATTCAATACACCTGGATTATCCAATACACCTGGACTACCCAATACACCTGGACTACCCAATACACCTGGACTACCCAATACACCTGGACTATTCAATACACCTGGACTACCCAATACACCTGGACTATTCAATACACCTGGACTACCCAATACACCTGGACTACCCAATACACCTGGACTATTCAATACACCTGGACTACCCAATACACCTGGACTATTCAATACACCTGGACTACCCAATACACCTGGACTACCCAATACACCTGGACTATTCAATACACCTGGACTATCCAATACACCTGGACTATCCAATACACCTGGACTACCCAATACACCTGGACTATTCAATACACCTGGACTACCCAATACACCTGGACTATCCAATACACCTGGACTACCCAATACACCTGGACTATCCAATACACCTGGACTACCCAATACACCTGGACTATCCAATACACCTGGACTACCCAATACACCTGGACTATCCAATACACCTGGACTATCCAATACACCTGGACTACCCAATACACCTGGACTATTCAATACACCTGGACTATTATCTGGCAAGCTAAGCTACTTTGTTAATATAACCATTGTTTGACTGCCGTTACAAAGTTCGTATGATTCCACAACGCTATACTCGGGGTGCGCTCTGTGTCGAGACCGCTGAAGTGCGCAGAATTAATTGAGGAAACATGATAACGCTCTGAATTTTGGAACTGCCTTTTTCGCAATTCACAACAATGTCATTGCCGATCAAAGATAGTTACTCTATCATTACTAAATGTCCGTTTAATTTGCTCTGAAATCTTTAGATAGTGGCGCAGACAAGCCGACAGGGTGGCGCAGACAAGCCGACAGGGTGGCGCAGACAAGCCGACAGGGTGGCGCAGACAAGCCGACAGGGTGGCGCAGACAAGCCGACAGGGTGGCGCAGACAAGCCGACAGGGTGGCGCAGACAAGCCGACAGGTTGGCGCAGCGCCCCTCTTATTTGGGGAGAACCCTGGCATAATGACCATATATTGGTTTTAAACACTTTAAAATGGGCACTTCTGATTTTTGGGGTATTTCCCAGGACTCTCTGGATAAATATTAAATGATGATCTTCGGGATAATATGAATCCCTACTGGGTAGTGGTATAGGTTACTACACCATCCTCATTTTCTAGGGTACCATACATACAGGACATTCATTCACACAAAACATTAATGGTTTACGAGCTAGAACATAATTACATGGAGATGCACCCCAGTAGGCCTACAGATCAGCAACTGGGTTGTGCTCCTCTCTATACCACGCATGCCAGGCCCCGAGGTCAACATCAGATGCCCGCTGCTGTAATGCTCCCTGTATTTCCCCCTGCTACGTCTGACCCAGCTCTAACCTGCTGCGGCTATGGGAGAGGGAGGAGGAATTACTGGAGAGTTGTGTTCTGTTACAGGCATACTGTTTTAGTTCCATGAGGTATGACACCAACTTTTCAGGAAAAAGATCAGATCAGGGCTGAAGAAATGGAACATGGTACTGGAGATGTTAAGAGGAGAGGATAAGGTTTCTGAGCTATGATAAATTGTTTCTCTCTCTCGTTCTTCTGTCACTCTCTCTGTCCACCTCTCCGTCTCCCTCAATCTGTAACCCTACAGTACCCATACGTACTGTTTCTTGGTAGGGACCAGGAATCCCACCATCTCCATGGCCTGATGGAGCCTCTTGAACTCATGCCTGAGGTCCTCAGCGTCTTCTAAATGAAAGTCCTCCTGCAAAGTGATACACACAGAGAGAGAGAGAGAGAGAGAGAGCGAGAGAGAGAGAGAGAGAGAGAGAGAGAGAGAGAGAGAGAGAGAGAGAGAGAGACAGAGAGAGACAGAGAGAGAGAGAGAGAGAGAGAGAGAGAGACAGAGAGAGAGAGAGAGTCTGACTGACTGACAGAGTACCTGTTGGAGGTATATGCAGTCTTCAGGCTCAGTGTGTGTGTCAGGGTTTCCATTAGGGTGCATAAGCCATTAGGACAGGGTTCAGAAACCTTTTCTGTCCACGAACCCATTTTGATATCTGAAAATTCTCACGACCCCAACCATGTGAAAAAAAGTATGTATTTCCAGCCAATGTTTCCTTGTTTTATTTTGGGCTATGGCAGTCAATGGAACAACATTCTAACAAAACTTTCTATATATATTTATACTCCGGACTCCGACATTGCTTGTCCTAATATTTATATATATTTCTTAATTCCATTCTTTTACTTTTAGATTTGTGTGTATTTTTGTGAATTATTAGATAATACTGCACTGTTGGAGCTAGGAACACAAGCATTTCGCTACACCCGCAATAACAGCTGCTAAATGTGTATGCGGCCAATACATTTTGATTTGATTTCAACAATATTTCTGATTGTCTTCTCAACTCACCATCACATACTTTTAATGTGGGGCTATGACAGTCAATTGCAAATTAGTCTGACAAAATGCCTCTAATGCCGCATTCAAAACAACTGGGAATTTTCTCACCACCCCTAATGAGATGGGTGTGCTTGATGCATGTCGCGTCGGAGCTTCTCAAAGTCAGGGGGCGTGGTCAACAGTGCGCACCTCATTTCTGCGGTCACATCCAACCTGGATCGATATTTGTTTTTTCTGCTCTGAGGGAGACTGCAGGGTCAGGAACCAAAACTCCTCCGTAATGACCCGTGAATGTTTGTCACCGCTCGAAAGGCCGCACTTGACTGTTGCACTTGAATCATTCCGATTCAAGCGCAACGGTCAAGTGCAGCCCCCACGAGCTAAGGGCACTCTGGTTGAATTTTATCTTTCAGATTTCAGTCATTTTCATTTAAATTTTTAAGGTTAACCACATTACAATGATTGTCATATCAGGCAACCCCACAAGCGGTCGCGACCCCAGGTTTGGGAACCGCTGCATTAGGACCTCCACCCACAGTGTTCAGAATGACAGAAATCACATTTAGATTATGGTAATGCATCTTAACAGAACATGTAACTTATGTAATGAAGCAGCCAATAAAACGTAATTTGCCAAAATGCCATTCATGGGAAAAACACCATTCTAAACAGCGCACCTGGGAAAACACCATTCTAAACAGCGTACCTGGGAAAACACCATTCTAAACTGCGCACCTGGGAAAACACCATTCTAAACTGCGCACCTGGAAAAACACCATTCTAAACAGCGTACCTGGGAAAACACCATTCTAAACAGTGCACCTGGGAAAACACCATTCTAAACAGCGCACCTGGGAAAAACACCATTCTAAACAGCGCACCTGGGAAAAACACCATTCTAAACAGCGCACCTGGGAAAAACACCATTCTAAACAGCGCACCTGGGAAAAACACCATTCTAAACAGCGCACCTGGGAAAAACACCATTCTAAACAGCGCACCTGGGAAAAACACCATTCTAAACAGCGCACCTGGGAAAAACACCATTCTAAACAGCGCACCTGATAGCGGTTCCATATGTGACAGAGATGAAAATCTCTGTTAGAAACATAGAAAGAGGTGGAACCTAAAGATGCAACAACTAGTTTGGGTTGCTAATCTGAGTAGGATTGTGCCTTTGGCTTCTGGACAACGAAAGAAAGTTGATATGAAAACCGATGTAACAGCAGAGAAACAGCATAGCGGTGTATCCAATAAGAAAGTAAATAGAAATACATTTGCCAAAATTATATAATTTCTCCAGCCTATACATAAATATATAAAAACATTAAAAATACTTCACCAGAAAGCCACAGAGGAACCGAGGATCATGAGCTTCTTTAAAAAAAAAAAATGGCTGTGGATTGTTTCAAATCACAAGCTTTTAGGCCTCAGCCTATTTGTGAAGGCTGCAATTTGGGCAGCGCACCTGGCAGTAGGCCTAGCTTATTATTGAGTTCCAGCTGTCAGTGAAAAGCATCTAAAATATGTGTGAAGATAATGCGTCCTGAGTATAATTTAAAATGTTGAGACAAGAAGAAGGGGAGGGGTGTGTGGCCAAGATATAGGCCAGTCTCTCTCCAGAATGGCTCCGCTGTCTCCCGCTAATTCTTGCGTATTCATTGTTTCTTTGTGTGAATTGCCCTTTGATTTTTTTGATCAATTTTCAGTATATATATATATGTCACCGGTAGTAAATGTACCATTAATCCCCATAATTTGGTTACATTAATTTCTGTTAATGCATGTATTAATTACAGTCATTTACCATTCTCATTCTCGAAGTGGATATGTCGTTTGCAGAGTTCACAACCTGCTACACTTGTGAGAAACACGTTTTGGTTCATTTCATAACCATCATTTTAGGAGATTTGTGAATGTTTTCATTGTCTTTTGTTTGGAGTGCTCCATGTGAGCAGTGAGCATGTGTCTGATTTCTCTGTCCTGATAACGTTGAGGGAACTCGTGCGCCTGAGCACGCATAGGACCTGGCCTGCTGCGCCGAAATGTAGGAAAGTGTTGTTTTTTTAAACATCCCATTGCGAATGATGATATATTAAAAACTATAGTTCCTCACTGTAAACTATTTTTTAAAATCTTTACAACAAGCTCCCGCTCGATAATCACCAATCCTCTGTGTGAAAGAGCAATGGAAGTTATTGGCCTATAGGCGATGAGTTCCATGCGCTCATTTCTTTCAGTGGTGGAAAAAGTACAAATTTTCATACTTAGTAAAAGTATACCTTAATAGAAAATGATTCAAGTAAAAGTCAACGTCACCCAGTAAAATAGTACTTGAGTAAAAGTCTAAAAGTATTTGGTTTTAAATATACTTAAGTATCAAAAGTAAAAGTATAAATAGTTTCAAATTCCACAAAAATTTGCATATAAAAAGCATAACTGGCAGATTGGTAGAAATTTAATAAATTGTAAACTTGAAACTCACGCTCCGCCTCTGAAGTCTTTATAAAAGAACTGCCTCAACATTTCCATGGTGGGATTTTGGCCTATAGGCTACTTTGAAGCAAGACATGCCTCATAATATGAAATAGAATGTTCAGGTTTCAAACAAATAACTATGTTTTCAAAATGCATACTGCCTCCAGCTCACATTGTAAAGTGGTGGGTGAAGCGCTGGTAGCCTGTTGTCTGCACTTTGATAGTGAATGGGAGGCGCGCTTCAATGACCAGTTGAGAAATACAAATAGTAGCACTTTTTTAAAATCGTGCACCAAAACTGTTTTTAACACACGATTGAATTTAGAATTGTTGCGCAATGAATGGGCTTATAAAATCACTTTTTACTCCAGAAGCAACCAGCTGAGGATCAGCAGGAGAAATCCCGCTCAAAATAATCTCTGTATGCTGTGTGCACGTGATAGTTGTGTTGGATAAATAAGATACATGATGACTAACGAAAATACACACATGCCAATTTAACTACACTATATTATGTAATAATATAGACTGATAAGCATGACGGTCAAATGTATTTCCATCGACTGGTATTTCCATCAATAAATAAAAAGCTTTATTTTGCAATGGGATTTTTTTTCTCCCGGTCATTTGGGACAGCAACAGTAACCGTTTTATTTATCGGCTTTTCATTCGTTTTTTTTTAAATCGGTGAAAAGCTGGCAAATCCCTGGTGTGTGTACCTCATGTAGCAATGTGTAGTCTTCAGGCTCAGTGTGTGTGTGTCTGTGTGTGTGTCTGTGTGTGTGTGTGTCATGTGTGTGTGTCTGTGTGTGTGTCTGTGTGTGTGTGTAAATGTGTTGCAGGTATGTGTAGTCTTCAGGCTCTGTGTGTCTGTGTGTTGTGTGTCTGTCGTGTCTGTCTGTCTGTGTGTGTGTGTCTGTGTGTGTGTGTAAATGTGTTGCAGGTATGTGTAGTCTTCAGGCTCAGTGTGTCGGTGTCTTGTGTCTGTGTGGTGTGTGTGTGTGTGTCTGTCTGTCTGTCTGTCTGTGTGTGTGGTGTGTGTGTGTGTGTGTGTCTTGTGTCTGTGTGTCTGTGTGTGTGTGTGTGTGTGTGTGTATGATGTAACTTTGCAGGTATGTGTATATTAGCTCTGTGTGTCTGTCTGTCATTGTTGTTTCTGTCTGTTTCTGTCAGTCTGTCTGTTGTTGTGTGGTGTTTGTGTGTGTGTGTGTGGTCTTTGGTCTGTCTGTTGTTGTGTGTTTGTGTGTGTGTGTTCTGTGTGTGTGATGTGTGTGGTCCTGGTGTGTCTCTGTTGATGTGTGTGTTGGTGTGTGTGTGTGTTGTGTGTGTGTCTGTTGTCTGTGTGTGTGTGTGTGTGTGTCTTGTGTGTCGTGTCTGTGTGTGTGTGTGTGATCTGTGTTCGTCTGTCTGTGTGTCTGTGTGTGTGTGTGTGTGTGTGTGTGTTGTGTGTATGTGGTGTACTGTTGCAGGTATGTGTTAGTCTTCAGTGTATGTGTTGTGGTCTGTTGTCTGTGTTAGGTGTTGTGTGTGTCTGTGTGTGTGTGTGTTGTGTGTGTCTGTCTGTCTGTGTAAGGACCTGTTGCAGGTATGTGTAGTCTTCAGGCTGCAGAAGACTGAACTCTCTCTGCTCCTCCTTGGACGCCCCCACCAGCAGGTAGTAGAACACGTGGTAGCTCCTAGAGGTCAAGGGTCAGAGGTCAAACTGTACTGTAGAGAGGGCCCCAGTTAAAAACTACAGGCCCCAGTTAAAAACTACAACTACTGTATTTCCTAGTCAGGTAATGTAGTTAGGAACAACTTAGGGCTCCAGTCATATACTGTCAATCATTAGTGTATGAATCAGTAATAAACAGTTGGAACTAATTGGTTGAACTGGAGCGATTGTGTGATTATTTGTCAAGCACCAACTTGACAGCTACTTACACCAACATTTACAAACCCTTTATAAAGTATACCTTTAACGTAGCTGAGGTTAAGTGTTACCTAGACGTTTATTTTACATAATTATTATCAATTTTTCAGCGTGAGAGTAATTCTGTCTAACCTAATATTTGTTCAGCTGCTAAAAATGGGATCTGTACAACAGTTTCATTTCTACCTTTCTACCGGACGGTTTGAATTCAAGTCTACTTCACTGTCTTATTATGTTACACCTCAGACCAGGTTAAACTTGAACTGCAGTCACAGGAGCGCATGCTGTGTGTTTGGCATTAACCCCACACAGCCTGTTAAAGTGATGTGTTCAGAGAATTGCAGATACTAACTATGACAAATGAAAAGCTCCTGTACAAATTCATGATCTGAGATTTTAAGTCAAAACGGGAATTTCCTGATTTAATCGTTCGTAAGAAAACTGAGTCGTGCTGGATGCACTAGTTCCTGTATGGGCCTGATTCACTGTGAGCCAGAGTCGAGATAAGAAATCAACTCTGGCTTTCGCGCTAGTCATTAATTCACATCAACAGCGCGGACATTTGGGTCATGTCTTCTCTGCTAGTCAATCCATACCTCTCATTCTTCTCTCTAAACACCAGCCGACACTTTTCCAGGAAGTACTTCTCTACTACCGCCCTGCAAAGGAGACAAACAGACAATCAATACAAACCAAACATCTGACAGAAATGTGGTTTGTTTACAAATTCTTGATTTATGAACTTATGTTTGCTTACTAAAATCAAATCAAGCCAAATGGTTGTGCTGTGAAATTAAAGGTTACGATGGCAGCAGTGTAAGCGACAAAGTCCCCTGTGTTCGCCGTGACACTGACAGCAAGGAACTACACAAATAAACCAATGAATTACAGTTAGATTCCATTTTAACCAGAAACCCACCAATTAAAATGTGGTTGACCTTTGATGAGGAAATGCCCTAATTATAGCCTGTTCCCAGATCTGTTCTCTTGCCAACTCAATTGCAGTCATTGTCAAGTCAAGCATGCTGTTTGGCATGGTAATTCCATAAGGAGTTGGCCAACAGAGCAGAATCAGACTGGCACCCAGGTTAACCAAAATAAACCACTGCACTGAATAAAAAGTGATGGGATAGTTTGTTTCTGTGATGTTGCTGCTATCATGCCAAGTCATGCAAAGACAGATGGTGTAGAGTATGTGTTGATAACATGATAACACTGCCTCACCCTCTCACCACCCCACTCTCCAGATAGTTGACCTGGATAAACTTCCCAAAGCGACTGGAGTTGTTGTTCTGAGCCGTCTTAGCATTGCCAAATGCCTGTTCAGAAACAGAGAGAGAGGGGATATTATTTACAATTCGAATAAACTGGTGAGGTACTGTAAAGGGTTGAGTAACCGTAAGCAAGTTCCTCTAGAATTACTTGGCAGATACAAAACATTTCCAATGATGTGCTGCTGTGAAAAGACATTAACTAAAAGTTAAGGGGTTGTATGCTAAGATGACCCAACATGAAAGCTATCATATAAGTGCAACGCTTTGCTCCAGACGCTCGTATGTTACTGTGATTAGGTTGTTTACTAGATGAGCAACGTGATTTTGGGAGGAAATCACATGACTAGCCACAGAATGTCCAAAGTGTGACGACTTTCTCGTGACATTCTGAGAAGGGACTTATTTCATGATAACTTGTTACAGTCAGAGTCACTAGCCTGATTGATAAGAGCATTGCGTAGGCATATTGTAGGAAACGCACCAGTTACTGATAATGAAACTGAAACTCGGACGCAGACACCCACACACCACTGTGTGCTGTTTTTTCTCTGGTTAATAGATACATTCAGATAACACAATGATCCGAGTAATAACACGACACAGTTGTTTGACCAAACCAGGGTCGTTTTCAGTAGGACCCTGAAGGTTGACCCAGCGGTTGGACTTTAACAGTGAGCAGGCATACGATGTAGATGTGCTTTTTCTTGCCCAGACGGAGGCTTTTTATTTGCAGTGAGGAAAAAGCCAGCGAAACCTTAGAATATTTACAAAACAAAAGAAAATAAACTGGATGTTGCAACAACAGGATCATAACCTGAATCAAATACAAGCTTGTTCAAAAGGAAACCCAGGTTCAATAATTGCCTGTTAACCTGGCAGCCGACCTGTTCCCTATCTGTCCAACCAGCAAAGAAAGAACAGGCTTCTTACAGCAATTCCCATCATACATCAGCCAATGAGAACAAGCCAATTCACATCATGGCCAATTATCAATCACAAGGCATGAAATACCAAACAACATGTTCAGTTAAATAAAAAATCCACCCAAAACCACTAATTCCTATAATTTACAGTGTTACATAAAAAAATGTGAGAACAATATTTTTTTGTGAACAAATGTTGTTTCATTTTGTCATTATAGTAAGGTTGGTAGCATCATGTGAAAATCGTTGTGGAAATCTGTTGCAGCTCGACTACAAAATCCAGAATGCAATGCTCTCGCTATGGGCTGGCTGGCTAGCTAGCTAGCTACACACAACAATACCAGAATCAATATCAGCATGTGAAGTAGCTAGCTAGTGCAGTTTGTTTAGAAAATAATGTACTTTTTACTCCATACATTTTCCCGACACCCAAAAGTATTCATTTCATGTTGAATGCTTACAAGACAGGAAAATGGTCAAATTCACACACTTATCAAGAGAACATCCCAGTTCATCCTACTGCCTCTGGTGGACTCATACATGCTTCATTTGTAAATGATGTCTGAGTGTTGGAGTGTGCCCCTGGCTATCCGTAAAGAAATAAAAACAAGGCAATTGTGCCGTCTGGTTTGGTTAATATAAGGAATTTTAAATGATTTACACTTACTTTTGATACTTAAGTAGAATTTTACTGACTTTCACTTGAGTCATTTTCTATTAAGGTATCTTTACTTTTACTCAAGTATGCCAAATTGGGTACTTTTTCCACCGCTGGTCAATATCAGCATGTGAAGTAGCTAGTTGGCTGTAAAATCGCCTAAACAAACTGCACTATCAGGAGTCCACAATCTCACCATGTTCAACCTGCAGATCGTGTCTCACAGAGTGTACAACGGCACCATGCAACGCACCCTGGACTGAAGAGACAGACAAATAGGATAAATGTGTTAGACCCTCTGTTAAATAAAACATTTCTAGGTAGGAACATAAAATAATATGATCAATGGCTCATTTGAGAGAACACAACCTCCAGCTTTATGACTTGGCCAGTGTTGAAATCTGACATGTATGATAGACGTTTTCACAATCTAAAAGTCATATTCCTATTAACTTCCAGTGTAGTGGGAGCGGCTTTATCGCAATGCTATGTCATACTGACCGAATTTCTTCCTGTTTGAACGGCAATAGCTCAGATACACATGAAACATGAAACGACCTAGGGAATCGATAGAGCATCGCTCAGAGATGCACAAAAACAATATAACATTCAAAATAGGTGAATCTTTACTTTAATAAACGTACAAGTATTTTCCTAGCACACACTTCAATACTTTAGAGCAGGGTTCTCCAACTGGCTACCTGCGGGCTGAATTTGACCTGCGGGTGATATTATTTGGCCTACGGGTGATATTATTTGGCCTGCGGGTGATATTATTTGGCCTACGGGTGATATTATTTGGCCTACGGGTGATATTATTTGGCCTACGGGTGATATTATTTGGTCTACGGGTGATATTATTTGGCCTACGGGTGATATTATTTGGCCTGCGGGTGATATTATTTGGCCTACGGGTGATATTATTTGGCCTCGGGTGATATATTGGCCTACGGGTGATATTATTGGCCTACGGGTGATATTATTTGGCCTCGGGTGATATTATTTGGCCTCGGGTGATATTATTCTGGCCTACGGGTGATATTATTTGGCTGCGGTGATATTATTTGGCCTACGGGTGATATATTTGGCCTGCGGGTGATATTATTTGGCCTACGGGTGATATTATTTGGCCTGCGGGTGATATTATTTGGCCTACGGGTGATATTATTTGGCCTGCGGGTGATATTATTTGGCCTACGGGTGATATTATTTGGCCTACGGGTGATATTATTTGGCCTACGGGTGATATTATTTGGCCTGCGGGTGATATTATTTGGCCTGCGGGTGATATTATTTGGCCTGCGGGGTGATATTATTTGCCTACGGGTGATATTATTTGGTGCCTATACGGGTGAATATTTGGTCCTACGGGTGTTTATTTGGTCCCCCCCCACCCCCCCCCCCCCCCCCCCCCCCCCCCCCCCCCCCCCCCAAATTCTCTGAGCATTTTTTTTATTGGTGGACATAAAAGACTATAAAAACACCAGCAAATCAGCTCCAAGTGACTTACATTTGGGAAATCTGTTCCAAAGTATTCCCACGCATTATAGAGAGATGTATGTGTCCGTATACAAGGTTTGAAATGACAGGGTTCTAAGTCCTCTAGCTTCACAATGAGATAGGGTGCAGGCCAGGCAGCAGGCTGTTAGCCAGCCTGTCAGCTTAGTGGAGTTTGCCCCTTAGCACAGTCAGTGTAGTCAGCTCAGTTTTCCCCATTGAGGCCGTGTCTGTGCCTCGATCTAGGTCGGGCAAAACTAAACATGGCGGTGTTAACCTTAGCAATCTCACTGGAATAAAGGCCTCCTCCATTCCTGTCATTATCAAATCAAATCAAATTGTATTGGCCACATGCGCCGAATACAACAGGTGCAGACATTACAGTGAAATGCTTACTTACAGCCCTTAACCAACAGTGCATTTATTTTTAATAAAAAAAAGTAAAATAAAACAACAACAAAAAAGTGTTGAGAAAAAAAGAGCAGAAGTAAAATAAAATAACAGTAGGGAGGCTATATATAGAGGGGGGTACCGGTGCAGAGTCAATGTGCGGGGACACCGGCTAGTTGAGGTAGTTGAAGTAATATGTACATGTGGGTAGAGTTAAAGTGACTATGCATAAATAATTAACAGAGTAGCAGCAGCGTAAAAAGATGGGGTGGGGGGGGGCAGTGCAAATAGTCCGGGTAGCCATGATTAGCTGTTCAGGAGTCTTATGGCTTGGGGGTAGAAGCTGTTGAGAAGTCTTTTGGACCTAGACTTGGCACTACGGTACCGCTTGCCGTGCGAAATAGATTATTGAAAGAGATTGTGATAATACCTCACATCTCAAAATAGGACTACTTAATGTTAGATCCCTCACTTCCTAGGCAGTCATAGTCAATGAACAAATCACTGATGATAAACTTTATGTGATTGGACTGAAGCATGGTTTAAGCCTGATGAAATGACTGCGTTAAATGATGCCTCTCTTCCTGGTTACACTAGTGACCATAACCCCTGCGCATCACGCAGGTGGATTGGTTGCTAACATTTATGGACAGCAAATGTCTATTTATTTATTTTTAAATACAGTGTTTTCATCTTTTGAGGTTCTAGTGATGAAATCTATGCAGCCTACTCAATAACTTTTTATAGCTAGCTACTGTTTACAGGCTTCCTGGGCCATATACAGCGTTCCTAACTGAGCTCCCTGAATTCCTATCGGAGTTTATAGTCATGCAGATCGCCTTTCCAGACTCCCTCCACCTACCCAAGGAGGTTAAAAATCTGTTAACCACCTAACCGAGGATCTGAACTTAACCTTGCGCAATATCCTAGATGCAGTCCCAGGCTTTTTTCAGTCTACTCGACCTGAGTGGGTTGAGTCACTGACGTGATCTTCCTGTGCAGTTTTGCACCCCCTCGGGCTCGTGCGGTGAGGGGGGGGGGGGGGGGGGATTTTCATGGGCTATACTCTGCCTTTTTTCTCTCAGGGTAGTAGGTTGGTGGTCTGTTGATATCCCTCTGGTGGTGTGGGGGCTGTGCTTTGGCAAAGTGGGTGGGGTTATATCCTGCCTGGTTGGCCCTGTCCGGGGGTATCGTCGGATGGGGCCACAGTGTCCCCCGACCCCACCCCTGTCTCAGTCTCCAGTATCTATGCTGCAATAGTCTATGTGCCTGTGGCTAGGGTCAGTCTGTATACAATTACCCAGTGTAATGCGATTATGGATAATGTAATGCAACTGGCTATTTAGACTCTGAGAGCAGAGACAAAAGGTACCAACTGTATACATTACAAACAGTACTGAGGTTACTATAGTAACTACCTAGTGTGCTTCTGACTTCCTGACAAAAAAAAATTCCCTGAAGGCGGAAAGGAATTAGTACATGTAATATAACTTCATACACGTCCTTTAATAAATAAGTAATTCTACTTTATATATTGGCTCCCCTTTATTCCTGAGCACCGTGAGAAGAAAACCATCAAGCTATGATGATGGACATGGTCAAAGTGAACCAAAATCAGGGATTGACTGTGTCATCTGCCTGTAGGCTATTTGCACTACCATCTCTGTAAGGTTACAGCAGGCGAACTGATATCAGATAGATAAGACAGTGGTGTGGTCAGTGGTGTGAGAGAGACACAGGTTAGTTTTACTGCATGTTCTGTTGTTGTTCACACTGTCCTCAGTTACACTACACCGGAGGGAAATCCACTTCACACAACCTACTAATTTACAACTATTTCCTGTTTCCTTCTCACGGAGCTTAATAGATACTCTGAAAAATACTCTAGCAAATAATCAGCTAACTTCCCTCTCCAGCAGCTATGCAAACCTCAGAGTCTGACATTGACTGCCAACAAAGGAGGAACGTAATGTAATGACAGACGGAGAGACTAGGAGAAAGAGAGAGAGAGAGAGAGAGAGAGATTAGAAGGAAACCTGTTGTTAAGGAAATAAACAGGAAAACCCCCAGAGAGAACCCTGTTGGACCTGTTCACGGAGATTAAACAATTAAAATACTCTCTGAGTTACTGACTGACAAGGCCTGCAATGCACCTTGGGTAGGGGCGGGGTACGGTGGGACCCAGGCCTTTGCCTGTGCGGTAGGTATTTCCCACACCAGATGGAATGCAGCTTTGGCAGAGAATGTTTTGCTTCCCTGACAGCTGTATAGAAAACACAGTGCATCCCAAATAGGCACTCTATTCCCTATATAGTGCACTACTTTTGGCCCGTAGGACTCTGGTCAAAAGTAGTGCACTATATAGGGAATAGGGTGCCGTTTGGGATGCAGCCATAGTGTTTGTCTTTTCATTGACACATCAAGCTGTAAATAAAGAAATCAGAGGCCACACGTTCAGGTGCAAATAGTAGTTCTCTGTTCATGTGTGTTTGTTTCTTACTTAGGTACAGTGCCTTCGGAAAGTATTCAGACCCCTTGACCTTTTCCACATTTTGTTAGGTGACAGCCTTATTCTAAAATTGATTAAATAGTTTTTTCCCCCCTCATCAACCTACACACAATACCTCATAATGACAAAGCAAAAAGATTTTTGCAAATGTATTACAAATAAAAAACTGAAATATTCAGACCCTTTACTCAGTACTTTGTTGAAGCACCTTTGGCATCGATTACAGCCTTGAGTCTTCTTGGGTATGACGCTACAAGCTTGGCACACCTGTATTTGGGGAGTTTCTCCCATTCTTCTCTGCCTTTTGAAAAACTCCAAGCGGGCTGTCATGTGCCATTTACTGAGGAGTGGTTCCGTCTGGCTACTCTACCATAAAGGCCTGATTGGTGGAGTGCTGTAGAGATGGTTGTCCTTCTGGAAGGTTCTCCCATCTCCACAGAGGAACTCTGGAGCTCTGTCAGAGTGACCATCGGGTTCTTGGTCACCTCCCTGACCAAGGCCCTTCTCCCCTGATTACTTAGTTTGGCCGGGCAGCCAGCTCTAGGAACAGTCTTTGTGGTTCCAAATTTCTTCCATTTCAGAATGATGGTTCTTGGGGACCTTCAATGCTGCAGAAATGTTTTGGTACCCTTCCCCAGATCTGTGCCTCGACACAATCCTGTCTCGGAGCTCTACGGACAATTCCTAGACCCAATGGCTTGGTTTTTGCTCTGACATTCACTGTCAACTGTAGGACCTTATATAGACAGGTGTGTGCCTTTACAAATCATGTCCAATCAATTGAATTTACCACAGGTGGACTCCAATCAAGTTGTAGAAACATCTCAAGGATGATCAATGGAAACAATGCACTTGAGCTCAATTTCGAGTCTCATAGCAAAGGGTCTGAATACTTATGTAAATAAGGTATTTCTGTTTTTAAGTTTTAATACATTTTCAAAAATGTCTAACAACCTGTTTTCACTTTGTCATTATGGGTATTGTGCGTAGATTGCTGAGGATTTTGTATTTTTTTAATCCAATTTTTGAATAAGGCTGTAACGTCACAAAATTTGGAAAAAGTAAAAGGGGTCTGAATACTTTCCGAAGGCAATGTATATGGCTTCCTGTCTGCTCTAGAGTTCCAGGAGGCACCAGCAGCACAACAGGAAGTGAGGCAAAGAGATTAAAGCAAAAAAAGTCCACATCATTTTTTTTTCTTTTCTTTAGTGCCATAGGCTATAGCGCGCTACTCCCCCGCGCATCGAGCAGATTAGCTGCTGGAGCATCAAAGGACAGTTGGAAAGAGGAGATGTAGAACGTTTAATAGACACACTAAATTAGCAAAACAGCTGCATATAACCATTAGTAAACACACCCGCTACTAGGTAAGAATTATCTACATGAAAATAAAGCAAAACATTATATATTTTTAAAAAATCCTTAAAATGAATGTAGGCTAGGCCTATTTAAAAACGGTTTTGACGGTTATTTTATTGTCATAATGGTCTTCATCCATAACCGTCAGTTACACGCACCCCCCCCCCCCCCCCCCGCACCTTCTCTATCCCCTTACCTCCAGGACAGGCCCAGCTCCTAAGATGGTCCTCTCCGCCCCGCTGCTGTAGCCCTTCTGGCTCAACGCCGTCAGACAGTGAACCAAGAAGTTGGTGCTCTGGGACTTTCCCGATCCGCTCTCCCCTGATATCACCACACACTGGTTCTCCTGCTTCTTCAGCATGGTGCGGTACGCCACGTCCGCCACCGCAAAGATGTGAGGGCTCAGTTTTCCCAGCGGCTGGTTGTTGTACATTTTGACATACTTAGGGTTATAGATGGGTAGGAACTTGAAGGGGTTAATGGCGACCAGGATGCCGCTGGCGTACGTGTAGATGTTGTGTTTGTAGAAGCGCTGGCGCAATGTGGCCAGGATTGTGTCCTCGGTCAGGGTGGAGAGGCTGCACAGGTCGTCATATTCCTCCAGTGAAGGTACCTCACTACTGCCTGTCCCTGACCCCAGATCCCCTCCACTTCCTTGGAGGATGAAGTAGTACCCCTCCTCCTGGGGATGCTGGTTCCGGGCCCCTGGGGGCCACAGCAACACCCTCTCCACGGGCATCTCAGAGTCCCCTAGCCTCCTCTCAGCCCCTCCATCCTGCCTGACCTCCAGGAGGGCGTAGTGCCGGGTCATGTCCAGGCCCAGCGTGGCCCCTGCGTTCTGGATAACCGTAGCGGCCGTGGCCCCTGGGCTGACCTGGAGGATACAACATGCTGCTATTTCCTGGGACAGGCGCGGGTAGATCTGAAGGACGACGGCCTGCCATTGCTGTAATTGATCTACGTCCATGCTGGCTGTTCTCGCCACACCATCAGACACACTCATCCTGCTGGCTGACACACACAGGGCTTTTCCAGTCACTGGCACTGCCCTCCTCCAATCAGTATGCAACCACTGGGCAGGAGAGAGTGAGAAAGAGACGAATGAGGGGGAAAGAGAGAGAGAGAGATAAACATTACAGTGCAAGTGGAATTAGACTTCCTACAATCGTAGCTTTTACAAAACAGAAAATAATGGTTTATCAGAACTTAAAAGGGGCATGTGAATATTACTTTTTATTCTATTTACATATACATATTTATGCTACACATTTTCTAACTCTATTCAGGCTTTTATAAGGTGCAGAGATTTAATAGGATACTGTATCTAGAGAAAGAAAGGAAGGGGTGACCCTCCATTACAAATTAACCCAGTTTCCAAGAGAAGGGAGTGCATACTTATCGCGAATCAGCCTGTAAAAACAGGTCAGAAATACAACATGTTTCTACTTGTTTCACGTCCACAATACAATAGACTAAAGTATTCTCACAGAGCTCACAACTTTCACACGATTTCCCTAATCCCCAGCTTACATAATATTTCAACCAGTGACAAGCAGATTCAACACCTGTGATAACATAAATACTAATCAAATGTTATTCCTCACCTGGCATTACGGTCCAGTCATTTCAATGCTCTATGGCTGTGTAGTCAAGAACAAGGAAGCCTTCTTTTCCAGCAGTCTTCCAAAACAAGTTCATAAAAAACAAATATTCACATGCACAACTGAAAAGTTTAAAATAAAATATGAAATATGAAAATAAAAGCAACAATAATTTAGAGTTGGTTGGCAGCGACTCGACGCTTGAGATTTACTGCAATTTGAATGGTCATCGAAAATCTTCTTGATAAATTGTTCTCGTCCTCGTCGAATTATAACTTCCTTTAACTTCTCTCCACACGCTCTCTATTATGGAGGCGTTCTGCCGCTTTCACGACAACACCGAAATTTGAAAAGTCCGAGTTTTTTTGTGAAGATTTAGCTACCTATTGGTTGATTCTATAAACGCATGTTATGCAATTCAACGTAATTTACATAATAAATGCATTAGCGTAATATTTTTTTATACAACACAAATGGCTACTGTGCAACTCGCTATTCAGGTAGGATGCAATTTTTTTATTGTATGTATTTTCGTATTCATAATCATGTGTTTTATCCTTATTATTTATCCTTATTATTTTTGTATATATTATTATTATTACTATTTATTAATCTAAACCAGTTCTTTTTATATGCAAAACGTGTTTTATTTAATTCTGTTGAGAAATTTTAGTTGTCTAAAGAAGTTTGATCTGTCTTTTTAACAGTGTGCTCCGTATTTACTTTTGATTAGGTTATAAGTAGGCCTTTTGTCCAATAAATATAATTAGTCTATTGCTGTCATTTGTTGGGTGTGGTAGGCACTAGCCTTTCTGGTAATTGCTGCAATACAGTGCATTCGGAAAGTATTCAGATCCCTTCCCTTTTTCGAAATTTTGTTACATTACAGCCTTATTCTAAAATGGATTAAAATATAAATCCTTATAAATCTACAAACAATACCCCATAATCACAAAGCGAAAACAGGTTTTTAGAAATGTTTGCAAATGTATTAAAAATAAAAACGGAAATACCTTATTTACATAAGTATTCAGACCCTTTAGGATGAGACTCGAAATTGAGCTCAGGTGCATCCTGTTTCCATTGATCATCCTTGAGATGTTTCTACAACTTGATTGGAGTCCACGTGTGGTAAATTCTATTGATTGGACATGATTTGGAAAGGCACACATCTGTCTATATAAGGTCCCACAGCTGACAGTGCATGTCAGAGCAAAAACCAAGCCAAGAGGTCGAAATAATTTTCCATAGAGCTCCGAGACAGGATTGTGTCAAGACACAGTATTGAGACCCCTTGAATTCCACAGTTTGTTATGTACAGCCTTATTCTAAAATGGATTGCCCTTAGCAATCTACACACAATACCCCATAATGACAAAGCAAAAACAGGTTTTTAGACATTTTTGCACATTTATTAAAAATAAAAACCTGATATATCACATTTACATAAGTATTCAGACCCTTTACTCAGTACTTTGTTGAAGCACCTTTGGCAGCGATTACAGCCTCAAGTCTTCTTGGGTATGACGCTACAAGCTTGGCACATCTGTATTTGGGGAGTTTCTCCCATTCTTCTCTGCAGATCCTCTCAAGCTCTTTCAGGTTGGATGGGGAGCGTCGCTGCACAGTTATTTTCAGATCTCTCCACAGATGTTCGATCGGGTTCAAATCCGGGCTCTGGCTTGGCCACTCAAGGACATTCAGAGACTTGTCCCGAAGCCACTCCTGTGTTGTCTTGGCTGTGTGCTTAGGGTCGTTGTCCTGTTGGAAGGTGAACCTTCGCCCCAGTCTGAGGTCCTGAGTGCTCTGGAGCAGGTTTTCATCAAGGATCTCTCTGTACTTTGCTCCGTTCAGCTTTCCCTCGATCCTGACTAGTCTCCCAGTCCCTTCCGCTGAAAAACATCCCCACAGCATGATGCTGCCAGCACCATGCTTCACTGTAGGGATGGTGCCAGGTTTCCTCCAGACGTGACGCTTGGCATTCAGGCCAAAGAGTTCAATCTTGGTTTCATCAGACCAGAGAATCTTTTTTATCATGGTCTGAGAGTCCATTAGGTGCCTTTTGGCAAACTCCAAGCGGGCTGTAAATAAGGTGTTGTGGAAATTCTTACACAGGGACACTCGAAGTCAATCTTAAATGAATCATTGTTTATTGTCAGCAAGCTGGAGAGGTCACAGTCAAACTTAGATGCATAAAGTATCGGTCTGAAGTGAACTCTAATGGGGCAGTCCCGTTAGTTCCCTTATATACTGACAAGTTATAATATAATAATATAATATGCCATTTAGCAGACGCTTTTATCCAAAGCAACTTACAGTCATGTGTGCATACATTTTTACGTATGGGTGGTCCCGGGGATCGAACCCACTACCCTGGCGTTACAAGCCCCATGCTCTACCAATTGAGCTACAGAGTTATATTTTCATGATTTAGCTTATTCATCATTCATAATTAATGTTAGCTTCATTCATGTGATGACCAATTCTGGGTCATGCATGTGACAGACCGATACCTCACGAGGCTTCTTCTCTCTAAGCTGAGACCTTGAAACTGAGATACACTACCGGTCAAAAGTTTTAGAACACCTACTCATTCAAGGGTTTTTCTTTATTTTTACTATTTTCTACATTGTAGAATAATAGTGAATATATCACAATTATGAAATAACACATATGGAATCATGTAGTAACCAAAAAAGTGTTAAAAAAATTAAAAAAACATTTTATATTTGAGATTCTTAAAATAGCCACCCTTTGCCTTGATGACAGCTTTGCACACTCTTGGCATTCTCTCAACCAGCTTTACCTGGAATGCTTTTCCAACAGTCTTGAAGGAGTTCCCACATATGCTGAGCACTTGTTGGCTGCTTTTCCTTCACTCTGCGGTCCAACTCATCCTACACCATCTCAATTTGGTTGAGGTTGGGGGATTGTGGAGGCCAGGTTATCTGATGCAGCACTCCATCACTCTCCTTCTTGGTAAAATAGCCCTTACACAGCCTGGAGGTGTGTTGGGTCATTGTCCTGTTGGAAAACAAATGATAGTCCCACTAAGCCCAAACCAGATGGGATGGAGTATAAAAAGACCCCAGACAATAAATCAACCATATTAACCACAAAACAACAACAGACCAATACCACACAAGGCTTCGTCTCTCTAAGCTGAGACCTTGAAACGGAGATATCCCTTTCTCTAAACAAGGTACTGGGTGTACTGCCAAATTTTAGACACTGATAGTGAGGATTCGTTCAATCAGTCACTTGCATGAACACATAAATTGGTTAATTGGTTAATAGAAAAGCACAAACAGAACGCAGAAATTAGTTTATAGAAAAGCACAAACTGTCACGATCGTTCATGAACGAGAAGGACCAAGGCGCAGCATGATATGCATTCATATTTATTTACGTACTGAACACACGACAAAACAACAACCGAAACGTGAAGTCCAAGGTAGACAAATAACATACCTCACACGGAACAAGATCCCACAACTAACAGGTGCCAAAAGGGCTGCCTAAGTATGGTCCCCAATCAGAGACAACGAGCGACAGCTGCCTCTGATTTGGAACCACACAGGCCAACATAGATCTAGACATACTAGAATCTTGCAGACAATCAACATAGCCAAACACAACACAGAAAATACACACCCTGACTCAACAAATACAAGTCCCTTGAGTCAGGGCGTGACACAAACAGAACACAGAAATTGGTTAATAGAAAAGCACAAACGTGGAGGGCCACTAGGGGTGCAATGTGCTGCTGATGTATTTTCCGTTTGCTCCCGCAGTATTCTTAAAGTTTATGTGAATTTTCCAGCAAAACCGTATTTATTTTCAGATATTAGTTTGGTGATCCCTTTCTGTAATAGTCAAGACTACTTTGCTTTCAATTGTCAGCATGTCAATGAAAACATAAGGCCAAAAAACACGACTTTGAGAAAACCCGGCCTACAAGACCCGAGGGCCTGGAGACTTGCACTCTCGAACATTCTCGAGGCCATCAAGCTACTACGCTCTGAGATAATTTAAATGAAAACGGAGGTAGTTGCTACGGTTGAGGCCCGAATACAAGAGGTTTTGGATACTTTAAAAGCGAATCTAACTTACCTGCGGAGCGAGATGGTGCCAGCTATCACATCACTCAAAACAACAACAGAGTTGCACACCATGACGATTGCAGCGCTGGAGACCTCCGCTACCAGTATCTCCGACCTGACTACCTCCCTGGAGGCTGACGTGAAACGCCTGGCTGCGGATCTGAAAAAAGTACAGGAGAGCTGTGTGAGTTTAGAGGGAATTTCTAGCCGGAATAACCTGAGACTAGTATCCGTCCCAGAGTCAGCGGAAATGCCTTGCGCCATGGATTTAGTCTCTGGGCTGCTGAAGGATGTTCTCGCCATGGATGAGAAGCCCCTGATTAATCATGCCCATCGGTCACTTCGCCCAAAGCCCTGGGATAGTGAGA